TATAATTTTGACTTCAGGACGGTTCTGGTATTTTTAATATTTTTTTTTTAAGAAAGGCTGAAAAATATATATTTTTTATTTATTTATTAATATCTCTGAAACTATCGAAATATATTTAGTCATATCTTATTATTATGTAAAGTGATCTGAAAGTAAGCCAAAAATGCAATACTATACAGGGTGTTCCGTTTAAAAAAAATCATCCCGATCCACTCACATTTTTGGGCCACCCTATAGAAGTTAAAATGTTTCCCTAAAATGCATCCTAGTACATACTTTAGGTTTGCACTGAAACAAAATTTCTAAGTTTTTTATTCTAGGAGCTACAGATGCCTGACGCACTATTGCCGGACCCTGTATTTGTAAGGCTAAAAATATCAAAATTATCAATTCTATAACAAAGGTATCCTCATTTCAATCATATTCCTTGAGAAAGATTTATCTAAACATTGGTATTTAAACTAAAACTTTTTTATTATTAACATTTTCAGAAACAAAAATCTTTATTCAAAATTTTGTTTGTTCTCAAATGATTAATCCGTTCCAAAATACAGTTGAAAGTTCTAAAAATCAAAACGCGTGGTAATATAATTTCGTTTTCACTCTTTGATAGATGGTTATTATTAATTTTTCTTAAACCTACCTATTTGTAATAATAAATATATAAATGTCCCCTTACTTAAAATTTCACCGCCCGCTCCTGGTGAGAGAAATGAATCGGGTCGCGAAAATTTAATAAAGAGTTGGAGTTGGGAGTTGTATAATGGGAACCGCAGCATTTTGAAAAACGGCCCCAAAGTAGGGTAAAAATTCGACTGCTTTCGTAGTATGAAAAAAGTCGATTTGGAAGACCTTTATATTATGGAGAAATGATGCGGAAGTAAACTGGACCGTGCTTCATTTCTATCAAGCTGTGGACCGAGTTTGTGATATTAGAAAAAGAATTAAAATACGATTTTAAATATAATCAATAACTATTTAGTAACCTATGACTAGTGATGGGGTACTCGAGTATAAGAATCGAATACTTACTCGATTCTTCAAAGTACTCGTTGAACTCGAGTACTCGCGATCCGGTACTCGAATACCAACAAGTATTAAAAATTTAAAGTAAATATGACACGCGTTACTACTTTTGTGTCCGAGTCTGAAATTTTCGGTCACCAGTAAATTCGAAACTCGATTTTTGCGATTACGAGTTCACGCCTTTAGCTTTTCAAATGCCAACCTCAATGATTTGACCAAATATATTATGAGGATTTGACATAACTTTAGTGGTTATGTCCTAATTCTTCCCTATTTTATGTATTTTTTTATTAGTTGCAATCACGGGTGGCAATTGAACAATATGGATTTTTTTATATGGCTTAGTGACGTCACAGATGATATGCGCAAACTGAATGAAATTGGAGCCGCTATCGATCATACCTTGTTTTCTTTGTGTCATGATTAATAACGATCAGTATATCTCTTTTCTATGAATAACGATCAGGCAAGCACTGCAATCTGGCTTGACGTTAGTTTTGTATTCGAGTATTCGGTACTCGGAAAAGTATTCGATCCTTGATAGTTCTCGAATACACAGTACTCGATTCTCAAAAAAGACGATTCTGCCCAACACTACCTATGACATCAAAATCGTTACACAGACCACCATTCCATTGTTTCTATTTTATAAACTTGAAACTCGCTTATAATATACTGGGTGTTTTTCAAAAGTGGCTCACCCCTATAACTTTTTTATTTATACAGGGTGATTCCTGTAAGTCGGTCATGCTTTCGAGGAATGATAGGGGACGTCGAAATATTAATTTTGATCTAGCACACTATGGGTCGGAAATGCCTCTTACGCAAGATACAAGGTGTTAAAGTTTTTGAAAAATTAAAGATATTCTTTAATAGTTTTTTAACAGTTGAAGGCATCGTTATAAAATTTATTATAGGAGTCTGCTTAACAGAGACACTTTAAATGTAAAAAGAGCAGGTTTTAGTTTCAACGAGTGGCGTAGCTGTGATACGCATCGGGTAATATTTTCAAAAAAAAATAGTACGCCACTGATAAAAATAAAAATTTCGGAGTTTTTTTATTTACTCGGTTTATTTCCAAGAAAAAATGTCTCTTGCAACTTTCTTCTATCTAACCATTTTGTCACAATTTAAAAATAAATATTTTTTTAATGAGAACCTTAAATATGCGAATTATTATAACTACCTTAAAACTACGAATTTTATTATTAACAATAAAAAAAGTTTAAATTTGTAATTTTTTAAAAATTTATTTAGAGCTAATAGTAAAAAGTACTAAAATTACCCAAGATGAAGGGAGCTAACGATGCACATGTGTTTCTGCCCTCTAGAAATAATAATTCGCTGTATTTAAGATTCCCATTAAAAAAATATTTTTTTTAAATTGTGACAAAATGGTGTTAGATAGGAGAAAGTTGCAAGAGACATTTTTTCTTGGAAATAAACCGAGTAAATAAAAAAACTCCGAAATTTTTATTTTTATCAGTGGCGTACTATTTTTTTGAAAAAATTACCCGATGCGTATCACATCTACGCCACTGGTTGAAACTAAAACCGCTTCTTTTTACATTTAAAGTGTCTCTGTTAGGTAGATTCCTATAATGAAATTTTATAACGATACCTTCGACTTTTAAAAAACTATTTTCCGACCCATAGTGTGCTATATCAAAATTAATATTTCGACGTCCCCTATCATTCCTCGAAAGCATGACCGACTTACAGGAATCACCCTGTAGTTAGTACATGACATAAAACTGTATGGATGGACGTATTCAATTAGTTTCGGTCACTTCCTGTTTCACCGGAAGTGACTGCAACTTTCGATTGTATTTTTTTTCACGCATCCTCAGTATTTTTTACTTTATTCATAGAAAATGAGATTCTGAATAGAATGACATATCATATGTCAACTTTTGACATTTGCGCTTAAAAAATTGTGTTTTAAATTACAATCTTGGGTGCCATGGCTTTGTTAAAATCATTAATTTTTAATCAAGGAGCCTTGAAAAAATATATTTGATCAATGATTTTTTTCAAATGAAACGGGGGTGGCTCATTAACATATTTAAATAAAGCATTCTTTATGAAGAAGTTGGTACCACATACTTGGTATTGTGAGTCAAATTGTCGTTCTGACCACAGCCATTGCACTCTAGATTGAAATTTAAAATACTAGATTTTTTAAGCGAAAATGTCAAAAGTTGACTCACGATATTATGTCATTATATTCAGATTGTTATATTCTATGCAATAAAGTAAAAATATACCGAGGGTACCATTTAAAAATCATAAGTTGAAGTCAATCCCTGTGAAACAAGAAACAACCGAAACTAATTGAATACGTCAATCATTCCTGATTTATGTCATATACAAACATACCAAATTCCGTTTTTTATCTGAAAAAATAAAACGTTATAGGGGTGATTCCAATAGTCCAGGAGGTAGTGAAGATTTTCGGCATTTATTTTCCCAATCAGAAAACACCGATAGAATGATTTGGTATGTTATTGAAAGCAAATTTCATATATATGTAGGGGGCAAGGGATTTTCCGATGGCTTGAGGCGGAAAATGCGGAGAAAGTACAAATATACTGCACTTTTTTTCCAGAGATAAAAATAATTCTATTAGTGAGAGACGTTGATGCAGTTAAGTAAAAAATATAGTCTGGCTAATCTGCGAGCATGGGTGATAAATCTTGCAAATGAAAAATTGGACAAAAAATAGTGAAACCATTGCCCTTATTTTCGCAGTCCTAAAAATTTGTCGGATGATAGTTTATATTATAATTACAGCTGCAAATATAGTTTGGTCAATGTGGAACATCCCAAAAGCCTTGCAAGACTTGTCCAACGCTTCAGTTATACAATGCCGCTTCCTCTCCTTATTTAACTACCTGATTTGTAAGTCAGGCGGAGTTTTCTATGAAATTATAGTATTTATAGAACCATAGTATCATATAAATTATAGTATCATGTGACACATTTTCAAATCCGGGAAAATAAAAGCAAAAATGTTGTAATTTTTGCAGTTTTTAAGATGCCGATGCTGCCAGACACATTTGTCAATTTCGTAAATCAGCCAGACTTGCTTTTGATTATAGTTTATGATAGTATGAAATGATACGTTAAATTTCTAGCAAGGGAAAATCAGAGTTACGGATTTCAAATATCTGTCAAATTTTTGCATCCGCATATTTTCAGCCAGGCTGACTTTCCTCCACTTGGGATGTGCCAGACCGTTATTTCCTTTAATAAAATGATTCACTTTAATAAATGTCAAATATTTATAACTGAGAAAATAAGTGGACTTTTTTTATTTTTATCTAGTGAACCCATCAGAAAATGTTAGCCTGATTCACAAATTTTCATTGAATATCACCATCCGAACATACTTTTATATATTCAACCACTGGCAAAATAAGTACAAAAAAGTTCACTGCCTCCTGGACTACAATATTAAATAAAAAATTAATATTTATCTATTAAAAATTTGTAAAAAATACATATTTTCTTCTAAATTTTCGTTAAATAGTGATTCTGAATTATTGTCAGTATGATAATAGTCTAATAAATACTTTCGAAACTTAGTCCACAGCATCGAATATTCAATTGATTAGTCGGAAACTTGTACATAATAACACAAGCGGCAATGTCACGAATTTATAGAGTACAGAGTGTTCAATATTGTCGAAGCCAATAAGAATTTGTTGGTTTTCAATGAACCGCTTCAAAATTGACAGAAGTATGAGAAAAATTTTGTTCCGGTCACATAAAAAATTGTATCACCAGTTAATCTAGTGCTTATACTCTTTTTAGTACACTGAGAGGTAATTTAGATGATACAAATTTTATACAAAATTTTCTCATACATCTTACGCTTTTTTCCCGACACTGTATATCGCACTTTTTGTCTCGCTCTGTATCTCGATCTCTCGTCCTCTGCGACACTGACACACGACTTTCTTTTCACACAGACCCCCGTCCTGAGCACTTTCTCAAACCACCACCACCTCACATGATTTTAAAACCGGCGGCCGGATTAAGGGTCCTCAGGCCGGCCCTGCCTAGCTCCGGACCTTCCCCGAACGATCGCCGATCGCGCTTCGACAAAACTCGACACGACACGTCACTATCTCATCCGCCATCTTGAAATGGGAGCTACGGTATCGTTCCTAACCTCAAAGCTTATTGTTTCAAAAGTTCTTGGTCCAGTAGGAAATGACCGAATTTACTGATAAATTTTAATTTGTTTCAATATCAATATCAATTTAAACGTAAAGTAAAAATTAACCTAGCTCTCACAAAAAAAATACTAATTAATATTTTTAATGATAAAAAAATCTCAAGCACTTTCCATCACAAGTAAATAGTAGATACTTTTTCTTCTTAATTATATATTTTTTTGAGAAATAAATAATAATACCTTGTTTGTTTAAGTTGTCAGCAGAAACAACTTAGAGCTAAATACAAAACAATCTCCATCAAAAAGTAAAAACAACTACACACTTATATCAACATAAATTGAATTCAAAAAAACTGTAACTTAAAAGTGGAGGTAAGTTTTAGTCATTTACGCTTCGTGTTAATATTGAGATATTTTGTAGATTGGTTGATCATAACTCAACAATATACGATAACCACTTTCTTCAAACTGACATAATGTGGTCAAGTTCTTAAAAAAATTCTCTTCTACATAAAAGTCTCCTTTTTTAAACGAAATTTAATGATAAAATTTACATATAGATAACAAACTACAAAAAAGATAGTAAATAGTAAAGAAAGTAACAAATACCATGCGATCGAAAAAAAAGGCGTCAAAGACGGCTGAGCAATGACAATCAATGATAATTTTGGCGAAGTCAAGCCCTAGACTACTTAACGCTTACTCTTCTTTATTTTTTAATGGCGCTTACTACCAGTTGACCTTAAGATGGTTGTAATTATTTTTATACTGAGTAAAAATGATTTTTAACTGGTGTAAAAAAATAATAAGTATAAAAAATATTTTTCTGGAAATAGATTTGCTTGTCTGGAAATGTTCTATCCTTTCTTAATCCTTCTATAATCAATGTTAACTTTTGACAGGTTTTATGTCAATTTTAAGGAAATAGTGTCTAGAGATTGACCTCACCAAAATTATCAGCTAATGTCATTCCCCAGCCATCTTTGACGCCGTTTTTTTTTTCGATCATACAATTATACGTAAAGGTTTAGACAAAAACTGATATAAGACCCATCTAACAAAAATACTTGTATTTAGAGCACATTAGTATAGATGTAGTCATCATTTTACCATCGATGATAACCATTTTCTTCTAAAAAAATCTATATCTTCTACCTCTGACTACATCTTGTAAACTATCAAAAATTATTATACACTTTATTAGTTTGGTAAATGAAGTTCTTTGTTACCATTATATGTTACTTCAGAATCTAAAATTGCTGAATTTATCGAATACAGGATGTTCATAGGTATCTGCCTTACAAAAAAATAATGTCTAATAAAGGAAATATATTAATATAAAATACATCTCGAAACTTAAAAACTTTTCAAGTATACAAAATTACATCATAAAATTAATTTCAATTAGTTTAAGTCAAAATATATCTTTGGTTTTAAATAACATTTGTCTTCATTTTCATGTTATATTGTGTAGAAGATTGTATCACAGTAATACACTAATTATTACTAGCAATATTTCAATCAAATAGAAAAGCTTTGAAAAAAGAATGATACTGTAGCACTTCACCATGTTAGATATTATAAGAAATATTGTAAAAATAAAGTGTAATGTATGTCAAAAATGTCGGGTTGCGAATAATATATACCCAACCCGCTTAATTATAATTTGAATATGTTTGAGATAAAAAATGGAGAAAAAGTATAAATATAAGCACTTTTAAAGTTATTTTTAATTAGATAATTCTTTAAAGCAACCAATATTGTAGTTTTCTCTATTTTTTATCTTCAATTTACAAAAATAATATATCCCAAACTACCCCCCACAATAACCAAAAAAAATAAAAAACTAACACCAGTAAAACTAACGCCCCTGTAAATATATGTAGCATCATCTCCCCACCACACACACATTCAATGGTAGAAGTAGTTTAGGAGAAACATCCCATCAACGTTACCCTACCCCCACTACAACCACAACAACAACCACCACCACAAAACAAAACGACCGTCTCGAGTTGGCCGTGGATCTGGATCGATACCAGCCGCCCCGATCGAACAAGTATCGAAGTTTCAGTCGATACGAAATGCCCGGCCCTAACGACAACTGGTCGTACGCGTCGACGCTGGCGGTGGGTGGCAACAGCAGTCTGCCCCTGGAGAACAAGTACAAGAGAAGATCGGGGAAGCGGGGCAAAACGAGACCGAGGCCTCTGCAGCCCGAAAACGACAAGTACTACGACCACGTGTTCCCGAAAAGGTACAGCGACGGGTTCTACTACCAACCCGATTGTCTCGATCATGCAGAACTGTAAATAAACCTACCTGTATGTGAATAACGACAGTATGTTTCTATCGGTTTGATTGATTGGTAAGGGTAGTGGGGATGAGATTGTATGGACACTAATAAACTAATATTATTCATGGTTTAAACAACAAAAAGAGAAATGAGAATTATAAATACACAGATAGTTGCGCGAGCATCAAAAGTGAATTGTAACATTTTCTTAATATCCGCTTGCAGTTATAACCGATAGTTTCTAACTTCCCTAGAGCTCATTTGTGTTCATCCACATTATTTACCCCGGCGAAAGTCCGAATTTTTTATAAATTTAATAATGTTTGGTCTTTCACCAACTCGTTTGTTGTGTGTCGACATTGGCCAGTGAATGTTGACATTCTCTTATTTCAAACTTTCGCAGTACCATACAGGGTCGCTGTTATGTATGGAACCGGTCGACTATTATGTAAAATATAGGAGATACCGAAAAGTTAAATAAAAAAGTTATAGGATTTTTAAATATCTATTTGCGAGTAATAAATTTAAGTATACAGGGTCGGTCATAAAGTCGTGGCACATCAAAGTTTTTTTTTTAAATAGAACCCCCTGTATATTATTGCATATTTCAATTGTTCCTTCAATTCTAAGCAAAAATCGAGATACAAACAATGTACCTCAAACCAACCGTTTCCGAGTTATTGACTTTTGAAACTATCACTTAAACAATTCGATTTAATTAATTTCGATAAGTTCAGTTATATTTGTTTTTTTTATAATGTCATTTTAACAGAACGTCAACGGTTTCTTGTAGACGTATCTGTTTTAAAACAATAAAGTGTTCTCGAATAGTTGAATTTAAATATTTTAAATAGTTTTTTTCTATATTCTTTGTATTTTTTTGCTTCCGACGACGGAAAGAGATAAACTTTCCGAAACGTTAAGCATTTTTTTATTTGTTAGGCAAATTTGTATAACTGTAAACATAACTTCTGACAAGCAGTGTCCCGTTTAGGTTTAACGCAGAAGTGTTTACAAAAAATAACTATTTTATTTGTAGATTTTCTCGCAGTGCAGTGGCGAAATACCCATGAAGGATTTTTTTGGAGAGATGTTCAGTTTCATTTAACGATGCCATTCTGCTGAAACTGTGATACTTAATAATATTTGACATTAGTTCTCAAGTTAGCATTTACAGATGTATAAAATGAGATTATATTAAGTCTGGAAATTACAAAATTTTCGTTTAACATTTATTCAATTTTTCAATTTATGTACATTGTGTATTACATTAAATTGTTTAAGTGATATGTTCAAAAGTCAATAACTCGGAAACGGTTGGTTTGAGGTACATTATGTCTATTTCGATTTTTGCTTAGAATTGAAGGAAGAATTGAAATATGCAATAATATACAGGGGGTTCTATTTAAAAAAATTAAAACTGATGTGCCACGACTTTAAGACCGACCCTGTATACTTAAATTTATTAATTGCTTATAGAAATTTTAAAATCCTCTAACTTTTGTATTTAACTTTTTGCGCGACCTCCTATATTTTACCTAATCGGAATAATCGACTGTTTCCATACATAACAGCGACCCTGTATAATAGAAGTGTGTACATGTGTTGTTCGCTTTATTTATTAAGAGTGACATAGAAAGAATTTCAACACCTGTCATGTAATATTAATTTTAATGAAAAATAAAATGTATTTTGAGAAAATTTCAGATAAGACCATCCAAACTTATATAATTTAATTATAAAATTTTACTCCAAAATTAAAGAAAAAAAAGTTAAAAACCCAAAAACCACACTTTTATAGCAGATGTATACCTAGTAATTCAAAAAATATCATTTTAATTATTATTAATTGTAACAATTATTATTTTGAGAATATTATCAAGAAGTTGATCAAGGTAATTCTATATTATATAAATAGTGTTTAATTTAATAAACAGTTTACTATTCAAAAAATCAAACAATTTCAACCAGTGTTATGTGTGCATAACCTATAATGTTATGATAGTCAAATTATAAAAAAATCGCAGATATGTATGATTGATCTCTTAGAACTGAATAAACATTTCAATTACTCAAAATTTTAATTCTTATTTAAATAATCTCATTTCTCTTTACATGTACTGTATATTTGTTATTATTTAACTTTGGATTATTATAGCATGTGACCCAGTTTTATCAAAGTAACACAAGTGGAATATACGAGGCATATGTGAAATATTATTGCTAATTTTAACCTGAGCATTAGTAAAATTGGCAACATCCAATTCGGAACAACTAATAGACAATATTTCCACTAAATTATAAGTTTATAATTAGCCCTGATAAAATAGCATGGAATAAAAAATATGCATTTGTAAATATTTCGATTTTTGTGAAATTATATATCATTGATCCTGTACAGCTATAGACACTAGTTATGAAAATACCCTACGATCGAAAAAAAAAATGGTGACAAGTTGGCCTAGAAATATATTCCTCTTTTTTAATTTAGAAGCTAACTGGACACTGTTTTTTTTCGGTCGTATATGGTAAATCTTTGAATGTTTCAAAATCCATTTTTAAACATTGACAAGAAATAGTGTATTAATTGAAAAAAAAATCTTTGTAATACTTGAGTAGGCAGAACTTTAACTTTTTTCTCGCCTGTATACAATCCTCAAAACAAGTAAATTAAAAATCACTAAACCAACAACTTGGTATCAAAAATTATTGACATTGTCTTCATATAAAATTTATTATTTATGCTAAAAATAAATGTTATACATATAAAATATTTATATATTAAATAATATTCGTGTATTATTTACTATTTTTCGTGAAATCAGATGCTAAAATTTTGAATCATAGTTTGGATCTATTAAAATTAAGATACATCCATCTTTGTTATGTAACCAGACATACACCCATGTACTTTGAGAAATATAAAGATCTCAACAGAGTCATGAATCGGAACGTAGCTGTATAAAAACGACTAAAATACCGAATGATTGAAAAAAAGACGTCATTTAACTTTGAAATGACGATCGATGACAGTCGTATAATTTTTCATATGTCGTTTAGATTTTAACGTCATAAAGCTAATATAAACATCAATGACAGGTTATATGAAAAATATATGACGCCTTTCATCAATTGTTATTTTCAAGTCATACACGAAAAGTCAACACACCCATACTTTAACATTTTAATTCTTTTCATAAAACTCATTGTTGACACCTACATTTATTTAAGCGACTTACTTTTAAAATATTTATATTTTTGTAAAAAAATGTATCTTTAAGGTTTACTTTATGAAATAAACGTATGTATTTAAAAAGGTAGGATCGAATTTACGCTAATAAAATAACTGTTAGAAATATTAGATTTTCTTATATGTGATGTTACAATAAATACTTATAATAATGTTATTATTATAGGCTTTAAATGTAAATCTAAAAAATATATTACTTCTAAAGTTTTAATCGGATACAAGAGAAACAAAATCAAATCTTAATACTCTATTAACGTTTGATTCGATTATTGTGTAACGTTAAAAACCTTGTGTCATATAACTTGTTTTAATAAAGAAATATTTTATATATTCGATATTATTTGTTGCATTTAAATTAATGTTTAATTGTATTATAAAGTCTAGATGGTAAAGTAAATGTATAATAAATAAATTATCGAACTAAATAGAAGTTTTATTTTTCTCAGAAAAACTTTATACATACCGTGCTGGCAACTCAAGCAGTAATATAATAAGTAAATCGCATAGGGACTTATTAAGTCGGAGTGAGATAAATGCGACGGTGTGCTGTTGCGGCGTTGCCACATTTCTCCGGTACGCCTTTCTCTATCAAGTAAAGTAAAATCACGATCGTAAACCGCTTATTTTTAAAAGACTTTTTTTCGAACAGATAACTAGATAAAATCATTATAGTCTAAGAGCTGGCTACATAAAAAAAAATTATCATCGTTACATGGCTAATTTTTTGCGTGAAGTATCCTTTTGTGTAGCCATTATGAAATAGTCATGTCTGCCAGCGCGATCCCGGGGCTTAAAGCCAATCGAAAGGGTGAAATTTGGACACTAAAAATATTATAAGGTACACGAGTTATAAGTGCGAAAATAGCTTTTATTTATTATAAAGAAACGTGGAAAATTCTTGGCAGACATTTTTCTGGTCGCTAAAATGCTGACAGACAACGCAAAAGAGGCATGAAATTTTAAAAATTATCTCGAAAATTATTATAAAATTAAATTTGAAGAATAAAAAAAAATATGGCATACATGCAGGCCGATTGGTGGAATGTCACATTTATTTATTTTAAAAGCCGTATGCAAAAGGGCAGACAAAAATATCGTGGCTAAATCAGCTGTAGACAGTTATCAAAAGCGCGATCTTACTCTAGCCCTTTCAGGGAACGCTCGCCGCCTCATCCATTTAAGTATAGATAAATCATGTATACGATTATATTACAAATATATTTTTTTATTATTTCAAAACAGATATCATACATTTACTATTCTGTCTCACTATTTGTATCTGACTCATAACGCGGCCGGCGTTTCCTGAAAACGCTTATACAGGGTGAGTTTTAAATAAGTGAAAATACTTTTAAGGGTGATATTTTCGACCCCAAGGAACACGTCTATGAGTCTTTTTTCGCAAAAAAAGATGTAGAAAATCGTGCATTATTTTTAAATTTTCCTGTATATTTTAGAAAACTTTATAGAACTGCCTGTTCACCGCAAATTTACCAACGGTATAATTATTTCTTAACCTATCATGCTTACGGCTTTACTCTATGGCTACGACACTAAAATAATGGATGCAAGTACAGAAAAAAACAGGCGTCTCACAAAATTATTTAAAAATTTATTAAAAATAAATTTATTATTTAAAAATAAATCAATTTTTTTTGTTATTTTGGACTTATTTGGAAAAGGGTAAAAAGAAAATATGTTTCTTTTATCGAGATCTACCAACTCTGAAAATATTTGCACTTATTCAAGATTCACCCTGTAGAGTAATATCGCATTTTTTATAACTGTCTACCGCTGATTGAGCCACGATTTTTTTGTTTGTCCTTTTGCATACGGCTTTTAAAATAAATAAATATGACATTCCACCAATCGGCATGCATATATGCCATATTTTTTTTTTTTCATTCTTCAAATTTCATTTTATAATAATTTTTGAGATAATTTTTAAAATTTCATGCCTCTTTTGCGTTGTCTGTCGGCATTTTAACGACTAGAAAAATGCCTACCAACAATTTTCCACGTTTCTTAATAATAAATAAAAGCTATTTTCGCAATTATAACTCGTGTATCTTAGAATAATTTTAGTGTCCAAATTTCACCCTTTCGATTGGCCGCCCCCGCTTTAAGTCCCGGGATCGCGCTGGCAGACATGACTATTTCATAATGGCTACACAAACGGATACTTCACACAAAAAATTAGCCATGTAACGATGATAAGGTTTTTTATGTAGCCAGCTCTCAGTCTATTAGATATGTTTCTGAGCATCTGAAATGGAATTATAAGAATATCGTTAAGGTGTCCATTTTTTTATAACGAGAAAGCGTCAGTAATCGCGATAATTTAAAAACTCAACTTTTTAACACATAACACGCGATAACTCAAGAACCACTTTAGATATTGAAACTTTTTACTTTGAAGGTCGGGTCTTTTACAAGATGTTTAAATGAGAAAAATTCGATAGGCCTTTTTCCATTCAAAATTTTTAAAAAATCCATCCAGTTACTTTTAGTGCATAGCAATTTTCAGCAATCGTGTAACTTTTTTATTAATAAAGATTTTCACATACTGTCTGCAAAAAAAATATAGCAATAATATTAAGAAAGTTTAAAAAAAACTACAATCAATTATTTCTAATGGATTTCGAGATATCGATTTTTGAATTCAGAGTTCTAATAGCGCCACCACTGTCGAACACCAACTCATTTCCCCTTGTTTTTAACAAAAATGCAAGTGTTTCAAACTTGCAGTTAAAAATTTACAAGCTATACGGAAAATTACAACGGCTCGTTAATAAATAAATCAAGTAAAGTATCACGAAACATAATTAAATCGTGAAGCTGACCGCATGATGTACAGGGTGTCCCACTACTTTACTTACTTATTTTCAAGTTTGTAGAACGGCCGCTGCTATAAAAAAATTAAGAAAAAGAATTTTTTACAGAATTTTGCATAGATAACGGGTACTATAAACAATAGATTAATAATCTTCAGTAAATTTTGAATATTTTTTGTTAGAACCATTTTTTCCTATCTGCCACAAGTGGTAGGGATGAACGGAATTCAACAACCAAACCAAACCGAATAAACAATAATAATAAACTTTTGAATGTAGACGCTAGGGGGGCGCTGTCTTACAATTTAACAAACAATTCGCGTTTTTTCAAAAAAATTAAATGCGATAGTACATGTAATTTTAGCTGATAGTAAAGAGTAATAAAAGCTTAAAAAGTCAGCAAAAACCGCATTTTGATATCCTCTTTCAAACCGAAGGTTATAATAAATACGAAAAAATAAGCCCTTAATTACCTTATTTTTATAACAAGCTTACAGTAGGTAATTTTGCTAATAACTTTTTGAAAAAGATACCAAGTTGCGGTGTTCGCTGACTTTTTAAGCTTTTATTACTCTTTACTGTCAGTTAAAATTACATATAAACTATCGCATTTAATTTTAAAAAAAAACGCGCAATGTTTGTTAAATTGTAAGAAATGCCCCCTAGCGTCTACGTTCAAAAGCTTATTTTTATTGTTTATGTGGTATAATATAGAGTAAGAAACGCTCTTTTAAACGAGCTCTCATTTGTTGGATTCCGATCATCCAGTCCGGAGTTATTAACATTTAAATAAAAACAGATTTAACCTTCCCCCCTTTTTTTGCAGATAGGGGAAAATTATTCTAACAAAAAAAGATCCAAAATTTACTAAACATTATGAAACTAATATTTATTGTACATCGTATCTAGGCAAAATTTCTTAAAAATTATATTTTGTTATTTTCCACAGTAGTTATACGCTCTCTAGCGGCCGTTCTACAAACTTGAAAATAATTTCCAGCAATTTCTCATGATCTCTTTAGTTACAAATATTTTTTTTTCGCAAGCCCTACGACTAATACTTTCCGAGATACAGCCGAGAGCTATTCTTAGTGGGACACCCTGTAAACCCGTCCTTAGAATTTTAAGTACTGATTGGGTCGACCGCGACGAATCTATATCCCCTTCCATGTCTCTTAGCAATATGCCGAGTTTCTCGGTTTATTTCATTATTTGGCAACGTTGTTTTACTGTTCTTCTCACTGTTCAATACATTATAAACGCATTGTACTCTTCTTACATACGGAAATATTGACCCAAGACTAACTTTTGCCAGCCATTAGTATTCAAAAACAAGAGTGGGTAAAAAAATAAAACTCTGGCTCTGAGCGATTATTTTGTAGAAGTCCATATGTTATACACATTTAAAATAAAACAATTAATCAATAGATTAATCGAAATACATGTTATGAATTAAAATAAAAAATTTAGTTAAAACAATTGGTTACATATAAGGAATTAGTACAAAATTCTACATATTGCTTTACATAACTCAGCATGCACGAACATAGAATTAAAAGAGAATATATTAAAGCTATAATAGTTCTATAATAGATGTTCTGTCCATTTTACCTGAAAATAAAAAATATATAAGAACACAAGAAAATAACGTACAACAATATACAGGGTGATTCACTAAAAGCACCATATCAAGTTAACTGATTCATATTTTCAGGTAAATACAAATACCTTCTATTCACAGAATGCCTTACAAAAGTGACAGTAAGCGTGAACTTTGAAGTAAGTCCCAGTTTCTTTGACCTTTAATTCACGTATTTTGACAGTTAAAATCACATTATACACTAAATATACATTGTTCAACGATCGTTCAGCGTTACGTCATCATCAATAATAATAATTAACAATAATTATTATTGTCAAATATGCATTTTAGGGTGCGCCTGAGATCAGTTCATAATGTTTAGTGATGGGAAAAATTCGCTCGAGTACTCGATTATTGAAATACCCGACATCGCTAGATCATGAACGAGCTCGATAAAAAGCCGAGCGAATTTTCTACATACATTGCAGGTAGCAAATTTATACGACGCCGTATATACGGCGTCGTATATACGGTGGTATCTGTTTATGTTCAGTACATTATAAATGCATTGTACTCTTCTTACATATGCAAAAAAGGGACTCAAAGCCGAGCGTTATCAGTAGGGTATATTATGACGTTAAACAATCGGTGAACAAAGAGTACTTACTTCGACTTTGTTACTAAAACTTCATTGCAGGTTGGGATAGGGCCATTTTGTTTCTCTTCGAACCAGTCTTCACCTCTTTAACTTTGGCCGCAAATCGTAAAGAACTAATACTTTCATTAAAGCATTCTTCGAATGGCGCCACGTTCACCACCATCAGAGTTTTAGAGTTGCCACCCAAGGAGGATTGAAGCAAATAGGTCAATTTCGAATTCCTACAATAATTTACCAATCATTATATCAAAATATTTGCAACAAATGAGCATTTTTTATGAGAATTTTAATTGTTGTGAGCATAAGGTCAAGTGATATAAAAATGAGACATTTTTCAAAACTTTTAGTTTTTTTTCTTAGTTACAACCATTTAAATACAAAAGTATTTGTTCCTATAAAAAGCATTTGGTGGTAAACTAATAAAGAACACCTGGATATCATTCTATTCAAAATACAGTATAATTACACCGTCGCAAAACATTTATACTCTGAAAGTGTAAAACAATTATATTAAATTAAAAATAAAGAAAAATATGTAGTTAATAAGTGACATTAAAATATCTAGACTATTAAAATATTAATATACAATAATTACACCAGTTAATGAACTAAATATTTGTCAGTCTATTACAAGAGCAAATTAATATTCAAAAGCCCTAGAAGACCCGCCTTGCAAACTTGAGAGTGGTAATTATAAATCAACGTCTTTCTTTAAATCATTATTTATCTCAGTAAGTACAGTTTTGATTTATCAATATGAAAGCTTTAATTGCATATATTGCTTTGCAGTCTTTTTGAGATCTTTTTTTCCATATATTTGTTTGGTTGGTACCTGTACCATTGTCTTATTATTACACCTGTGGGTGTCAAATATACCCCTCCAAAAAACTAGCTTTCATACGAACAGGACCACAAAACATACCCCTTTAGAATTTTTTCTTTAATGACCATAAACGAGAGTAAAAGACTAACCGTGCGAACAAATACTAGAGGCGCCACAAGTCACGAAATGGTGTAAAAACTGCGAAAATTTAATCAACTAATTTTGACACAGGGGGTCGCGCTTAACTTTTTTTAATTTTAATTTAATTTTCATTGTTTCCAAACTATATTATTAGATATTGTTGTATTTTGTGAATGTATAAATGTTTTCTTAGTATAAAGTTGCATTTTATTAATTTAAATGATATTACATACATATTTAAAATTAAAATATGACATATTATATTTATGTCAGTTGCCGTCTAAAATATCATCTTGATAACAAAAAGTTTAGTTATTGTCAGAAATTGTTAAAATATCAAAATTCACAAGTTATAATTAGTAATTAGACATTTCTATTATATTTTATATTATTTCAAAAACAAAAACATAATGGTACTGCGTAATTTTGATATGCAGGTTCAAAACAAAAAGTGCTGTTATATTTTTCAGTTTTCGTTGTCGGCAGCGGAAGTTTCAGTGATTTTAGTGTTGTTGGATATTTTTATTTGTGAAAAAGAAATATTGCGTTTGCATTGAAAAACTAAAAGCGGCAGTTTTATTGCAATGTAAGTAAGCGTTGGTCCATTTTATATTTTACTTTGTTCATACCTATGACAAATATACTATATTGAAATTTTATAATTTGTTTTATTTAAAAAATGTTAGAAAACAAGCCTGTACAGAGGCCTGTAATTAACATACCTAATTGTTATGTAATATATTCCATTTAAATGTAATATATTACTATACAATTAAAAAAATGTAAATTTAAAAAATATATTAAAAATATATACAGGCATTGACATTTTTAGTACACGAACAAACACTAGAGGCGCTTATTTATTTACTTTCATTTCTTAACATGACATATGAAGTTATAAAGGGGGATGTTTTGTGAACAGGACTTTAAATTAAAAAAAAAAAATTAAACGTTTGGTAGTCTGTTAAAATATTTTAAACCTCAAAACGAGACAATGGATTTGTAATTTCAGTTTTTCTACAATTCATCACACAAAGATTAAACAAATTATGGAGATAATCTCACAATTCTTGTTAAATATTCCTAACAAGAAAACTGACTGAAATAAGTTTTCAGTAATTTTATTTAAATGTCACATATTTTACCTAAATATAGCGTGTCTTATTTTTAAACCACTTGGCCCTACAGTTTCCTGTATGTCTTACCTATATGGGATATGTTTCGATTTGCAGTACAGTGCCGAAATAACATCGCCTAAAGTAGCCAAACTTCTATTAATGTTCTTTGTTTCGGTCAATCGTTCATCGTTGACTGTTGTCTTTGCACTCTCTGATCCAGCCAGATCTACCAAGTTTATTGATCCTTTCAGCACAATGTTTTGGTCCTCCAATGTCCCTAATAACCCAGGGTTTATATAAAAAACACTTTAATAATTTAACCATTCAAAAGAAAATACTAAGGAAGGAGTATATCAACAAAATTAGTGTGATCGCGAATGGATGGCTGACTTTCCATTACTGTTTATCAGCGGCAATCAACTGTTTTTAAAATTGTTAAAATATAAATACACTAAAGAATTGTTTTTTTTTGAAGAATCAATATATTTTGCCACTTTTTTTATTTCTTATTTTTGTACGTACTCTACCACTAACTCAATCCTATAACTTTTATCATTTTTCAGAAAAAACGAGATTTGGTATGTTAGTATACTAAGGGCTGGCAAAGGTTAGTCTTGGGTCGAGATTTCCGTATGTAAGAAGAGTACAATGCGTTTATAATGTACTGAACAAGAAGAGGACAGTAAACACGTTGCCAAACATATGAAATAAACCGAGAAACTGTGCACATCGCTAAGAAACGTGGAAGGGGATATAGCAGATTTGTCGCAGTTGACCGGTCGACCCAATCGACCCATTCTAGGGAAAGGTGTACGTCATGCGTTCAACTTCACGATTTAATTACGTCTCGTGATACTTAATTTGTTCATTTATTAACGAATCGTTGTAATTTTCCCTATAGCTTGAATTTTTTTAAGTGCAAGCTAGAAAGACTTGCATTTTTGGTAAAAATAAGTGGAATTGAGTGGGTGTTCGATAGTGGTCGCGCTATTAGAACTCTGAATTCAAAAATCGATATCTCGAAATCTATTAGAAATAATAGATTGTAGTTTTTTCAAGAACTTTGTTAATATTTCTGCTGTATTTTCTTTGTAGACAGTATGTGAAAATCTTTTATGAATTAGACAATTACACGATTGCTGAAAATTGCTATGCTCTAAAAGTAAATGGATGGATTGTTTACAATTTTTGAATAGAAAAAACAACCTTATCGAATTTTTCTTATGTAAACATTTTGTAAAATATCCGATCTTGAAAAAAAAGTTTCAATATCTAAAGCGGTTATTGAGTTATGGCCTGTTATGTGTTAAAAAGTTGAGTTTTTAAATTATCGCGATTACTGACGTTTTCTCATTATAAAAAAAATGACACCCTAACGATATCCTTATAATTCCATTTCAGATGCTCAGAAACATGTCTAATGATTTTACCTAGTTATCTCTTGAAAAAAAAGCCATTTAAAAATAAGCGGTTTGCGATCGTGATTTTACTTTACTTAATAGGGAAAGGCGTATCGGCAACGCCGCAACAGCACACCGTCGCGCGTCGCGTTGGTCGGTCGCATTTCTCTCACTCCGAATTAATAAGATCCCTATGCGATTTACTTCCACACATGTAAATGCCGACCCAAAAGTAACAGTTGCCAGCACGGTATAACATAAATCAGGACTCAAGTGACGTATTCAATTACATTCGGTCACTTCCTGTTTCACCGGAAATGACCACAACTTTTGATTTTTAAATGGCACCATCGGTATTTTTTACTTTATTTGATAAAAAATGTCATTCTAGATTTACTAGCTTAGAGCTTAGGTTTTGCTCAGAATAAAACCGATTGTAGAATATACAGAGCGTTTCAAAAAACATGTGTCATCTCTCGTGGGGAGATTCCTCACGTAAAAATAAAATTTATTTTTCATACCAACATAGGTCCGATTTTGCTTTGTTTCGAAGCTACAGGGTGTAAAATTCTTAATATTTTTTCGATTTATGTATTATAATTTTCTTCCCAATACTTTTAGCGATTTGAATGAAATTTTGAGGGTAAAAGTTACAATAAATGAAACATATTTTAAAACTAAAAAAGTGTCGACATATTCACCAGGGACGTGCATATGGGTTATCACTAGAATATTTTCTAAAAAAAGCATGTACGCCACTGACTTTTTTTTTTTCTTGTTAGCGAAATAGTGAAGAAACCTTTAAAAAAATTAATATCATTAACTTGCGAAAGTTTTTAATAAATACTCATTGATTCCTCATCAAAAAATATGAAAAAAGTTCCTATAAACATGGGTATGGAAATGCATAGTTTTGGACAGGGTTGGCATGATTTAAATCAAATTAATCATGATTTAAATCTTGATTTAAGTCAAGTGATTTTTTTATTTTAATCATGTGATTTAAATAAAAAAAAATCAACTTTTCTAAAACTTAGTAATAAATCGAAAAATAACTGTAAAAGTTATAAAAATGTGTCCTAGAAAACTTTCTATGGCAGACAGGTATACCCTATATCATCATGTATGTAGGTATGTATTTATGTATGTATGTATATATCATCAAATAAAATGTTACACTTGCTATTATAACTTTTAATAAATCGTACTTTTAATAAATCGAAAAATAATTGTAAATAATAATCTACATCAAACATTACAAATAATTTTTAATCAATTTCAAATGTTGGAAATAATATAAAAAGTAATAATTTGTAAGTAATTATATTATATCGAGCAACAATTTGTACACTCGTTCAATTTTACACTTAATATCAGTTTAATAATATATTTTGTACTTTTGTGCTTGGGTATAAAAACGTTTTAGTTTTATGCCTAGGCGTTAAAATGACAAAAATGAATACTTTTGTGACGTTTGACAAAAAAGCCTTTTGATTTAAGCGAGCGACTTTTTTGCGGAATATATTGGTGACCGATGTGGAAATATGACACGCCTCGTAGAATTGTTAATGTTATCGGCAGAATTATGAAGATTTAGCCGTTTAGGATAGTACTTTAATTGGAAATAAGTCCTAATTATTTGGAAATCCGATTTAAACAATGTTTTCTATTAAAATCAAAAAAATCTGATTTAAATAAAAAAAAATGATTTTTTTGTTTTTTTTTAAAAAATCATGATGTTTTCCAACCCTGGTTTTGGAGTTCTTCTTCTTACAGTGCCTATCCTCTTTGGATTTTGGCTATCACATTGATCCATATTACTTTGTTCACTGCCGTTCTGAACAAAGCTGTTGTTTGGTTGGTACCTGAATATTAGTTTTGGAGTTACAGGATGTTAAAACTTTCGAAACTAGGTGTTTTCTAATTATCTTAAATATCATTACTTTTTTATTTAAAATTGCTGTAGGTTGGACTAATAGTAATTATAAGTAATAGTAATAATATTTAATAATAAATTAGGTAAAATATATGATTTATAAATTTTATTATTTTAATTTTATTAATTGTGATTAATAAAATTAAATTTATCTCATCAAGGAGACCGAATTCGACAAAATATCTAGAGATAACTTTTAATTGGCATTTTTTGTATTTACTACATGATTTTGATATCAAAAAAAAAAGCCAGTGGCGCACAAGTTTTTTTTTGAAAAATATTCCAGTGATAACCCATATGCACGACCCTGATGAATTTATCGGCACTTTTTTAGCATTAAAATATGTAGCACTTATAGTAATTTTTACCATCATTTCATTGGAATCAGTAAAAGTGAAAATTATAATAAATCGAGAGATTATTAAGATTTTAACACCATGTAGCTACGAAACAGCAGAATCGGGCCTATGTTGATATGAAAAATAAATCTTATTTTTACATGAGGAATCTCCCCACGAGATATGGCACATGTTTTTTGAAACACCCTGTATAATTATACTATCGGTATTTTTTTTTACTTTATTGGATAGAAAATTACATTCTAGATGTACTAGCTCTAAACAAAACCGATTGTAGACTAAATAATATAAAATGAGGTCAGTAAAGACAAACAAATCCACAAAACGTCAAATGTTTCAATTGAAACGTCAAACAGGACTGTGAAGCCCCGTTCTCAGAACGACGTCGTGTCGCGGGCGACACAGTTTGACATTTCAAACAACCAATGAGAACTGTACTAAATTTAAAATTGACAGTTGTTTGAATTTTGTACAAATCTCATTGGTGCTTTTGAAGTATCGCTGGCGACAGTCGCAGTTCTGAGAACGGGACTTGAAGCCCCGTTCTCAGAACTGCGTCGTGTCGACAGCGACACTGATTGACACTTCAAACGACCAATGGGAGCTGTACTAAATTTAAAATTGACAGCTGTTTGAATTTTGTACAAATCTCATTGGTCCTCTTGACGTGTCGCTGGCGACAGTCGCTGTTCTGAGAACGGGGCTAAAGCTTCTCAGAACTGCGTCGTGTCGACAGCGACACTGATTGACACTTCAAACGACCAATGGGAGCTGTACTAAATTTAAAATTGACAGCTGTTTGAATTTTGTACAAATCTCATTGGTCCTCTTGACGTGTCGCTGGCGACAGTCGCTGTTCTGAGAACGGGGCTTGAAGGATGGGGACCTATAATGTCGATTTCGTCGCCCATGCATAAATACACGGATAGGGTTATACTCCTTCCTTAATCTTTTTTTTTTCAAAAATTACACAATACCTTCTAAATAAATTTTGGTTACAGCATGAGACCTGCTACTATGCTCATTGAAATCTGTTGCAGCAGTAGCTCTATTCCTATGTGCTAGCGTCATGTACTGTTTCAATTCTACAGCCGAGTCCATAGGTTGAATAGTTAAGTTTGTCACTGTGGTGCCTTTGCCTTCGTTGTGATAGATTTCGAGCTTTTGCGAATTGTTTATATTTAGCAGATCCCGTATATTCTCGTTATAAATCTCCAAGAAACTCGCCTAGTATGTTAAAAATATTAATCGTAAATAAGTGTTGTAAAGATCGATACGAATTAGCCAATAAAGTGTTGGCAACATAGCAACATTTTAGATTCAAATATCTGGCAAATGGATCATGTTTAATAACAGAAAATCAAAATTGCCTTGAAATTGCTCAATATTACCTATAATTTGAATATATTATTAGTTCATTTCAGCACACATAATTATTAATTATATAGGGTGGTGACAATTTCGATGCTCAACATTGGCATCTCAGAAACTACAAGAGATACGAATTCGGTTAAATGGGACAAAAGTTGCGTAATTAGAAGTTTGACAAACACCTAGGAAGAAAACCCCGGTATCTTAGATTAGTTTCGGATTTATGTCAAAAAAATGAAAATAATGCGTTTATTTTAAATGAGAATATCCTCAGACCTATTGTATCTATTGCAACGTAAATTGGTAGTTTTATATTTTTGACCCCGGCCAATTAAATGCCGTTTTCAGAAAATTTCTAAGCCTTCTAGATTTCGCACAACAGTCAAGTTTTTGTTTTCTTATGGCCGCCATTTTGAATTTTTATCTTATTAGATAGAGCAAAAAATAATCTATACTAATCTTACACAACACTTGCGACTTATTTTACGACTAGAACTTTGCGGATTTATTTCATTCTAAGCTGGTACATTAATATCATAAGCTTTTTTAAAATAGTGCCCTCTTGTTTTCTAAAGCTACCAGCAACTGCTAAATTTCTTGAAATCTTTGCGAAAATAGTGCGATGAGGCTGTGTCCATTCAGGATACAATGTTCTATAACTTGCGTATGCCATATCGGAATTTCTATTGTTTAAGTAAACATCATACATATCTCGTGTTTCCTCACTTGTGAACATATTGTTGACTGTTAATACACTTTACACTATTTAGTATAATTTTTTGTGTCCAGATCTGATACTTAATAGAGTTAACCAAAATTAACTTGCTGTCATATAAAGTGTCAAGTGGATTTCCAAGGCAGACTTGATCTTTTAAGCCAATTTTTAAAAAATCTAATTTTTTTAGTCAATTTACATAATAATGAATAAAAATTAGGTACCACGGTATATATTATTTTTTGATCTATCTAATACGATAAAAATTCAAAATGGCGGCCATAAGAAAACAAAAACTTGACTGTTGTTGTGCGAAATCTAGAAGGCTTAGAAATTTTCTGTAAATGGCATTTAATTGGCCGGGGTCAAAAATATAAAACTACCAACTTACGTTGCAATAGATACAATAGTTCTGAAGATATTCTCATTTAAAATAAATGCATTATTTTCATTTTTTTTTACATAAATCCGAAACTAATCAAGATACCGGGGTTTTCTCCACATGTGTTTGTCAAACTTCTAATTGCGCAAGTTTTGTCCCATTTAACCGAATTCGTATCTCTCGTAGTTTCTGAGATGCCAATGTTGAGCATCGAAATTGTCACCACCCTGTATACCCATCTAGTTATCAAAAACTGCGTGGTCTAGATTTTAATGTGTACCATGAACAATCAAACGTATTATAAAGAGATAAAAGTTAGGTTGATACATTTCTTCTATGCGGTATTGCCGGATATAGCATCAAAATTTCAAACTGCACAAGTAGGTGTTTACGAAAAATGTTGTATCTAAAGTTGAAACTTTATTTTCCACAATTAGTTACTCATTTTACTACACCTGTAATAGATTCTTAAACAACTGTCTAACAGAAACCGGCAACACTGTATGCCACTTTTTATTTTGTCTCTCTGTCTGTCAACTAACTGGTCGTATATACAAACAATAAAACAATGTAATTAAAAATTAAAGTCTAAATTATTAAAAAAATACATTTAGTTTCATTTATTTTCCTAGTAAAATATTTCCTTCATATTTATAACTTTATATAATAATGTCGATTTACTTACTCTGATAATACTTTGAAAATTAAATAAATACATCTATGGTTAAGTAAATTATTATCTTTTTTTTATTGGATCATAAATATTTATTGAATTAAAATTTCATAGAAAATCTTAATTCAATAAATACAATTGACTTGATTGAATACTAATAACTGACACTGATGATGGGGTAGGGCACCGAAACCGGTAGTGAGAGCAGGTTGATCCACATTATGACGAACACAGTGTGGAATTAATTTCTATATTAGCAGTTCAAGGCAAGAAACTCTTATATAATTTTATTATAACTGACACTATTATACAGGGTCCGGCAAAAATTCATCGCGCATCTGTAGCTCCTAAAATAAAATAAACTTGGTAATTTTGTTTAAGAGCACCACTAAAGTATGTACTACGATGTATTTCAGGAAAATATTTTAACTTCTACAAGGTAGCTCAAAAAAGTGTGAGTGGATCAGGATGATTTTTTTAAATGGAACACCCTGTATATCATTGCATTTTTTGGCTTCTTTTCAGATCACTTTACATAATCGTAAGATATGAGTAAATATATTTCAATAGTTTCAGAGATATAAATAAATAAAAAATATATATTTTTCAGCCTTTCCTAAAAAAATTACTAAAAATACAAGAACTGTCCTGAAATCAAAACAGTATTAAGTATTTACTTCAGATGGTCCGTACTAAATTTGCTATAAATATTGTAATCTTAAAGCATACAGGGTGTTCAAAATTCAATGCCAAACTACCTAATAATATAAAATATAAAATATGTTTTCTTCTTTTTTTTAAATGGAACACCCTGTATATGATTTATTTAGCAGATGGAGAATTAAAAAATGAACATTTTTTGTATTTAACGTATTCCAAAGTTTTTAACGGTATCGCAGATATTCGCGGTTTTATATTTCATATTGCATTTGTATATGCATTTTCCTACAGTAAATTTTTGTAAAAGCCACCCAATGATTTTTCTGTCGTATTTTACCGTTTATTTATTTATAAATATCTCTGAGACTATTGAAATGTATTTACTGCTATCTTAGGATTATATAAAGTGACCCTAAAGGAAGTCGAAAATGCAATATATACAGGGTGTTCCATTTAAAAAAAAATCATGATCGATCCAGTCACACGTCTTTGATCCATCCTGCAGAAGTTAAAATATTTTCCTAAAATACATCCTAGTACATACTTTATGTTTGCACTTAAACAAAATTCCCAAGTTTTTTATTCTAGAAGCTACAGATGCCCGACGCACTATTGCCAGACCCACCCTGTATATAGTATGTTTAATGAAAGGCAAAAAATTTCCCCTGTGTGATAAACTGAATATCACTTGCAACTCACAATGAAGAATTACTATTAAAAAGTTAAAATGACTTAAAGGCCATACTTTACCTGGACATTGTACTTCCATCCTGATTTGTTAAGTTCTTCAATGTTCTTAAAAATAAGGTCTATCGTCCTGGGAATCATGCCTGGTGATCCATTTCCACCCTGCATCGTGTATGTTTTCCCTGAACCTGTTTGACCATATGCAAATACACACACATTATAACCATCCAAAGCTGATTGCACTAACTGAGCTAAATCTTCAAAAACCTTAACATAAAATACATTATTAATTATTACAAAGTAATTAAGTGCAAGCACTAACTTCTTCCTGTGTACTTTCGGTAGAAAATACTCTGTCAAATGTAAATTCACCTTTGGTCTCTTGTGGCTTTCCTGTTATTTGACTCACACTCTCCCTAGATTTCCTTATATCCAATCCATTGTTATCGACAAAAGTTATGGAACATTGTAACAGATCTATTTCTGCTGAACTGATGGGTGGTCTAACTCGACAAAAAACTCGAATATTTCCTAAAAATGTTACAGTAATAATTGTACTCTTTTGCATATTTTGGAGACAAAACCTTTTAAATCTTGAATAACATTATGTAATCTTCGTCTTTCAGCTTGAAGATGCTGTAATTCATTGTTTTGGGCTTCACTTTCAGCCTCTAATTTTTTTACTTTCTTTTCAGAAGTCGATAAGGCCTTAAGTAAATCTTTATTCTCTTCACAAAAGAGTTTGTACTTTTCTTGCAGTTCTTTGTGATTATGAGAAAGTTCAGCATGTTCTTTTTTTAAGTTGTCATGAAATTCTGTTAATTCATTTAAGGACCCTTTAAAAGAAAGTTATAAAACATTTCAATTACTATTAAAAAATATTCAAACCTGTCAGTCTTATTATATCTTTGGTATTCTTCTCTTTCTCATCTGTCAATTTTACATTACTTTCTTCGAGAGCTGTTGCTTTTTCCTCCAAAGTTTTATGGCTGGTTTCCAATAAATTTAAATCAGTTTGTATCTTCTCAACCCGAACTCTCAAATTTGCATTTTCCAATGTCAAGGTCTCGCATTTTTCCACAAGAGCAGCCTTAGCTTGAGCAAGTTCTTCTGCCTCTTTTCGTGTTGTTTCGTAACTATTTTCGATGTATTCAAATCCTTTAACATCATGACATTAATATAAATTACACACCAATATATTAAAGAATACTTACCACTAATCTTTTCCTTCATTGTTTTTATTGATTCTTGTGCTTGGGTATATTTCTCATTTAACTGATGAAACCTGCCTTTATAATCCCAATCTGGTATTTTTCTGGCAACTTTAGGTTTAGGTGGTCCATCGTCGTGCATTACCCCAGCAGGATTTGCTCTTTTAGCACCAGTAACGGTTTTAGAGGTGGTACTTTTAGTTGGATTTCGAAAAGTTGCCTTGGAAGTTCCATTGTGTTTATTTTCATTCTGGACATCCTTTTTCAACAAATTTTGTGATCTTAATGCCCGAAAATCTGTAAGTGGTTGACTAATAACACTACGCAAATCTGTTACAGATTTCGACCTTCGTCTTAGACCTGGAACTGAAAATACACGCGAAAAGGATGCTGGGGCCTCCTTTGGACGATTAGCACCATTTTCAGCTATAGTTCCCAATGCTCTACTGCCAAACACTGGTTTAAAACTGGATTTTGGAATTTTGCTGGACATATTCTATTATAATAAATATTTATTATCCGCACTAGACCGAAAACGCAGATACAGAAGTAAAAAACCCAAAACTGTTTTAAATATAAACGCCAGCAAAGACGTTACTTTAATAATCAAAATCAAACTGAATGACAGTTCGTTAAAAGGCGTCGTTGATTTAAAATAGAGACACCGGATTGGTCCGATTGGTCTACGAATTACGAATAGCCATTATCTAGAGTTTAAATTTTATTGGCCGAGCTTCGACACGAAGTTAACAACGATACAATTTACAGACAATCTATCAATAGAAAAATATATTTTGGGTGTATTTTGTTTATTAACAAATAATTTAATGGTAATGGCAGGTAATGGTGTGGATCCGGTGGCTGACCTTGAAACGAGTTTTTGCTGCATATAGTCACAGACACTACGCATGCACACATCTTCGATGTTGCCAGATTGTAAATTATTTTGGAATTATTTTCAGTAGAAAACAAATATGTGCTTTTCAGTGTTTTTTGTCAATATATACCGTATGATCGAAAAAACGGCGTCCAGTTGGCTGGGAAATGACGATTGACGACATTTCCCATATAAAATGACAGCGATCTTCATTTCATAGTCATCGCTGACACTATTTTTTTTCAATCATAGTAGGCGGTATATTACTTATATCAAGGATTTATATTATTATTTTAATATTTCGCACAACACGTGAACGCTTATTATGTATTTTCATAGTCAATAAAATTAAATAGAAATAAAAGTCTAGATTCCTATAATCACAGAATATCTAGCTACGCAACAGAAGCCTCGTTACATGTATAAAATTGTAGGTAGCAAAAGGAGACAGGCTTTTAAAGCCTGTCTCCAAATCAGATATTTTGATGCAGTAGTTTCGCTACTACATAATAGAGGGCAATAAATTTAAAAGAAAACAGTTTTCTACAAACAAAATTTAAAAAGAATTTGTGCAGTGTTGCCATTGTGTAATTCATATCGTAATACTTCCTGATAAAGCCTACCTTCAAATTTGCTACATCATTTAAACATATTAAAATAGATCAGAGCTGTTTTTTTCAATTTGCCATGGTAGTTGGAATTAAATCTTATGAGCTAAATTACAATCACTTCCTGACGTTTGATTGTATAATTGAATCCTGAATTTTCATTGTAATTCGGCGACAATATAATAAGTATTGTTCTACCGTATGATCGAATAAAAACGGCGTCAGCGATGGCTATGAAATGAAGATCGCTGTCATTTTATATGTAAATTTATATAGGAAATGCCATCGATCGTCATTTCCAAGCCAACTGGACGCCGTTTTTATTCGATCATACGGTACTATTATGATACCACTTCCTGACGTTCGATTGTGTTCATACCAAGTTCATATCGTATAATCAGGAAAAAACGGCGTTAGCGATGGCTATGAAATGAATATCGCTGTCATTTTATATATACATTTATATGGGAAATGTCATCGATCGTCCTTTTCCAGCCAACTAGACGATGTTTATTTCGGTATCATACGGTATTTGATATATACTATTTTTCATGACATTACAATCACAGAATGGTAGCTAGATATTCTGTGATTACAATATTATGGTACCATGAAGCATATCAAGTGATACTATAATATAGTACCATATTACGATACATGGCGTTCGATTGAGCTTAAACTTGATATACTATATCTTCAGTGACATTCTAATATCATGGTACCATGGAGCATATAAAGTGGTACCTTCTGTAGTACCATATTTGATGACATAGCAATATTAGGTACATGGCGGCAATAGGGCTTAAACTTGGTATACTAGGTATCTTCGGTTACATTGTAATATGATGGTACTATGATGCATATAAAGTGGTACCTTAATATAGTACTATATTTCAATACAATTTCCTGGCGTTCGATTGATCTCATATTTGATATATACTTGCGTATTTTTGATGACATTTCATTATTATGGTACCATGAAGCATATCAACTGGTACCATAATATAGTACTATATTACGTACATGGCGTTCGATTGGGATTAAACTTGGGATACTACGTATTTTCGGAATGTATGTTTATTTATGATGCATATAAAGTGGTACCTTAATATAGTACCATATTACGATACCCTTTCCTGGCGTTCGATTGGGCTTAAATTTGGTATACTACGTATCTTCGGTTACATTGTAATATGATTGTACTATGATGTATATAAAGTGGTACCGTAATATAGTACCATATTACGATACTATTTCATGGCGTTCGATTGTTTTTAAATTTGGTATACTACGGATCTTCGGTGACATTGCAATATTATGGTACCTTAAAGCATATCAAGTGGTACCATAATATAGTACACTATTATGATATCATTTCCTGGTGTTTGATTGGGCCCAAATTTGGTATACTTGCGTTTCTTTATAAAGATTTGTTTAATTAATAATTTTAATTTATTTTACGAATTTTAATTTATTGTTCGATGTCGTGACAGCAACTTTTATGCCGAACTAATATATTATTAATTGTACCTGTGTCACTTTTTAAAATCTACCTAGGTCTATATAAATAACGTGGCAAGCGGAAGAAATTTGTTATTATAGTATTTTTTAGTCAGTTAACATTTTTGTACTGCATTTTAATAAATTATTTCCATTATTATTAAACTTATATTTCATTACTAACGTTCCTGTATATTATTAATTTTAAAGGTAATTAAAGGTATTTTCTTAGTTAACATTATAAGGTAGTGTATATTAAAAATGTATATGTTTTGTAATAATATACTTAAAACTATTTTAATAGCCAAAGGAATAATTAATATAAGTGTATCTGACAAGAAAAGAAGAATAGAAAGAAACACATACTGTATTATACACAGTAAAAAGAAAGGGATGCCAATTCAAGTCTTTTTGAATCTGGCAACTGTGCATATTTAGCCGAGCTACAAGGCAGTCGACGAGCCGTCGATCCAAAACCGAAAGTTCAAAATTTCTAATTATATTCTGATTATGACATTGTCGCGCCATCTAGTATTCTATTTGTGCAATTTTAGCTCTTTCATTTCGAGTATTTTTCTGTTGCGTAGCTAGATATTCTGTGCTATAATTAATCTAATTGCTCTAGGTTATTATGCTACGTTTAAAAAGGGCTTTATTAAAAATTCGGGAAATTAAAAGGGATATGTCCAAGTTTTTTCTTTTTTTTTAATTTTTAAATGCTGTAGCTCCATGTCATGTTCATAATAGGTTTTTTTAACATTCCATCAAAACTACGGAGGCCTTAAAAGGCCTTTATTTTAGCCTCCGTAATTAAAATTGTAGAATCAGCTTCAGCAACATTAACAGTTACCTTGTTTAATTCTGCTTATACATATATTGCATTAATTTTTCTGCTACCTTAAGAATTCTCTATTCTTACACCTAATTTATGCGATTTTCTTGGCATAATATGATTTATAAACCATATTTTTCCTAATAGAAGGATGAAATAGGATATGCAAAATTAAGATATTTTAACATTTATTTTCCAGACAAAGCATAATATCCCAGATAGCACATTTACGTTCTTTTCATATGCGAAGCAAGTGACTTTGGAGAACAACAATGTTCTATTCACATTCCTTTTTTTCATTGGGAACATATATGGCACATGAATAGCAGAGATTACGTTCCACCCTATTCAAGTGATATAGAAGTGCGTTTCACATTCCAAGATATATTCTATGAACGTGAATTATATGTTCGTAAAAGAATGTATTTAAAAATAATATTCCAATTATATGATATTCATGTTTTTAATATTCTATATTTATGCTTTTCATATGTTTTTCATATTTTTTTATTATCTACAGAGGCAAAATAAAACACTAATTTACCACAATACACCAAAACACTTTACTTTTGCACAGGACGCGCGTTTCGCTAACCATGTTAGCATCATCAGCAGATGGTCAAAATTTAAGTTTTAATCATCTGCTGATGACGCTAAGATGATTAACCAAACAAGCGTCCAGTTCAAAAGTAAAGTGTTTTGGTATATTGTGGTGAATTAGTGTTTTAATTTGCTGTTGTAACACCAAAGATTCCAACCCTCAACTCTGTATCTACTGGGTGTCCTGTATAAGGATGCCCTGTATCAATATCCTATAAACTATAGATATAGATACAATTTTTTTCATATTTAGCAATTTTTTTATCTCTTAAAATCTATAGGATACCTATACAGTACATTCATATCTGGAACACACTACAAACAATTTGCTGAAATTAAATAATTTGGTGTGTAATAATCAAAAATTAACTAATAAATAGAACGGTTAAAAATAATAGGTAAGGATAAAGACGAACTTGAGTAATATATGTTTATTAATTAAAAATATTTTAATATAACGATATACATTGATATTATCTTCTATGTCTATGTTTCTATATTCTCTTGTCTACCCTTCTGAAATAATATCAGCAGAATTATACTGTTCAAATAAATTTGCACAACTTACCTTGGTATTTTTTAATCTTTCTTTTGTTTTTACAAGCCATATTTTAATTATATTGATAATTTCGGTTTCTTTTGACTCTTGAAATTGACCTTTCATGGAGTCTAAAATATATGTTATTACAGTCTTTGCAACACCAAATATCTTTAAGTTCAAATACCTAAAATTGCTTTTGGCCACTAACAATGATTTCAAACTTCTCTTCTGTTTGGCCCCATCCCAAGAATATTTTTGTGCAATTTCATTGCCCAGAACCTTATAAAGCATTTTCCTTGTACTTTGTGCTACTCCTGAACCACCAAGTCTAGATAATTATCGAACCTAATAATTCTAAAAAATACCTTTCTCTTAAAAAATACACAATAAATGATTAAAGAAGAGCCTACATAAATACCTATATAAATACTATATTGTAAGAAATTTCAGCACTGGAACTACACTTATCAGAACAGAAATCTTCAATGATACTACCAGAGATACTACTACTTTGATGATGTACAAAGGATAATAAAAAATCACTTTGGTCTGAATCCAGTTTAATGTACAATATTGAAGTCATATTTGCGTAACATTGACTTAATAAGATTTTGGCTCCTTTTTTTTTGGTTGAATTTTAAAATATTTTTTAGTATAACCTATTTTTTTTCGAGGTCTCATGGTTTTAAATTCACTCACCTTAAAATAGATACTGAAAACACAAACATAACAAGAACTATTTTACCGATTCTATCCTTAAAATAATTATTTGCATCACTTATCTTTACGTTATCTCAGTGTTTTAATTATTAAAATAGTTTGGATGAAGCACGTTTACGTTTATAGTTCACTTGTTGTTTTTTTATTAGGTTATGTTATGGATGTACGATTCGAATCGATTTCAATCGAAGATCGATCTTTTTACCCAAAAAATTGATTAAAATCTCGAGTTTTATCAAACTATCTTTTGGTATAATAGATCTTTTTATTTCATAATGGAAGATCGTTTTTATTTATACAGTTTTACAGGTTTATTTATTTGTTAGAATAAGAAACACTGTATTTTTGCTTGAATATTGGTTTACAGGGCATCTATATACACTAATATATAAAATCCCTAATTATTTAATACACAAAAACTTAATAGTAACTGATAGTAAGAAAATATACAAATATAATGTATTGTATTCATGTTTTCATTTCGAAATCATTTTTATTCTCCTGTATTTTTATTCAGATATTGATATGTTTAGAACGTGAATAGCAGATACTTAAAATTTATTGTAAACCATAATTTAAGAAGACATTCTAAGGTCATGCTGATAACATACCTTTAAATCACATTCGTAGTAGAATGTACTATTCATATGCCATACTTATTAAAAAAAGAATATACTTATAAGAACTTAGGAGGAATATTCTTAGAATGTAAATGTTCCTTTTGTGCTATCTGGGTATAGTATTAAGATTAAGACATAACAAATATTATAAGAAAGATCTTAATATAAATCACAAACTAAGTTTTAATTTGGTCTTGTATAAACACAGGTATAATAAGATCAAAATTCAACCTGCACCATATTGTCAAGATTTGGCATTATAGGAAACAAGAAATTACAGTAAATTAAGAAAAGAATATCAAAGTACACGATATTAAATACTGTAATGTATTCTACGACACAAACCATCTCCCTTCTAAAGAGAAAAAAGAAAAAGATAAAACATAAAGCTTATTTTAGTCTTATCAACACACTCTTCGATAAAATATATGTCTAAAATTGCTATTAATCCACTAACTTGATATTTTAAAGAAATTATGATACAAACGTTACAATCAAAGTATATTATATTAGTAACATTATAGGTAAAATATGTTACCTTTATCTCCCATTGGCGTGTATTGTTCTATAAGACTCGTCATGGTAGTCATGGTAGTATTTCAAAACGTCAATACATATAATCAAAACTATTAAACTGCAATTTGGCAACATCGACGATGTGCGCTTGCGTAGTATCGATGATCAAATGCAGCAAATATGGGCTTCAAGGTCAGCCACCGGATCCACACCTATACCAATTTAATTATAGTTTCAGAATCATCAAAAGGGTAAAGCCCCGTTCTCAGAACTGCGTCGTGTCGACAGCGACACTGATTGACACTTCAAACGACCAATGGGAGCTGTACTAAATTTAAAATTGACAGCTGTTTGAATTTTGTACAAATCTCATTGGTCCTCTTGACGTGTCGCTGGCGACAGTCGCTGTTCTGAGAACGGGGCTTTGAAGCCCCGTTCTCAAGCCCCGTTCTCAGAACAACGTCGTGTCGCGGGCGACACAGTTTGACATTTCAAACAACCAATGGGAGCTGTACTAAATTTAAAATTGACAGCTGTTTGAATTTTGTACAAATCTGATTGGTTCTTTTGTCGTGTCGCTGGCGACAGTCGCAGTTCTGAAGCCCCGTTCTCAGAACAACGTCGTGTCGCTGGCGACACAGTTTGACATTTCAAACAACCAATGGGAGCTGTACTAAATTTAAAATTGACAGCTGTTTGAATTTTGTACAAATCTCATTGGTCCTCTTGACGTGTCGCTGGCGACAGTCGCTGTTCTGAGAACGGGGCTTCGGTGTGGATCCAGTGGCTGACCTTGAAACGAGTTTCTGCTGCATATAGTCACAGACACTACGCATGCGCACATCTTCGATGTTGCCAGATTGTAAGTTATTTTGGAATTATTTTCAGTAGAAAACAAATATGTGCTTTTTAGTGTTTTTGTCAATATATACCGTATGATCGAAAAAAAAGGCGTCCAGTTGGCTGGGAAATGACGATTGAGGACATTTCCCATATAAAATGACAGCGATCTTCATTTCATAGTCATCGGCTAACGCTATTTTTTTTTCAATCATAGTACGCCGGTATATTATTTATATCAAGGATTTATATTATTATTTTAATATTTCGCACAACACGTGAACGCTTATTATGTATTTTCATAGTCAATAAAATTAAATAGAAATAAAACTCTAGATTCCTATAATTAATCTAATTGCTCTAGATTATTATGCTACGTTTAAAAAGGGCTTTATTAAAAATTCTGGAAATTATATGTCCAAGTTTTCCTTTTTTTTTTAATTTTTAAATGCTGTAGCTCCATGTCATGTTCATAATAGGTTTTTTTAACATTCCATCAAAACTACGGAGGCCTTAAAAGGCCTTTTAGCCTCCGTAATTAAAATTGTAGAATCAGCGTCAGCAACATTAACAGTTTTACCTTGTGTAATTCTGCTTATACACATATTGCATTAATTTTTCTGCTACTTTAAGATTTCTCTATTCTTAGACCTAATTTATGTGATTTTCTTAGCTGTAATATGATTTATAAAACATATTTTTCCTAATGGAAGGATGGAATAGGATATGCAAAATTAAGATATTTTAACATTTATTTTCCAGACAAAGCATAAGATTAAGACATAATAAATATTATAAGAAAGATCTTAATATAAATCACAAACTAAAGTCTTAATTTGGTCTTGTATAAACACAGGTATAAAACTAATAAGATCAAAACTCAACCTTCACCATATTGTCAAGATTTGGCATTATAGGAAACAAGAAATTGCTGTAAATTAAGAAAAGAATATCAAAGTACACGATATTAAATACTGTAATGTATTCTACGATACAAACCATCTCCCTTCTAAAGAGAAAAAGATAAAACATAAAGCTTATTTTAGTCTTATCAACACTCTTCGATAAAATATATGTCTAAAATTGCTATTAATCCACTAACTTGATATTTTTAAGAAATTATATGATACAAACATTACAATCAAAGTATATTATATTAGTAACATTATAGGTAAAATATGTTACCTCTATCTCCCATTGACGTGTATTGTTCTATAAGACTCGTCATGGTAATATTTCAAAACATCAATATACATAATATAATGAAAACTATTGTTGCCTGTAAATAACTAGAAATTAAATAACTTGAAAGAAATAAAATAATTCTAATAAGTTTAAAACCATTAGAAAAAATCCGTAAATGATAATTTTTAATTCTAATGTAAATATATAAATAAATGTTATTATTATTCAACCACTTCCATATCTCTGTTATTATTACGTACAATTTTATATATTCATAATACTTTCATTTCACAATCTTCATTATCCTTCTTACCTTAATTTTGGATATCAAGATAAATCTGAAATTATAAAATTAATTATAGAATTTGTATTATTATTAACACTGAAAAAAAAAATTCAACTGCAAATAATTCGAAAATAAACTGCAATTTGGCAACATCGACGATGTGCGCCTGCGTAGTATCGATGATCAAATGCAGCAAATATGGCCTTCAAGGTCAGCCACCGGATCCACACCTTTACCTTCAAAAGTATAATGGAAAAATATTTTTACAAATTTTATTGCATTAGCCACATTTTTAAGAAAACTTACCAAATATAAACATATTATCATATATCAATATCATATATAAAAATTGGTCGATAGAACTATTATTCTAAAAAGTTTGGCCGCAGCTAACTTCAAGTTATTATTTTAACCTAATTTTTTTGTGATTATTTTTTTTTTTTCAACTATTTTCAAATCATAGAATTTACATAGAATCAAAAATAATTAAATTTTCCTCACAAATAATTGAACAATAATTAGCAATTTTAGCATTGTGCATTAGTATGAGTGAAACGCGATTAGCTCACTCTTTAGAACAGAAACCTAGATCGAGGGATGTCATTTTAGAAGAAAATGTTTCTTTTGAATCATTATTTTTGTCCGAAGTAATTTTAAAAGGTTTAATAGACAATGGATTTCAAAAACCGTCTCCCATACAGGTTAAAGCACTTCCTATTGGCCGATGTGGCTTTGGTAATGTTTAGAAGCAAATTTGTTATAATAATAATTGTTACAAAGATATTCTAGATTTAATAGTGCAGGCTAAATCTGGTACTGGAAAGACATTGGTATTTAGTATTATTGCTTTAGAGACTGTAAAACTTCACATAAATGAACCTCAGGTTTTAATCCTATCACCAACTAGGGAAATAGCTGTTCAAATACAGGACGTAATTAAAAATATAGGAAAACATTTTCAAGGTATTTTAACTTTATTCCATCAAAGGAATATATTTTATCAGGCATATTTTAGGGCTGGAAGTTAAAAGTTTTATTGGAGGACTTCCTGTTGAATTGGACAAGATAAATTGCAAATTGTGTCATATCGCTGTGGGAACACCAGGACGCATAAAACAGTTAATTCAAGATAAATTTTTGAATATTAATTCAGTAAAATTGTTTGTATTAGATGAAGCTGACAAATTGCTAGAAAGCAGTTTTGAAAATGACGTTAACGAGATCTACAATGCCTTACCAGACAAGAAACAAATTTTAATGTGTAGTGCTACTTACTCAAATGAATTAAAACACTTCTTAACTGGATATATGCTTAGTCCCACTCACGTAAATGTAGAACTTGAAACACCTTTACTGTTAGGTTTAAAACATTTTGTTAGAATCCTAAAATTTCAACCAAACATTGTACAACAAACCAAAGCAAAGAATGAGGAATTATTAGGTATTCTAAGAAAAAATTCTTTTACGCAATGCTTAATATTTTCAAATTATCAAACCCGTGCTGAAAGCATCAGTAATTTTTTGAACAGAAACGGATGGAATTCCACATTTATCTCTTCAGCTCAAAGGCAAACTGAAAGATTAAATTCATTGTCGAGTCTCAAAGACTTCAAGTGCAGAATACTGGTATCTACAGATTTGACAGCAAGAGGTATAGATGCAGCAAATGTAGATTTAGTTCTAAATTATGATATTCCTATTGACGCAATGACTTATTTGCATAGAATGGGCAGAGCGGGACGGTTTGGTTCGCAGGGAAATTGTGTTAATATGGCTTTTTCGGGAGAGGAGACTAAGATTTTGCAGAATATTTTAGGAATAATTGGTGGGCAAAATATATCTATACCTATTTTAGAAGACAGCTTGAATATTGATAGTAGTAATTATGAAGTGCTGGGTGGTATAATACCTAATAATATTAAAGAATTTACTGATAAATGTAAAAGTGAGGTTATAGAAATGAAAAAGAAAACTTTAAGACCTAAGAAAAAGAATCATGATCGAAAGACGACCGCTTTGTCATTAGAAATAACTCAAGACATTGATGAAGTTAAAAAGATTAAGGAGAAACTGGTGGACACAGACGTTTCAGATATTTTACATCAATTAGCTTCTGGCTCATTTGAAATGAATGATCTCACAAAAGAAGAACCTAGTATTAAAAAATGTAATGAAAGTGTGATATCAAAACCTGCATTAGATATAATTCAAGATAACGATGAAGTTAAACTTATTCAGGAAAAACTTGCCAACAAAGATGTGTCAGAAATTTTGCAACAATTAGCGGCAGGAACATTTGAAAAGAACACAAGTGAAAAAGAAGGACCTAGTAGAGATATTTTGAACAACATCTCAAATCAGCTTTTCACATCTCCAATTTCCAATGATTATGTTCACTCTGACAGTGACAGAACGAAAAAGTCTCTAGATAAATTTGATACATTATCTGTACTACAACAGTTAGCAAATCAAACATTTCCAGGCATAAATACTAGTCATAATGAAGAAAGAAAACGAAAAAGATCAACAGATTCTGCCAGCAGCCCTACCCAGGAAAGTTTGAGAAAAGAGCAAGAAGTGTTTTGTAAAAATAAAGCCTTATTTGGCATAGCAAAGTCTCTTGGCAACTTAGACACAGACAAAGACGATGCAGAATATCTAGCACAGTATTTGACTATGCTAAAAGCTAAAGAGGATGAACAGACTGACAGAATTTTTAAAGAAAAACCAGACGAGCAACAAAAATTAGAATTAGAAGATATATTTTTAGTAGCTTATAAATCTCAAGTCGATAAATCTTCACCATTTTGGCAAGACCTTATTCCGACAGATGAGAAATGGAAACTTGAAGAAATACAAAACGATTTTGAAGATGATGAGGATTATGATGAGGAATATGATGAAGATTATGATTTTGAAATGGAGAAACAGATTGACATAAATTATGGATCTGATTTACAAACTCAACAACCCTCCCAAGATATTGATGATTACAGTTTCATGAAGTGGATTCCTGTAGAACAGAACCCAACAGAATGTAAAAGTAATGATCTAGCACCTAAAATATCAACTACAGAGTCAAGTGTATCAACTATGTCAAATCTTGATACAAATACAGACACCGCACATTATCATAATGAGTATGGTAAATATTTTGAACATGTTAGTAATAATCTGTGGCAAACAGGATTGCAATTCGAAAATGTTGCACAATTTGACCAATGGTTTTGGTACGAATGGCAAAGTCAAGTTAGTACGGTAAGGGATTTTATAAGACAAAAAATATATTTAGAGGAAATGAATAAATTCCAAGAGAGAAACAAAAGGAAGAAGTAAGTTTTAACGCTTGTTATTTAAGGATAGTTTTTTATATCAATTGTATGTTATTGTGGAAAATAAATCAGATTTTAATTTATATTACTATTGCCATTTTTATTTGGTAAGTATTTAAACACACATCAACAAAGTACCTAGGTATCTTTTTTAAGAAAATTTACATATATTACAGATCAAGTTAAGTATTCTTGCGCACATAGAGAAAATTGAAATATCTGATTTATTGTTTTAATATTCAATAAAGCGCTTTAATGGTCATTTAGATAGGTATTCTGAAATTAAAATCAGATTTCTTGTTTGTCGTGAATTTTTGCTCGAATAATTCAGTTGCAAAGAATTTAAAAACTGAACTCTTTCGGCACTATTTTTTTTATTCTGCTATACAGTCTGTTAGTATAAGGTTAATATAGATTTATTTAAATTATTTTTTCTACCGTATTCTTTTGTAATTTCTTTGAGATTTTTTATTCAAGTACATATATGTGATTGAATTCGTCCAATGAAAAATTTGAGCGTGTCGGAGAACTACGCCAACAGTCCTTTAGCCTCCATAGCCGACAGGATCCAGAAGTTGGAAGCGTCTTGAGACTAACCGAAAATGTGCATGGTCAAACAAGACATATCTTCTACCTGGTCACCAAAGAATGGTCACCGATTAAGCCGAGTTATCTCAATCTATGGAAGACCCTGATTAAACTGAGAGAAGCACTGCTAAACAACAACGTTACACGGATAGACATTCCGAAGCTGACGTGTGGACTGGATAGTTTGATTCGGCGTACAATCCGGAACATGATTGAAGTCCTGTTTAGATTTACGGGAATCAAGATCTTCGTTTGCTGTTACAAAAGTTACAACCCAAAACAGATATCAGGCGAGAAAACTGTAGACTGCTATTTCCACCAGACTTCTCAGTGTACCAGAGGCCGGCTTTGCAAGTACCTTCATTCACCGTGTATATCTCGGGATGAGCATGTATAAAGCAAAATATATTTAAAAAAGCAAAATATATTTAGAGTTTCAGTTACTTAAAATTAAAAAATCTCAATTTTTTTAAATAGCACACTCTATACCGGGTGTGTCTCAAAAGTGACTCACCCCCTATAACTTTTTTATTTTTTCAGATAAAAAACGAGATTTGGTATATTAGTATATGACATAAATTAGGATTGACTGACGTATTCAATTGAGCGTCCGGATTGCACAACGAATTTAGCGCGTAGCCGCAGGCAGCCCAGTAGGCAAGCGATCGAGACAGCGACGCCGACGCGCCGATTTAACAAAATAAATAATTTTAAACCTGCCGTCATTTCGTTAATAATTATCGCAGCGTGTTGATTTTTGCATAGAAATACTCATGAGTCTTTAGCGCTTCCGACAAGCCTAAATAACTGGATTATTTTTTATATTTACGATTTGTTTACATTACCCGAGCATATTATTACTTTGAGATAAAAATCTCTGTTATAAAATTTAAAACGGACAGATATGAATACTATCATTTAATAAGTTATACATTTAGTTACAACATATTCAAAATTTAGGTCTATCGGTTTATGCTAGCAGTAATAACGAGTATAAATAAAAAAAAATGGTCAGTACAACGCTCGCCGTTTTTAGCGCACGTTCAGCTTTGGTTTTAGTTTTAGCGCTATTTTTACAGAAAATAAATTCTGAACTTTGATCAAATAACTAGAACATTATCATTGCCGATATCTCCTGGTTATAATGTAGTTCTTTTTTCAAAATATTCCATTGTTTTAGCTTAAAAAAAACTTGAATTATGCGGATTTTTTTGCGAGAGCTACCGGAGCTGCGTTAACAAAGAGATGGCTATGTACGTCAATCATAGCCACAATAGACTGTAATTTTAACTCGTCACGAGATTTTTTGGAAATATTGCACTTCAATTTCTACTAACTTTTGACCTTTCTTTTCGGTCGCATTTCCCTCTAATAATAAATAATTTAAAAAACGCACAAATACTACTGGTAGTAAACAAGCTGTGGCAAAAATTTTCTAAACTCCGTGTAAATAAAAGACTGTCGCAAATACTGTCTTTCGATTGACGTACATACAGTACGTCTGTCCGTTCTGTAGCTACGGGGTATCCGTGAGAGGGGAAACGATATTTTCTCGATGTTTTTCGTAAAAAATTAGACGACGCGTCCCATGCTGAACGTGCGCTAAAAACGGCGAGCGTTGTACTGACCATTTTTTTTATTTATACTCGTTATTACTGCTAGCATAAACCGATAGACCTAAATTTTGAATATGTTGTAACTAAATGTATAACTAATTAAATGACAGTATTCATATCTGTCAGTTTTAAAATTTATAACAGAGATTTTTATCTCAAAGTAATAATATGCTCGGGCAATGTAAACAAATCGAAAATATAAAATATAATCCAGTTATTTACGCTTGTCGGAAGCGCTAAAGACTCATGAGTATTTCTATGCAAAAATCAACACGATACGATAATTATTAACGAAATGACGGCAGGTTTAAAATTATTTATTTTGTTAAATCGGCGCGTCGCTGTCTCGCTTGCCTACTGGGCTGCCCGCGGCCACGCGCTAAGGTCGTTGTGCAATCCGGACGCTCAATTGTTTTCGATCACTTCCTGTTTCACCAAAAGTGACTGCAACTTTTGATTTTTAAATGGCACCCTCGGTATTTTTTTACTTTATGGGATAGAAATGAATGACGTATCATATGTCAACTTTTGACATTCTCGCTTAAAAAATCATATTTTAAATTTCAATCTAGAGTGCCATGGTTAGGTTCAAAACACTAATTTTTAATCAAGGAGTGTGGGAAAAATAGATTTGGTCGTCTAATGTTTTTAGTGTCCTGTTCTAACCGGTTAAAATATGCCCAAATCGTATTTTTAATTATATCTGATTTTTTTTCAAATGGAACGAGGCATATACTCTTAGCATATTTGGAAAAAATTTGGTGGCTCATTAGCATATTTCGAATAATTTGATAAGTACTACACACTTGGTATTTCGAGTCAAAATATCGATATGAACCGCATTTTACAATTTCAAATAAACCATATGCAAAAATGTCAAAAGTTGACATGTGATACGTCATTCTATTCAGAGTGTCATTTTCTATCGAATAAAGTAAAAAAATACCGAGGGTGCCATTTAAAAATCAAAAGTTGTAGAAATTTCCTGTGAAACAGGAAGTGACCAATGACAATTGAATACGTCAATCAATCTTAATTTATGTCATATACTAACATACCAAATATCCTTTTTTATCTGAAAAAATAAAACATTTATAGAGGTGAGCCACTTTTGAGATGCACCCGGTATGTTATTATTTTTTTCTGATAGATTTTACAAAATTCTTCAACTTTTATAAGGTAATATCATCATTTTTAATAGTTTGCAACTTATTCTGAATTTTTCAATTTTTACTCTTTCAATTCATTTTATACTAAACATAGTTGCCATGACAAAACAAAAATATTTATTATTAATCATTAACAATTAATCATGAAATAAAAAATAGGGCATTGCATTTAAAAAAATATATCTTGTGTCCGCCACACTTTTTGGAAGCACTGTATTCTCTGTAATAATTTTAAAACGTGCATCTTAACCTTCCCTATCACTTTTCTATTTATAGCATTTTTTAATAATAATTCTCAAAACAAATGAAATAATGAACTTTATCGTTGGCTCACCCTGTACAACTATGTAGAAACACGAACATTGTAGAAATTTTCATTATCTTACAATAATAAAAATGTTATCCTACTAGTTAGTAGATGTCATTAAGTTATTACAATAAATTTAATCCCTTTAAATAGTTGTAACTACTGAGACATAGATTTTTGTATTGACAGAATGGGCAATAAAATTTAACAACGTCAATTACATGTTTAATTAACGTAATATAAGCCAAATAAACCGATCATAAAATTATATTTACAATTATTGTGCGTGTTAGACAAAGTGTAAATAGTTCCTCTCGATGTATCTAAAATAATCTGGTACTTAAAATGTTATAAAATATTTGAAATTTTGCTATTTTATTAATTTGATAATACAAATGGAATAATAACAATAATTATTATTTCCCTAAAAACAAATCGTTCTAAAAATAGCAATATTTCCTATTCCAGCGTGTTTTTGTTTCCGCGATATTTTACTGGGTGATTTCTGGGGTATTTTTAAGAGTCTATTACGCTGTAACTTTCGGGTCGCTCTCAGGGGTCGGGAAAAGCGGGTGTGTGGCTGAAGGAAATATATCTTATATTTCAGAAATCTGCCTAAGCTTAGCCCGATCCTGTCGTGTTAAGCCACACCTAAAATTCCAAACACACGTGTTTTGATTAAGGTTTGCAGAGCTTCACCATTTGATATAAAATAATGAGCAATTTGTTACAAAACCATATAAATTATATATCACTGTAATCACAAAGCTTCAATCTATTTCCGTATTGTAACGAAATTTTAAATTATGTCTTTATTTTCGAGACAATTTAGTCCAAACACAAGGAATATTTTGTTGAGGTTCGACCATCAAAATCTTAAAAATAAAGAAGTTGTCTAAAAATGTGCTACAATATGGATATAGTATAATACTTTATCTTTAATGTCCTTCATTTGTGTAAAAATAACTAGCCAGTTTTACATAAAACGTTAAATGCCGAACGCTTATTTTGCTACTTTTTCGGATGAGTGAAATGGACTCTTAAAGCAAAAACTTTATATAAACATGTGTTCTAAAATACTTCGATTTGAAATACAGGGTGTAAAAGTTTTTAGAAAAAAAAATTCACAGACTTTGCAACATGCGCAACCATCATAGGCGTATTGAAAATACCAGACACAAGGCGGCGGTTGTCGACAATCACCTGTTTTTTTACATTTTATATTAACTTGTGGCGTCATTTGGGAGACCTCAATAGAAATATAAAAGAACTAAACCTTGTTCGTTGGAAAGCAATTTTACATTCGTGACGTCAGCACTCCGGCAGTCTAACGTAAACGTATCATTGATCGCTATTCACAAATATATTCCAGATACGTATAGTGAACAAGTTTAACGTTCGCAACGTTAAATAATTTTGATATTTGATTTTTATCGTGATGGTTTTGTGTAAAAGTGAAGAATTTAGGAGGAAAATATTAATGATGGATATGAACGTGTGCGGATTCGTGATTGGTCACGATCACGGTCAAGACACTATGACGGGCTCCTATACCCACGTAGGAGCCCAAAATATGCAAAAAGGGGGTCAGTTTAGCTTAAGTTTAGATTAGGTCTATATTTTTTATTAATGCAAAACCAACTAAAACCTAATTCTAATCTAACCTAAACTCACTTCTTCATTTGCATATTTCGGGGTATTACCTGAGTATTCCTAGGTTTAACCAATATTCGAACTTAGGTGTAAATTTAAATTGCCTAATAAAAAATCGTCACAACCACTACTCATAGTATGTACCTATGTATTTTTAAACATCATTATGAAATTAAAAATACATAGGTGCCCATAATATGAGTAGCGGTATTTTTTTTTTCGTTTCATCATAACGGATTTTGTTGTGCTGAAAATAAGCAGCAAAATATATTATCGATTGCAACAATTAAACCTAGTTTACGTTCAGTATGTCCAATTAATATAGAACATTATAACTATGCATACTTTTAAAAAATTAATTAAGTAAGGTAAGAGTAATTATTATAGCCGTATAAAATATGTATGTAGACAGATATATAAATCTGTTTAGTTCAAAAATGTATTTTTATATTAATTCGTTTTAATGGCATTATTTGCAAAAATTACTGAAATTAATCGGTATAATAAACATAAAGGAACTCAACAGAACGTCAACGGTTTCTTGTAGACGTATCTGTTTAAAAAAAAGTAAAGTGTTCTCGAGTAGTTGAATTTAAATATTTTAAATAGTTTTTTTCTTTATTCTTTGTTTTTTTTTTGCTTCCGACGACGGAAAGAGATAACTTTCCGAAACGTTAAGCATTTTTTTTGCTTTGTTAGGCAAATTTGTATTACCGTAAACATAACTTCTGACAAGCAGCGTCCGTTTAGGTTTAACGCAGAAGTGTTTACAAAAAATAATTATTTTATTTTGTAGATTTTCTTGCAGCAGTGGCGATATACCCATACCGGATTTTTTTGGAAAGATAAAGGAACTCATAATATTTCATTACTGCCCAAGTAGCAAAAAGAAATTCTAAAAGGATTGAATTATTTTATAACAGTCGAATAGCGTTGTCTTAAGGACTGCTTGATTTTATTAAGCGTTTGGTTTCGACCATTCTGTTTTTTAATAAAAGTTGTCATATTAAACTATTTTCTAGTGGTTTTTACAATGTATCCTATAACGCATTAAACGATTTCTTTTAGTATGATATAATACTTAATAAGACAATGCTATATGATAACAAACATATTATTTTATTAGACTCTTATGCCCACCATGTAAGAGTTCTATAATATTCATATAACTAGCAGTCACAAGATCATATAATAGTTACTTAAACTTGTCTTATTAAAGTTGTATTACGTAGTATGATAGAATGTTTTATTGCGTTAAACTACGGTACTGTATACAACACTAGTTATATAGCCTTATATGATAAAATTGTGATTAACAAAATAAATTCGCTGTAATATCTGCATTATAAAACTGGTAATGTATAATATAACCTCATTGTAAATTAAATGGTATACCTAGTTATTCATTTTGTTATTGTTATTGTTGCAAAAGTAATATCTACGTACGAGTATAATCAATCACACCTATTATGAATTCTGGACAAAGTTGGAAAAAAGTTAACAAACGCAGTGGTAGTTATAAAAGAGCATGTAAGAAAAAACTCCTCGAAATTACGGCAAATAATCCCGAGAATTCCCTGGGTTCCCAAAAGCCAAAATCTCTCGGGTTGTCTGGCTTCTTCAAAGCATTGTTGCCACGTTGATGTAAAAGTTTTATTCAAAATGTTTGTATTGTTTTATTGTTGTTCTTCCAAGTCCTTAGGTTGCCGCTCACTCGTCGGGCATCCATGAAATGCATTGCGTGCATGAATCCATGAAAATCTGATCATGTTTGTTAGTTTAAATACTAACCAAATGAGATTTGACATCTATTTGTCACAAATCTCAATATGTCAAAAATAGTTCTATAGTGCCTGGAAATTCTGCGTAATGATAGATATTTATCCTATACCGTTTTATTTTACAACAAAGACTTATTTAAAAGATTCATTTATAATAAAATGGTTGCAATATAATTCGCCATGTTTAAGGCAGAATTTTTGTATGGCCTATGGCCTCCATTATATGAAGCAAAATTAAAAACATCAAAATAAATTGTAAAATGTTTGGTTTGGTTTGGTTTGGTTTGGTTGTGAATTCATCAAAATAAATTGTAAAATGTTATTTTTGAGAACTATTCCCAGAGATCTATTTCCCTTATTAAGATAAGATTCCCACATAACAGTAATAAACTGTTTAATTAAATTAAAAACTAGAATTTTTGAAAATTTTATTTTATTTTATTGTTTAAATTTATACGTAAACCTTAATCGAAATTAAGGCGCTTTAATTTTTTGCCAGATACATACCTATAATCTACCAGTAAAATTTTCGGCGCAACAAAAATTGTCCCTACTTTTCAAACCCTATTAATGATTTTTTATATTACATATTTGTTGTACCTTCTGGCTCTACCCGCCATTTTCACCGTCGAGTAAAGTCTCCTTTTTAACAATCCACATCCTCTAGATTCATTTTACGACACGCTTAAAATATAATTTGCTCCTAATATTCTTCGGTAAAAAATAAAATACTCTTTTACCTCGCTAAATGATCAAATGTTTTTATTGTTAGTTTTATAATAGTTATATAACGCTGTGTAAAATAGTTGCATAAGAGTTGTATACCCTTTTTATAGAACTTCTACACTACTAAACGGTTGTATAAAAATGGGCCTTTTTTGGTTGTAAAGCTATCATATTACGGTCTTGTAGCATTTTATACGAATTGAGGTATCCTATAAAAATGATCACATAGCTGTTTATACAGCCTTTATAAAATAAAATTTGCTACTTGGGTTAATTATTAAATCCAAGTTAGGCTTAAAAATGAATCACTCGTAAAAATTCTTCGATTTACTTATTTCCGGTTAGCTTTCTAATTTTGATTCTAGATTACAAAAAAAATTGCAGGAATGTTTATCATTGATAAGAAACAAACAATAGCCTATCGTGTCTGTCACTATCAGCCTGTCTGTCGCAGAATTCATCCTTATTTTGTGAACATTTATAAGTAAGTAATAAACTTGACTGTTTCAATCTCCTTGATGGGATAAACGCAATTTTATTAATTTGTCTTAAACAAAAGCTAATAGAAATCTTTAATTTTTTTTAATGTCATTAACTGACCGAAGTATTAAATAAGTACTTATTGATTTCTCATAAAAAATGTAGAAAAAGATCCTATAAACATGGATGCGAAAATGCATAGTTTTAAAGGTACAGGATATTTAAACTTCAGTGGCGCACATGTTTTTTTTAGAAAAATATTCCAGTGATAACCCATATGTACGTCCCTGGTGAATCTGTCTAGAGTTTTTTAGTACTAAAATATGTCTCGCGCTTATAGTAATTATCACTTTCAAAATGTCATTAAAATCGCTAAAAACACTTGGAAGAAAACTATAATGACTTTGAAAAATGAAAAGACTTTAACCCCCTGTAGCTACGTAAAAAAGAAGGATTGCGCCTGTGTCGAGATAAAAGATAAATCATATTTTTACGTGAGAATTCTCTCCACGAGAGATGGTACATGTTTTTTGATAATACTTATTCATACCAGCCTCAGAAATATTTCTGAAAAAAGGAAATTATTCTTACACCGCCACATCTGTGACCATATCGTTTACAACACCAACCATAACGGATACTAACATGTAAATGTTTAAATAAATATACTCATATGTTTTTTTTTCAATCGTTTTCGCTAGTATTTACATTACGATTCACCTCTGAATAATTATCAAATTCGGCTTTTAGTCGGAAATCTTTTGTAGATAAATTTGTTTATCTCGATTGGTATACCAGAATATCAGATATATTGAATATTTTCCCTGTTATTCAAACATTACGTTATAGTTTTAGTATAATCCGAGTCCCTGAAACCTAATTTGAAGGTTTTACGGAGATTGAGTGCGTGTTTTTGTGATAAAGTTTAGTTCGTTTTAATTTTTTATAGATGTGTTGCTGTACTTTTAAGGTAATTTTTTCTTTTGTTGCTCTTAAAAATACCGTATGATCGGAAAATACACGGTGTCTTGGAAATGACGATCGATGACACTCAAATATTACAACGATTTTAATTTCCAAGCCATCTCTGATGCGGTTTTTTCCCATTATCGAAAAAAAACGGCGTGTGCGATGGCTATGCAATTAAGATCGCTGTCATTTTATAAATAAATTTATATGGGAAATATCATCGATCAACATTTTCCAGCCAAGTGGACGCCGTTTTTCATAACATAATCTGGCATAGAGGATATATTATTTATTTTAGTTCAAACTGAATATCGAAACTTCATAGGTAGGATGAATATTATAGTCCTTATTCTTAGGTCGAACGGTGCGACTATTTTGAGACAAAAGTTGCAAACTAGTTTACTCTACAATCAGTTTCCAACTCAAATAAAACTTACTTTAAATGTGGTAGACAACGATTCAATACTAAAGCTAAAAGAATTTCGAACTTTCATTGTCTTCCATTGATTTTGCTTACACAACGTGTCAGTCAGAAGTACCACTGACCGTTGTGTCACTGACCGGCTCCATACACAAACCACATTTTCCAAGTGACTTCGAACGAGGCTTATATAGAGACACTTATTCAGAGCATTGATGTTAAAAAAGTCCTTAGTGTGATGTTTCATAAACCCCAGCATTTTAAGCGCCTTATTACAGCATTGCTCGATATGTCCAACAAAGGTTAATTTTTTATCAAATATCACTCCAAAATCGCGAAAAAAGTGGACAACATCAATGGCAATTTCTCCAATAGTATATGCATTAGCAATAGGATCAGCACTCTTGGAACAGTAGATATATTTACATTTCTGCACATTCAGTCGCATTCTGTCCTTAAGACACCAGGCCTCAAACCTGTAGAGGTCCTCCTGCAGCCATTGCACAGATAATACATATTTCAAGGGTGAAAATATCTTAATATCATCTGCATATAGCAATACTTTACTATGATGAAAGCAGGATACTATATCATTTATAAATAGGTTGAACAGTAATGGTGCAAGATGAGCACCCTGGGGTACTCCAAATGTAGCTCTATATGGTTCTGAGAAGAAAGTGTTGTTGATCTTCACAACCTGGTATCTGTTTGACAGATATAAGCTCATCCAATTCATCAGACATCCTCCCATTCCATACTTAGATAGTTTTCCTTTCAGGATGGTATGATCCACGGTATCAAAGGCCTTGGCACAAATTACCTATAACAGATGCGAAAGAAAGCGACTGCATCGGAAACCGCTCAGCAAACCCAACACGCCTATTGGGTGGTGTAAATACACCAGTCGTTTAGTCCGGAAACCTATGCTGTGTCATATTCGCTTGCTGGAATGACAGTGCGTGGTTTTATGTTTCTTTTTAAAAACGCGTGTAGGATTTTTGTTGAACTTTTGAACTGTTATTTCTACGTTTTGGTAATTTGTATATCTTATTTAAAATGGGATGCAAATGTGTTTATTTATAAGGAAAAAAAAGATATTTATAGTATAAAAAATTAATTTATTTAACAAAATTTAATTAAAAATGTGACAAAATAGTTACCTTTCTATTGGTTCTATCGGACTTTTTTCGACTATATAAATCTTTATTTGTAAACTTTAATACATCAAATATTTTCAATCTAATAAATCATTTAATGATGTAAATAAGAGGAAATTTCTCACATGGGTGGTCAAATTTTATAGTTTTCATTATATCAAACAGCCTCTGAGAAATGTTTTCAACTCAAAATGCCTTTAATTATGTTTGACTACATCATTAAAAAGGGTCTTCAAATACATCAATGTGATATTTGTCTAAAATTTGCAAAAGAATCCGAATCTCTGAATAACTCGAAATTATTTACCCATTTAAAAGCCTTTGATCATGAAAGTGGAAAAATTTGTTCATTTTATTTACAGGCTGGAAAAATTATTTATATTAAATTTTGATGAGTTTTGCACTGTAGAAAACATTCAGAGGCTGTTTGATATAATGAAAACTATAGAATTTGACCACCCATGTGAGAAATTTCCTCTTATTTACATCATTAAATTATTAGATTGAAAATATTTTATGCATTAAAGTTTACAAAAAATAAAGATTTATATATAATTATTATTAATAAAATAAATATAAATAATTATTAGATTTTATATAATTATTGTAATTCATGCTTACAAAATCGGTCTTGTTATAATTGTATATTTCGTTTTCATATTGCGAAACTGGGCCATTGTTATGAAATGGCAGGATTGTTTTCCATGGCGGGGTGGTGTCTCTCACATTTAAGTAGATATTCTTCAGTACCTACATATCATATCCGTTTTTCCATATAGCTGAAAACTAAATTCAACATGACACAACATTGAATTGCAAGTCTCGCTACATTGAAATAAATTGAGATACGGCATTATTTCTGCTAAAGGTTAAACTGCTGATGTCACATCCTCTACATTGACCCCCATATGATCATTGCTCCAGTTAGTTTTTGGTGAGTTGTAATTACCAGCAATACATATACGGAAATCTTTGTGTGACTCAATAACTTCCTCGGTAGCATCACAATGTCTTTGGTATGCTTCAGAACTTGAGGCTGGGGGAACGTAAACACAACACAACACTATTTTAACATTATTAGTGTTAACCTTTACCCAGATTTCTTCTGTTAGACGACTCTCCACCTGTATTGTCTCTACTCGTAGTCGTTTATTAACTTCTATCAGAACTCCACCATTACGATATTACCTATCAGATCTGGGTTTTTGTCTTTTCTGAAGATTTCATAGTTTTGGAAATCTAGTTCAGTGTCATTAATATCACTGTCCAGCGAGGTTTCTGTCATCATCACTGCATCATAATTTCGATTTGCCATATTTACTGAAAGTTCAGTTAGACTAGACTTAAAGTCAGTTCCTAGACTTACAAACGGTTTTAATTTTGTACTGCTTGGCTATTCTCCTGATCTTTTCCGATGTTCCTTTCACATTTTAAAATAAAACTGCTGTACGCACACGGATGCAACTCATTATGAATCAGTTTCAGGCAGTTGGTGTAGCAATTCAATTTAAAAAAAAATTCAATGTCAAATTCCGAATATTGAGTTATTAATTATCACAAATTAAATACCGCAGGACCCAGAGACAGTACTGGGTCCATCCATACATGCTTTCACTACCACGTCTTTCTTGAAGTACCCCAGAAAGTTTATAATTATAAAGTTCTTCGCATTTCTCAACCTCTTCAACAATTTTTATGTTCAGTTCTTGATCACCCATTTTGAAATATATAAAATAACCACGTGGAAATCACTCGAATACGGGCAACTTTAAAATTGCAACGCAACTGCAACCGCGGTAAATAGTCGCGAACAACAGATTTGTGACTGATTGCAAACTAGTTCCATTCGAATCGATTCGTGTGCGGCTTCACACTACTATACTTTACCGAGGTTGCAAAATAGTTGCAAGCTCAACCAATTGAGTATGGGGTTTAAGTATTGTAAATTGTAGTACCTATGATGTAAATTACGTATGTATATAAATAAATGGCAAATATTCTATTTTGTAGAAACGAAGACGTTCTGGAGATTCGTACAGTTCTGTCGAAGGGGCTTGTATGTGTAGAATGTGGCCCTTGTGGAAGATGATTCTAGTATGGGGTTTGGTAGCAGTGTATGTAGAATAATAATTAATAATATTCTATATGATGAAAAGCTATATAATTAGAGTGTGTGTCATTTATAATACTAGTTGTACTATATACTTATTGTGAAGCATCAACTCTAATTATAAGTCCATTTGATCATATTATATGATATTATATTTGTATGAAGTACCCAACTCATTGTGGTTATTATTTTTATAGGGCGGGTTTGATTCTCTTGGCTTTCATACTGGTCTTTATAGGGTTTCCCATAACGTTTTGGTTAAGCTATCCGCTGCAAAGATTTCTGACATTCATACCAAGTAAGTAACTACCTAATGTTTTCATAGACTTTAAGTTGTATTGTTTTGGGATTAGGAATGTCTGTCGTTTTGTCGTATAAGCCCTTAGGTCAACACATTTGATGCTATTGTTAATATATGTGTGAAATCATTATTTTAAAGGATTTTTCATGTGTAACTTTCGTTTCTTTTGAACTAGAAACGATCTTTTATAAATATTTTTAGTAACATTAATTATATATTACTCTGTCTTCCCATCTATTTCATAAAAAATCCATTGTCCTACAGTTACTATCTTGTAATTATTAGTGGCAAAATAATGCTGTATACAGGGTGCTAAAAATTCGAGGTATGAGCATTGGTATCTCAGAAACCGTAATAGATACGAAGATAGTTAAATTGGGGCAAAGTTGCCCCCCCCCCCCCGTCTGGGGATGTTCACCAAGATACCATCAAAATTTTTTTTAAAATCTCAAGGATTGCTGAGCTTTTTGGGAAAAACGCATTTTTTGAAAATCAATTTTATTTTTTCCTCTCGTAACTTTTTAGAAAACCAATAAACGAATTATACATTCTCGTAGCCACTTTATTAGGGCTATCTGACAGTATTTTTACATTTTCAAATTAGCTGTAAAAATATTCTTAAGGCACTTTTTTAAGCGCAATCCAGTGGCGTAGTCCCAGAATGACGGTGTTTTCCCATGTACCCTTAAGTTATTTGCATTTTTACTGACTGCCATTACATCTCGATCAAATACAAGGTGGCACTGTTATGCTCGGTTATCAATAATTTATTAACTTCTAGTAAATTCACCAAAGAACCCAACGTTTGACGATCCCCTCTCATATGGTATCCAGGGCGCCTACAACTTCTACGTCACCGTTCAAGACTACTACGATCCGGACACGTTGACCAAGATAGGCGCTTGGTTGATCTTACCCGAGAGTGACATGACAAATGTTAATAGTGCTAATATTACCGATATTCTGAGTAAGACAGATAAGGATATTCTGTTTTACTTCCACGGGGTACTGGCCAATAGGGCGAAACCGATAAACCAATATGGAGTGTTCAGGAAGAAATTTATGGTGATTGCTGTGGATCATAGAGGTAAGAAGTTTTAAAGAGGTGAGCTTAGTGAAAGCAAAGTGGGCTCTTAGTGGGCTCAATGAAAATCCGTTTAGTAATTGAACTTGTCTTTGTTACTTCCGGTTTTCATTTTTTATTGTTTTTCTCTTATCTTACGTTTATTTAGACAGTTACCACCCGGTATACCGGGTGGCGCATGAATGTTGGAAAGAGGTAAATCCTATACAAATTTTGAACTGTCCAAATATTGACTCCCTTATTAATTTTTCAGCTGTCGTAAATAGGTCGTATTTTAAAGGTCTACATACTATGCTGAATACACATGCCAAATTTGAACAACAATTTTGAACAAGCCGATTTTAAGTAATTTAAGAAAAACTGCATCTATTTTTAAATTAAAACTGAACATGTGTTAACAACAACTTTACATTGGAAAGTGCCCATAAGGACAATGTAAATACTATTTGGCGCTATTCTTACAACGGTCGCTCTCCAACACTTTTTAATAATTTCGGAGCGGTTCGGCTTTTCCCCGAATGGGCTCTTTCACTATATTTTGGAATTAGCATAATTGAATAAAGCAATTAATTCTAGAATTTTCTGCTATCTCACTTTCGAAAAATTTGAAGTCGTTCTTAAGAAAATAAATAAAAACAAAAAAGCCCAGAATAAAAATCCGCACTTTATTTTTAATACGTCACACCTGGCATGTTGAAAAGCGGCAACACGGCCGCGCCACCATGCTGACCCACCACCACCTCCACACAAAGCCATTCAACCATTTCCAATATGGCGGAGATAGAAGTGCTTTATTTGGCGCGTATTTTAAAATCTGTTTTATTTCCAAATAGATATTTTTCACACAAATGTCGGGTTAGATTACGTAATATTTCACTAATTTTTTAATATACAGGGAGTCTAAAGCTCTACACATAAGTATGGAATTTTTTGTATTATTACTTTTATGAAAACATCAGTTAGTTAAGTTTATAAAAAGGTCTGTTTTCTCAGAAAATAGGTAGGTAGGGTACTAGTGTGTAAATATTCAAACTTGAGGTAGCATATATAGGGTGTTCAAAATCATCGGAAAAAGAAATAACCAGAAATATATGACAGAAAATAGCAATATAAACTAAATATTCAATTGCAAATACTTACCATAGTTTAGAATTTACTGCACGTTTGATAAATATATACTATTTTGATAAATATATACTATTTATTATAATAGTTACTTGTCTTAGTAAAAGCCTTGGTAAATGCTCTTGGAATTATAAACTAAACTGGCTTGGGTTAAAAAATATGGAATATTTTTCCTATGTTTAGCAGCATTACACAAATGGGAATAAATTTAAACTATAATAGGTGAGGATAACTAAAAAATATAATGTGTTTCAAGATTTTATATAGAAAAAAAACTAAATACCATTTTATAACGTCATTCCTTTTTTTTGCATAGTTCTTCAATAAAATATTGGATATTCTGAACAAGATGGGTTTAATAATAAATTCTGACGTATGTGAGGGGCAATTGTGACTTAAAAAAAGACTTACATCCGGGCAGGCCATTTATATTTTCAAATATGAATGTTGTCAATATCTTTCTGTGATCTTTTTGATGTAAAAAGCTTGATTATTCTTCCAATATTTTACTTATAGTGAGGTAAGTGTAAGCAGTAGCCATAACTACATCCTCACTAGGGTAACAGAGGCTTTGGGGCCTTTGGCCTTTTTGAGGCATATTTAATGCACTTGTTACCCGAGAACTACTAGTAGGAGTGTAGTGTAGCTCTTTTAATAGCTGTCAACCATTTTTTACGAAGCTCGTCGTTTTTGGGGAATATAAAAGCAGAAACCTTGGGACCCCCTCTATAATTCTCGTGACAATTTGAAGCAGAGCATGTAAAAGGTATGCTACAATAAAATGTTAATACCTATCTTTTGATTATTGTAAGTAACCATTATAAAGTAGGTACTATGCAGACTGGCGGTGAAGGCTTTTTACTCATTTAGTTGTAATATCTTGATAAATACTTCTAGTTCTTACCTTAAAATAATTAATAATAGAGGAGTACGACAAGCACAAAAGTTTGAAGTTCCCTATGTGGAATGTCTGGTTTGGATTTTAATTACACTGTTATTTTATCACAATTTTCTGATCACACCATGCACTGAACACTAAGAACTAAACAAACGTGTTGCAGAAGCACAACAAACTAGAGATAATTAATTATTTCTGGTATGCAATCGGAACGAGAAACCACTACCGGCTTTTCAGATTAAAGGTAAACAATTTAATAATGCGCTGCCTTCGCCGCCATATTTGCCTTGCCCATATCATGTTGATTGGCCTTGAGTTGAGGTCGTGCTGGTCAAATCAAATCGCAATGTTGCCAGTTGTTGGCTGGCGCACGAGTACGGTTCTGCAATGTGATTGGGCGTATTTTTCATACGTCATCAATTGCTTTTAAATTTATTTCAAATTAAAGGATAGATTTTGAAATAAATTTAAAAGCAATTTTGAGGACCTATAAAAAAATTATTCAATGTCATGGAACTATTTTTTTTTTGGATAAATATACTGAAAATAGTCTTCTATTTCAGATTTTGTCCTTGAATTGGGTATTTTATTTTTTGTGAAAGAGCCCATTATGTCGCTAAATATTATTTATTCAAATTTATTATTTCTTTTAATTTTTTAAATAAAATACAGTGTGTTGCATATAAGAAACTTTGTTTTATATAAGGACATGCATGAAATACCTATGAAACATTTAAAACCATTTTAAAACCGACGTTATGCCACGATCCACGCTAGTTTTTGCAGTTCACAGTTCACACAGCTTTTTAAATATCTAATGCCTCGTTTTCACAAATATCACGAGTTTGAGTAAATAAAGTTTAAATTAAACTCGCAAGATAGCAATAATTACTTTGAAAATGGACGCTTTAAACACTTTTCGATATTTTTTCAATGAGGGCAGTTTAAATTTTGAAAGATTTTATAATTTTAGAAGATTCTGACTTTGACAAGAGATATGGACAAGAGAAAATTGTTTCTGTTTTTGTTTGCGGTTGTTCTTAGCAACCGCTATAGCAGCGCCAAATCGCGTACAACGGTCGCGACCCTAAACAATTTCGCGACCCAAAATTTTGACGGACAACCAATCTAATGGATTCAGTTTTTCTGAAATTAGTAAAAACGGCTTGTTCAAAATTGTTCAAATTTGGTAACTGTATTCAACATACGCAAATTCAACAGGGCCGATGGCACCACTCGGTATATAAAACCTCTCTGAAATAACGTTTTTGATTATAAATTTCTATTTTTAAATATTTAACACACTATTAGGAAATGTTGGTAAATATCAATTAGTAGATAAGAACTCTAAACATTTTTAGCCAAATATAGTTTTTTAAGATAAAAATTAATACACTTATATCGCTCGTAGAGTTAATGTAGCAGTAGTTTTTAGAAGAGCATTTTTCATGCATTTTTATTTCTTTCACTCTCGAAAAGCGTTTGACTGGTAAAAAAGTTAAATTAGTTCTTATCTTTAATTACTATTTACCAAAACTCTTTAATAGTGTGTTAGAAAACCACTTCAGTAATGAATTTTCGAAAACTAAATACACAAGGAAATTTTATTTTTTCATTCATATTAGTGATTGGATTAAATTACCAATCACATTAAAAGTGATGATTAAAACATAATTTTTATTATGATAACCTTAAACTACGAAAATCCTATTCGCAAAGTCGTTTATTTAATAGAGCCTGTTTTTATAAATTTAATTTTAAACAGTTTAAGAAGATCGTTTTTCAAAATATTATTATGTAGGTGTCCATTAATACTGAAGTCCCAAATTAGTTCGTTCCTATTTTCAGCCTTTTATAAAATCAGAGTTGAGTTGTACACAATGTACAGAATTCTGAGTATCCTGTACCAAAGTTTACAAGAAATTTAATTTTCTAAACTTTGTTTATGCTTTTTTAAAATATCAAACTCTGATCATACAATACGCACCTTTTTAGTTTTTTTTGTATTTTGATAATCATAATTTCCAATTAATCTCACCAGGAGATTACAATATCGTAGATTAATTATTTCTAGTAATTCAGATATATTTTAATTCTTATAATATTTGTATGCTGAAATGTTTGATCATACAAATACATTCTTTAGAATTGATTGGGCCTTATCATAAATATCAATTATCATGAACATTTTTAATATAGATTATTTTTTTCTAGCTATTAAGTTGATACAGAGTGATCCCAATCAGTTTCTATGTGAAATTTTCACTCAAAATACCGGGTGCGTCTCAAAAGGAACTCACCCCTATAACTTTTTTATTTTTTTCAGATAAAAAAAAACGAGATTTGGTTTGTTGGTATAAGACGTACATTAGGATTGATTGACGTATTCAATTGTTTTTGGTCACTTCCTGTTTTACCGAAAATAACAACAACTTTTGATTTTTAAATGGCACTCGCGATATTTTTTTGCTTAATACGATAGAAAATGACACTCTGAATAGAATGACATATCATATATCATATGTCAACTTTTGACATTTTCACATATGGTTTATTTGAAATTGTAACATGCGGATCATAACGACAATTTGACTCGAAATACCAAGTATGTGGTATCAAATTATTCGTAAAAAAATGATTTTTCGAAATATGCTAATGAGCCACCCTCGTTCCATTTGAAAAAATTGAGATATGACTAAAAATACGATTTGGGCCTCTTTTAACCGGCCAGGATGACAAGACATGAAAAACACTAGACGATCCAATCTATTTTTCCAAGGCTCCTTGATTAAAAATTAGTGTTTTTTACACAGCCAAGGCACTCTAGATTGAAATTTAAAATACGTTCTTTTGCGTATCTCACACGGATGTTTAATACACCCTGTATAAACTTTTTTCTGATCGAATTATTTATATGTTTTTTGGGGAATATTTTTTTACGAAAGCGGAGAGGTGCCATGCCAACATAGAAATTTATTTTTAGTGAAATTTACACTTTTTCTGTAAATTTAATATTTTTTTAAATTTAAAATTTTTCTGTGAATTTTTCTCTATGGCTTTTTGGTGGCGCTCTAAAGGGTATTTAACCCAAAAAGTTGGACAATATTCAAAAAGCTGTAGTTAAACTGCCGTTAAACGGTAGCTTACTAAAATGCCGTTAATAGGTATGACGTCGTTGATGTGACGCACTTGGCTTTATGAAATATAGGAATTTTATAAGGACTAACCAACGCTATCCACCCCACCAAATAACCAACTCAATCAACGCAACTAACCTCGACACTGATAAAAAAAATATAAAAAACAAATATAAATTAGTAAAAACCAACCAACCCCACCAAATAACCAACTGACCAATGAATTAACACCCTCCAAATCACCACGCTAACCAACCCGCCAAATAACTAAACCAATCCAACTAAAAAGAGTGAAACCAATGCAATAAGATCACGCTATAAGCAAAAAAAAATATAAAAAAGTCTTGGTCGGCGTGAGATTTGAACCACGGACCATTCGCTTACGAAGCGATAGCCTCAGCCACTGACCCACAGGTGCTCTTGCAGAATGCTTAAGGCTAGGCATTACTTTCCGCCGACATGAACGACGTCACAATATCTATTAACGGCATTTTAGTAGGCTACCGTTTAACGGCTGTTTAAGTACATCGTATTCAAAAATCTAAATTCAAGATATCAACCAACCGATACCAGGAATTAAGCTGTACGCACATTGGTGCGATCACGATCCCCACGCGGCCGCGGCAAAAAGTTGCTGAGGAATACATACCGAGCCGTTTGACATTGGCGCGATCAAGTTTTGGAGACGAGTTCTCACTTGTCAGTTTCGCTGACGCAGTCTGACTGATTCATTATCAATGAAAAATAAAAAACAACGATTGTATTCACACGTTTCATGTTTTGCTACATTCAGTATTCAGTTGGTCCAAACATTCTAATGTGGTGATTTCGTATAGACATGAAAATGGTTAAAACAAAAATTGAAACCAGGTGTTCGCGAAGTTTGTTTACAATTAGCAAATGAATTACAGAATATTCTGGTGAATCAGAAAAGAAAAAAAAAAACGTCGTAGGTGGTCAGGTCCTGGATATTGCGAAGAAATAAACGGGGTGCTAGTGAAACTATATTAAAAGAATTAATTAACTTAACTTGTAAACTGCACAAATCACGAAAATGTAGTTCTCACGCTTCAGTTTCTATTCATTATTCGATAATGATCAGTCAAAATGAAAAAAAGTAGAACTGGTTTTCACTTTAACTGAAAACACGAATGTACTGATCATTTAACACGAAAATGTGTTCTGACGTTCATTGTTTGTTCAGTATCACTGAATCAGTCAGACTGCGTCAGCGAAACTGACAAGTGAGAACCCGCCTGAAAGCGGCCTGGCGGCGTTCTATTCTGCGGTGGCGATCAGATTCAACTTGTCGAGTTTGATCGCATGATCGCGACCCAACTGATAGGAATTTTCCGTTATTTTGTGTATTTTTTCTTGTTGCAATTTAGAAATGGAGTTAACAGAGCAGCTAATTAAGGCTGTAAAAATACACAAAATTCTATATGATTTATCCGATCCAAGTTACAAAAATAATAGAATCAAAAATAAAAAGTTTGAGACAAAATTGAAGTTGCAATTGGATTGGATAGTACATATGAATACATTTTTATTGTTTAAGTTTAAATATTGTAGGTAAATATTTAAGAATGTTTTTTTTTTCAGTATACATAATTCACATTTTTAATTTGTACCTATGTATACCTACAGGATGGCGCACTACATATAGGTACGGCGGTGAACGTGAACGCGTTGGTGTGTGCTAGAATGATTGCTCATGTTATCGCTGCCCTGATCGTGATCGTGATCGCGGCCGTGATCGCACCAGTGTGCGTGTAGCTTAATTTGTATAAACATAATGTATTTGAGGGTGGGTGGTAGGGGTCAATGACCCGCCGTATTACATTCCGCGCCAATCACAAATTGTTATTCGAATAGACGAGCTGTGTATCGCTGTGCTTTTAGAAAATTTACTTAATAATAATTATCTTAGTTTTTCTTACTAATCGCGATCTTATATTAGTATAGAGGGGTTGAAGAAAGACTTGTTTAGTATTACTCTTTAGTATAACTGTTATTTTGTAGTTAAAACAATATTAATCTGTTAATTTAATAATAGACATATTATTTCATTTATAACAGAATGTTTATGTAAACTTTCAGTATGTAATCGAACATTATCAAGTATATCAATCTGGGTGGTTTTGTAGCTTAAGTATTCCTTTAGAAGGCCTTGATAAGAAATGTTGCTAATTTTTACGAGTTTGGCAGTTGTCGTATTTTTTACTTTCAACACCCTGGATCTTAGAAACAATGCATTTCTGGACCTATGTTTATCGGAACTTTTCTCCATAAAATGACTTGAGGAATCACTCCCTCGAGTATTGATATGTTATTGAGGGACATCCTGAATAAACTTATGTATTTATATTATATAATTCAATCTTAATCTTGTCAATAAAAAAACGCTAGGTATGTATTAAAATTTGAAGCAGTTTTTTTATTTTCTCACGTTTTAAAAGGCGGAAGAATGAAAAAAAAATTAAAATATTATTGGCCAGGTTTTGAGGTAAAATACCCCATAGTGCGGCGCGGCGTCTCTATATCAACTCTTATCGTAAATAATAGTATCAATCACATCAACTCTGCGTTGACCGCCAAACGACCCGTTCGTGGACCCGTATTATTCACTTAGGAAGTAAAGTTCGAGCCGCTTACGCTTCGAGTTTGAGACGACCCGCGTGTGCACGGTCTTACTTTCAAGTTAAAAGTAAGTTTTATGCCAAAGATGATGATGAACCGTTTTCTCCAGTGATAGCAAATATACACAAGAAATGGTTAAAGACAATGGTTCATAATATGAAACTCGTCTATTTGAGAGCTGGATTCCTTTTCTCAATTACCTCAATAATTCTAAAAATGAGTTTATTAGATTTACCACTCAGAAACAAAAATGATGAGATGGTGGATCTATTAGCAGTGTTGCCACTAAGTTAGAAATTGACAGAAATCTGTAAATTTACAGAAAATATGTAAATTTATCGATAAAGTTTAAACTCTGGAGGGCTTAAAAAGACTCCATAGTTTAAAATTTTAACTCCTTTTAGACTCCATAGTTTAAACTTTGCTGAAAAGATTTTACAAAATTGACATGGCTCTACGCTCTCGTAGTTTTTAACTCAACTAATTGTTTTTAAAGGTTATGGAGATTCGGGCACAGATGTGGAAATGTCCGAACCAGCGATTGTCAGTGATCACGTACAGCTCTACAAATGGTTGAGGGGAATCAATCAAAAATCGAACATATATTACTGGGGACACTCTCTGGGAACCGGCATTAGCTGCCACACGTTGAAAAAACTGAAAGCCGAGAGCATTGTTCCTAGAGGACTGGTTCTGGAAGCTCCGTTTTCGACTATGGCAGAAGAAATCCATTACGTTTTAGGAAAGGTAAGATAGCAAACAAAAAATATAAAATCAGCGCATATTGATCCGAATGAGCTTGGATTGAGAAAATCGCATTTAAAATACCATACAATCGAAAAAAACAGCGTCAAAGACTGCTGAGGATTGACAATCGATAATTTTGGCCAGGTCAAACCTCACAGACGTCATCTACTTGGCCTATACTCTTCTTTATTGTTTAATGGCCCTTACTGCCAGATGTCTTTAAAAAGGTTGTAATTTATTTTTATATTGAGTAAAAATTATTTTTAAATATTGTACTATAAAATTCGAGGAAATAGTATATTGTTTTATTAGGAGTAAAAATGCCACAAATCATTTTTTAAATAATTTGAAACTTGCAAATAATACAAAAAGATTTAGAGTAAGATCCCAGAGCGATCTTACTAGTAAGATCCCAGAGCGAAACCTTAGGCTCTCAGTAGTGCTCTCGTGTGCTTTGAATACCGGCGTGTTTGGGGAGTTCGCCCTGTGACACCTTGGCAGATACAGGGTGAGAAAGGTAACTAAAATTAAGAGTTACTTAACTTAAATTTGTATGGCTGATTTTTGTATAAATATTGTAGAATATTACTCTGAAGTAATATCAAAAGTATCAGACACTTTCCATGGACCTGAACTTTTATCAGACGATAGCAAATCAAAAAGTGGATCTTTGATAAAGATAGACTTTATCAAAGTTCCACAAAAAATAAATGAACTTTTTTTATTTTTACATGTCTGATTTTTACATATTATATTATTAAGATAGCTATTATAAAGTTATATTTAATCAGTCAGACAGATTGTAATGACCAAACGTCCTCTAAACACAAAAATTATTCAGCCGTGACTGTGAGCGCGGGAGAACTATGCGCATGCGTTTCCGAGTAAAGTATCTAAATATTTTAAAAATGCTTACTGCTTTCGATTATTTTTTCATCTCTATATAAATAAGATGAGCTTTTTTTTATTAAAGTAATAATTAATAATTATTAAAGTAAATTAATTTATTGCATATAAACCACTCAAAACAATTATCGCATATTTTCTAAAAAAATATTAATTTGAAAAACAAGACACCTCGAATTCTCTGACTTACGTTTTTAAATAGTTTAGATACTGTAAAGGGAAATATTCGAAAATAAGTCTGGGGTGACATGAAATATTTAGTCGACCGAGATTATTTATACTGATACTAGCGTGTACCAGCGACTTCGTTCGCGTCGAATTAATCATTTGTAATGGTGATGATTGATCATAAAACAAAGCAAGAATTTCTATTAACATACAAACTGGATAAAATTTTCTCACATTTATGTCAGCATGAGAAAAAACAATATGGCGATATTATTATATCCCAAGTAGCATTTTCACGACTTGCGACTAAATATTTACTAAACACAACGTTGGATTAGTTACAAAAAATAGTTAGCTCCCTACCTTGGGTATTAAAATAAATTTAAACGTTTTTATAACGTTGTGCCGACGTTGGACTAGTACTACAGCAAAGTAGAAGCTTCTGCGACGTCGAATAAACGTTGTCTTGTAACCTTTTTTACTTAAGTGATCTTTAGGTAATTCGGACAACGTAGTTACAACGTTGGACAATATAGAGTTTTCCGACGTCAGTTTCAGGACCTATTCCAACGTTATGCAAACGTCGTCTGTTTTACTAATTCCAACGTTGTTTAGATTTCCTTATTCTTACGTTGGTAGGACGTCGAGTCACTACCTTTTGCAACTGTATTGAACCATAACCTTAAATCTTAAATTTTCACTTCATTGTTCTGTTCAGTCAGACAGTTCAGTGCTGTTTTTGTTTTTATAAAAAAAACTTAATTGAAATGGGACATAAGAAAGATATATATAAAACTAAATTTAAATATACATCGACATATATTACCGATAGTTTATCCACTCCCTCGTTTATTTAGATTATAGAGGGCGGCACAAGCTAGACTCTAGGATGACTAAATTAGGCAATCTTGCGACTAGCATACTACGTGTTAAGGCCGAACTGCGACTTTATTAGTCCAGTATGCGACTACTCGAACTACTCCATCTTAATCTCCAAAACAACAAAGTGAAATCCGCCATGTTGTTAAATAAGAAAATGTTTCGTTCCTAAAATAGCAATTCCTGCATTTTGAATACATTAACTTGAAATATTTGACCCTAAAAAACACGCGGAGACAATTTTTTCGACAGCGAATAAATTATTCTCATTTTACTAAAAAAAAAATTAAAGAAAATTTTTAAAACTTCTTTAATTTTAAGGCCCATTAGTATTTTTCAAAGTAGAAACAATATATTTATCAATAAAGTTGCTTGCGTTTAACTTTTTTGCCTTAGGTAACGAGTTACAGAGTCGGTTAAAGTGTTTCAATAATTATGATCTTCAAACATCCTCCACACTTAAATACTTTTGTTTTGGTTTCCTTCACTGCCATCTGACATATGTCTCTAACTAAATCATAAAAATAATATTTTTACTATAATTATCCCAATTTAGGATAAAACGCGACTTAGACGCCATATTAGTTTTGTATTTCTGTGAATTAGGATTTTAAACAACGTTGCAGTTTGTACTAAATTAGGCTACTAGCCAACGTCGGTATCCAACGTCGTTTCGACCCAAAAATTATTCTCCAAACTAGTGCAGACTAGGGTTGGCACGAGGTTGTGCCGACGTTGCGCCCCGACTTTTGGTCGCGTGACACAACGTTGTCCCGACGTCCAAATGCTGCTTGGGATAACTTGGTAATATTTGAGAGATAGTTTCATCTCGTTGGAATTTGACTTTCGAAAAATCCGTTTGCCAAAAATAAGCTTTTTACGTCAAGCAGTTTAAGCAGAAGCGTGGTTAAGAAATTTCCAAACTTTTTGGAACACCCTGTATGATTTTTTAAAAAATTTCAAAATATGTAAAAAAACCAAATAAATTATGCTGGTCCAAGCGTTTTCCCGAAAGACTAACCGTTTTTTAAATAAGAAATATTGTAATATTTGAGGGGCGTTTTCACCCTCTTGGAATTTGAGATTCGAGAAACCCCTCCTTATCGAACCTCTACACCTCACAGTCAATCCGTTTGCAAAAAATCAGCTTTAAACGTCAAGCAGTTTAAGCAGAATCGTGATTACTGAATGGTCATATTTTATGAAACACCCTGTATAAATTTATAAAAAATCTTAAAATATGTAAAACAACAAAATAAAATATACGTGTTTAAGAGTTTTTCCGAAAAACTCACCGGTTTTTAAATAAAAAATATTTTAATATATGAGGGATAGTTTCACCCCCTTAGAACTCGAGTTTCGAAAAATCACTTCTTATCGAACCACTACATCCTAAAGTCAATCTGTTTTCCAAAAATCAGCTTTTTACGTCAAGCGCTGTAAGCAGGATCGTGATTAATCAATGACCAGATTTTTCGAAACACCGTGTATACATTTTTAAAAAATCTTAAAATGTGTAAAAAAACAAAATAAAATATACGTGTTTAAGCGTTCTTTCGGAAGCTTGACCGTTTTTTAAATAAAAAATATTGTAATATTTGAGGGGTGGATTCACCCCCTTGGAACTGGAATTTCGAAAAATCTCTTCTTATCGAACCTCTACACCCTAGAATCAACCTGTATGCCAAAATTGAGCTTCTTACGTTGAGTGGTTTGAGCAGGATCGTGATTAATCTGTATGTCAGTCACTTAAGGATTTTATATATTGGTATAGACAAAGAAAATTCTACTGTTGTGTTAACTATAATATTCTTTGGTATAGATTTATTTATACTGACCGATACTGATTCTGAATGCTTATCCTTTTAAGTTTTCGTGTAAAATATCTTTGTACCTTTTGAGTTGTTCACCCGATTTCCTCTTACCATAAAAATTAATACTTTTGTGGTATTTGAAAAAAAAATTGGAAATAGATTTGTGTGTCTGAAAACAGTCTATCCGTTTTTAATCTTTCTATAATTACTGTTGATTTTTGACAAGTTTTATGTCAATGCTTAATAAATGACGTATAGAGATTGATCTCGTCACAATTATTATCAATTATTATTCCTCAGCCGTCTTTGACGCCGTTTTTTTTCGCCGTTTGATCATACGGTATAAAAGCCCCGTTAATTAGTATTTTACAATATAGATATTGTTTAAAGCTCAGTATACCTAGATAACTGTTCATTTTTTTCAAATCAATACATATGTTACTTTAAAAGTCACAAATCCATCGGACTTGCTATAAATAAATAGGACTGTCTATTAACACATTCAAGTTGTTAAAGTTAATTTGTGTCAAAAATATAATTTTTGTGTTTGGTTTGGTTTGGTTTGGCCTGTTCTTGGTTTGGCCTCGTTTCTTTGACCTGTATACTATATATTTTTTTTTTGAGAGAAAACAAAACAAAAAGAGTGAAAACAAAAAAAATATATATATATATATATATAAACTAAACATACATATTTTGTAGTTTTTTGGTTGGCTGGCATATTTTAATGCAACCATGGTAAAGCCGGTTGGTGACAATGGCATTCTCTGGCAATCTGTGAGCAATATCTTAGATGTAGACTGTCCAATTTTGATTATGAACGCAGAAGATGATGGTACTATACCGTGGACTTTAGGCCAAAAGGTAAAATTACAATTAAAATATCTTACGATCAAATTGATTTTTTGATCAAGCGGACTTTGAATTTGAGGTGCAATAATTTTCTAATACAATTTCTCAAAGAACATGAAGAATTGAAACCAGAGATATAGAGGTAGAGAGAATGAGCATGCATGTGTGCAGAAATTGCTCATAATCCCTACCTCTATATCCCTGATTCAAACCTGAAATTGTTATTTGTGTTTAGCTTTATAATGTAGCCATAACTCAAAGAGATATAAGCAAACAAGGAAACGCAACTTTCGTACATTTTCCAGCTGACAAGGGATATAACCATAATGATGTCACTAAGGATCCATCTGTACCGCAACTAATAGAGTAACTATACATGTAGAAATTATTTTTAGTGATGGGAAAAACCGATTAATTTCAATAATCGAGTACTCGAGTATCAAGCGATTGCAATAACCGAGTGATCACTTGAGCGATTTACCACTCGTATTTAAAAATACGGTTTTCACCCGTCGCGTGTTGTAAGTACTCGTTAACGCCAAGCGCCAAGCAGTAAGTTGCGTGCGCAGGGCACATATTCTTTCTGTAATGAACGGCAAGTAGCAAGTAGTAAGCAGCGAGCGATTCGCTTGATCACTTGATTTAGTTTATTTCGAAGCATTGTCGATGTAGGTCATAAAAGTTTGTCCCTCAGAGACGCAACGGATAAATATACTAGGTTCGTCTCAAAAGTGTCACCCAAGTCTCACCCTTATAACTTTTTTATTTTTTCAGATGAAACCACGAGATTTGGTATGTTAGTATATGACATATATTAGGATTGATTGACGTATTCAATTGTTTTCGGTCACTTTCGGTTTCACCGGAAATGACTACAACTTATAATTTTTAAATGGCACCTTCGGTATTTTTTTACTTTATTCGGTATAAAATGGCACTCTGAATGACATATCACATGTCAACTTTTGACATTTTCGCATATATGGTTTATTTGAAATTGTAACATGCGGTTCATAACGACAATTTGACTCGAAGTACCAAGTGTGTGGTATCAAATTATTCGTAAAAAAATTCTTTTTCGAAATATGCTAATGAGACACCCTCGTTCCATTTGAAAAAATTGAGATATGATCAAAAATACGATTTGGGCATTTTTTTACCGGCCAGGACAAGACACTAAAAACATTAGACGATCAAATCTATTTTTCCAAGGCTCCTTGATTAAAAATTAGTGTTTTTAACACAGACATGGCACTCTAGATTGAGATTTAAAATACAATTTGTTTTTGAGCGAATATGTCAAAAGTTGACATATGATACGTCATTCTCTTTAGAATGTCATTTTCTATCGAATAAAGTAAAAAAATACCGAGGGTGCCATTTAAAAATCAAAAATTGTAGTTATTTGCGGTGTAACAGGAAGTGACAGAAAACAATTGAATACGTCAATCAATCCTAATTTATGTCATATAATAACATACAAATTCTCATTTTTTTTATCTAAAAAAATAAAAAAGTTATACGGGTGAGCCACTTTTGAGACGCACCCGGTATATACGGCGTCGTATAAATTTGCTACCTGCAATGTATGTAGAAAATTCGTTCGGCTTTTTATCGAGTATGTCGCATTAAAATCAGATTTCAATTTATTTCATTCTAGGATCGCTTGCGTTCGTCGCTTAGTACTCGTCACTTGCATCGCTCGTTCATAATTGATCGAATTTTCGAGTTATCCCATCACTAATTATTTTCTTATCTCTGTTGATTTATTTTCTTTATATTTTAGGGATTTCATAACAACCTGCGATAATTTTTGGTCTAACAAAACATAAAACTAACAAAAAAATTAGAGCAAAATGACTGACGAGTACCTTAACAAGAAGCCCATATAAATCTGAAATAAATGTGTAATTTATGATATTCGGCAATAGGAACTTAGTAAATACAGTATGATCGAAAAAAACGGTGTCAAAGACGGCTGGGAAATGACAATAGAATGGTAATTTTGCAGAGGTCAATCTCTAGACGTTGGACGTCAGTCTTTGACGCTGTTTTTATTCGATCGTATGGTATAATCAATCTTAAACACTGAACTGAATCAAAAATATTAATAATAAAAAGAAAACGAACTCATTTTTAGAAATTTCACAGCTCTCTAGAACATTAAGAATGTCAATTTTTCATCTCTGCTCATTATTGATGAGTGAGACTAGTCTTGGTACTAATGGTACTAATAGTTGGTACTAATGGTACTAATACTTGGTACTAATACCAAGATCGACAAGTGCAAAACATCCGCAAGATCAAGACCCAGCATGCAGACTCTTGCGGTGTTGCATTTTTTTATGTTTATGTGATATAAGAAATAACTTATTTGTTTAAAATTATTGTTTTAATTTATTACAACTAGTGTTTTCCCGACTACTGCATATAATTTTAAAGAAAGAAATGCTGATTCGATATAATACAGGGTGGTCCGAACTGAATTCCGGAAACTTCATCAGCATGTTCTGCGGATAAAAATAAGTAAAAAAGTTCGTATAAATGTATGTCCTAAAATGCTTAGTTTCGGAGACACAGAGTGTAGAAGTTTCATTTTAATTTCGATATTTTCCAAATAATTCATGAAGTAGCGTCAATATTTGGATGAAAATTGGCGTCTGGGATTTTTTTTGTTATGAGAAATGTGATTTTGATGTCAATATGACTCCTATTTGCAGGGGGCGCCACCTACATGAGTTTTAACTGTTTTTAAGAGTAATAACTTTTCGTCCGTACCTATATAAAACTAGTGAGTAAAAAAATATACATTTAACTAAACTTTTCGCATCGTATTGTATATTTGTAATATATCTTATTAGATATATTACAAAGTTTACCCATTTAAATTCGTTGCTTTCACTTTAGTATTTAAATAAACACACATATACAAATGCATACATTCCGGAAAGACTCTGTATCAGGATTCCTATTTGAGATTTTCACTCCAAACCTTTTACAAAATATGTGTTAATGGTAGTTCACATTTCAAAAATATTTTTATAGATATACAGGGTAAGTCAAATATATATCTATATTTGTTTAGTTCAGTGAATTTGCTATACAATTCCGGTTCCAAAAATACCTTAATACCATAGAGTATTCTAAGTGGTTTTTGAATTATGGCTATGTCCAGGGGGAGGACGTCAATCTATATGTCCAGGAATCTTCGTATGAGAACTTCTAATCGATACGATCGACTTATTATAAATTTATCGCTAAGAAACCGTCGTTTGACAGCTTTTCAAATTGATAATGAATTGCACTTAAGAAACGTACATATTATCGAACGGACTATAAGAAGAAGATTAAATGAAGCAAATATTATGTCAAGAAGGCCTGCTTCGGGACCAGAACTTACTAGATGTGTTGACTAGGCCCAAAAACAAAGGCATGGTTTTAATGTAAATATTACGAAAAAATGTTAGTGTCTTCTTCAAAAGCGAATATTTCCAACAAAAATAAGGCTAATGAGATGAACCGAAAAACAAACCATCGAGAAAGGATGTATCTAGATGATAAAATGATTTTTAAATTTCTTGCTGTTTTAACATATTCCACAGAGTGTTTCAAACTTTCACCAAAATATCAACATTTTGTTTTCCCTCGTATAATTAACAGATGGGGAGTTTTATTTTTAATTTAGAAAGAGATACAAAAAAGTCAAATAATTTGGCTACACACTGCTTAAAAAAGCATCACAATCGGTCCATTAAAACAAAATATATTAACCTTTAAAATACATCAAAGTTTTAAGGTGCCCATTTTTCGTGCCGGTGAATGTATTTCAAAAACTATACATTTTAGTCATATACTTTTCTGATGAAAATCGCCTTTATTTTTTTACTAGAATCCGAAAATCAATTAATTTATAGGGTGTTCCATGACAAAAAACACAACTTTGATGTGTAACTTTTTTTGGGGATACCCTGTAGAATATAATTTTAGAAAATGCTTTAAATTGACTTACATAAGCTCACAAAATTTCACTTCAATACAAACTTTTGTTCTCCTTGCAAAAACCGCGTCGGATATGACGCGCCACCCTGTATACCTAATTCGATTTGAATCAAAATTTCAATTATTAGAATATAAGCAGAATAGGTATAGCGTATGCATTAGATTTATTTATTTCAATAAATTTATTTAGAAAAAGAATTAAAAAAATTAAAAAATTAAGAAAGAAATAATTAAGAATTTACTAAAATTACTAAAATAAAAAATTAAAAGCAACAAAAAAAAATGGGTAAACATTATAGTATTTTACCGATAAAATACAATAAAGAAGGGTTCACATTAATACATTCACAGTAATTGAATTCCGAGGTAAAAGTCTCTGGACACTCCACTAATTTATATACGAACGTTTTTACTTATTTTTATCTGCAGAATATACTTACAAAGTTTCCGGAATACAGTTCGGACCACCCTGTATATTGAAAAATAAAAATTTTCGTCAGAATGTACGTCTGTTCTTTCTTTGAAGTTTTATTTGCATTAAATTACTCAAAATACTACTTACTGTATGAAAACGGCGTCAGTGACAGCTATGAAATGAAGATCGCTGTCATTTTAAATTATGTAAAATTATATAGCTTTGAATAAGAAGACTAAGGAAGGAGCATAATGCTATTCATGTATTCATGCATGGTGGACGGAAAAGCCACCATAAAAGCTCTCTAGGGTGGGGATCCTTGACAGTTCTGTTTGACGCATGTTTGACGATTCATTTGACACATTTGAATTTGATTTGAAATTTTGTGGATTTGTCAGTCTTTACGGAGCTTATTTTATATTATTTATTATTTATTCTACTACTGATAGTTGTATAAAGGTAGTAAATCTAGATGGAAATTGTAGCAGAACTTAAATTAACAGTGACACTATCGCGATTTATCGAAAAAGACTCTAAAATAGTTGGTTGTGTAGCGTGCGGTAGATCTCGGCAAAAATTGAGTGAAATAATGGAACAACTTTTCGCTAGTAAGTGACTATATAATATACATACGTGTAGTAAACCGATCATTTATGAAATTCACTTAAATTAACTAAATTATATATTTTTCTTGCATTTTAGCTTTTATTTATTACTTGTCAAAGATTAGATGTCAAAGAATTTAGATACGTTAATTTGACTTACCTGCTTCAGTAGCGTATCGGGTGTTTGTGTTAATAAATACTTATTATAACTTATCTATTTTTATTAGAATTATATATTTTTATAACAATTTTAATAACTACCGACATTTATTCACAACGTAAAATAAAACAACAAATTATTGAGTCTACCCCACGTCTACCCTACATCATAGTTTTACATTTTTTAAATAAAATTAGAACGACACTGATAAAACGGAATTTAAGTCGGCCATATTTGAGGCCCATCGCGGTGTACCTAAGATTTTTGATATGCTCCTTCCTTAGTCTTCTTATTCAAAGTTATATAGTAAATGTCATCTATCGTCATTTCCAAGCCAACTGGACGCCGTTTTATATTTAAAAGTGCAAGAGTCTTGCAACAAGATCAAGACCAAAACCAAGCAGACTACCCAATACTCTGCAAGACCAAGATCAAGAGGGCCTTGATTTCGGTCTTGCATTTGCTGATCACTAATCATTAATCTAGAGATTTATGAAATATATATATATATATATATATATATATATATATATATATATATATATATATATATATATATATATATATATATATATATATATCGATATAGCAAAATGTCGATGTATGATTAAAAAAATTATTTATTTAAAAAGACAAGTTTTTTCAATGAGAGTATTTTTTGTAAATAAATAGTAGTATATAAATAACACAACTGCCATAATGATAAATAAATATTTTTACGTTCTATTAAACTGTTTTAATGACTTCATAATTTTACCATATTGTCGTCCCCATATTTGCCCATATAACACAACACAATCCTATAGATATCTTGAGGATATCCACCAAGGATATAGTAAATATCTTAGGGATATCCAAAAACTAGTGGAGGATATTTATGGGATATCCAAGTGGGACAAAAAAAGTCATCTTCAAGACATCCCTAGGCAAGCCTTTTACGATTATTTGGGATATTTCTAGGATAATACAAGGATGATGTTGGGAGCATTATAGAATATTTTTAGGACATTATATGAGGACTGTTATTTGACAATACTTACTTCATCCTTAGTTTATAGTAAAAACGTTCGCGATTTAGTTTTATTTAGCCACATTTTGACGTTATTCATTGGATATTTTTATTAACAGCTCTAAAATATACCTACATATTATGTCAATGAATTTTGCGTCAAAATTTAGAAGTTTATTTGTATGAGTTAAGAGCTTTCAATTTATACTGTACCATCGAAAAAAAGCGGCCCATTCCCCATATAATTTTACGTACAAAATAACAGCAATCTTCATTTCCAAGCCACCTCTGACGCCGTTTTTTTCGATCGTATGGTATTATACCAGATTATACTACCCTTTATGGAGTCTAGCAGTTTATGTCTAGCAGCAACAGTTTACATCAAAGCACAGATTAGGTATCCTATAAGTATACAGATAAAAATCTTGTCCCTAATTCGTGGTACGAAAATCGTTTTTTATGACGATGTGCAAACGAGTCAAATTTCCTGTGCGCAAAAATAAACTCGCGTAAAATAACAATAAACAGCGTAATAGAGAGATATCGCTAAACCGAATAGCGTGCATGGACGTTAATAAGGCCAGGTGTTATTTCCTTTACGTGAGGTGGTATTAACTCTCTTCATTTATAGTTATCGGATCGGAAAGAATTCTCTTCGCGGCGCGTCCACTATTTAAACTTAACCTAACTTTGAAATTGTTTTGTTTACTAGGTATTTTAAAACTAAAGGGCTAAAGTGCTTATTTCCAGTGCTTTATTGTTCAACGTCTGCCAATGGGTTTAGGACAACAAGCAACAAATTCTCTTAGAAGGGCTAAGTCGTCATCTGCTGTAAACCTAAGACTCTTTATAGGTTCTTTAGTATTGGAATAGGTGGAATCCATATTTTGGGCCATATTTATTTAATTAAAACTAATCCCAGCTACTTAAATATCAAATTACCTAATAAAACTAAAGCAATAATTCAAAACAATTCAAACATAACCTAAAATAAAAGATCTCGCCCATATCTCGCCGGTCGGCTCCGGTTGTCAAATACCCGCACATGCCCATTTAAGCAATTTTTAAACGTTATCAGAGGTTATTTAGAAAGAGCGCTTGGTGTAATTGATCCGCAAATTACGTCAGGCGGTAACGTTATTGGCGGGTGTTGCGTTGACTCGTGCATATTTTAACCATGATAAGGTACGCGTAAATACTGAATGACGCTATTCGGTTTTCCGATATCTCTCTAATATCTGTGCCGGTCAGGCGCTGTGCTCAATTTTAAGGTGCGTATTCATTATCCGAACGAACGAACGAACGAACGAATGAAAGTGCGGTATATTTAGACGGGGACCGAACGCATGCGGCCGTTCGTTCGTTCGTTCGCTCGACCATCCGTTTCGAGTCGGTACATCAAAGGCGTTCGCCAACAAATGCCTCCGGTCTTCTCGTGCGGTCCTATCGTGCGGTCCCCGTCATACCACTAGCGAACATTCGTTCGTTCGTTCGTTCGTTCGTGCGGATAATGAATACGCACCTTTTAGAGGCCATAAGTGGGCGTGCTATGTGCGCAAACTAGTCACCTAACTAGTGCCCGATTCCGAAAATTGGAACCACGAAAAACAATAAAGAAAAAACAAAGATTATAATCTGTATAATCTGTGATCAAAGTTAGCACACAGGATACAGGTATAATTTCTAAGACCACACATTCCAGAAATTCACAATTTAAACCCAAAAATAGGATTTCTGTTTGAATAGATGGGGACAGAAGACACGAAAGTAGAGTAGATATGAAAATGGGTTTAGGGATAAAGAACAAGCGATTTTCAACAAATTTTCACCTATAATTTTGTCACAAATTCTTCATTGTGAGACCCTGAGTTGTTCGTCGTTTTTCGACATTAGTTGAGGTTAGGATAGAATTTCTGCTAGAACAAGGCTAGAACTATGAGTATAAGAAAAAACTAAGTAAAACTCAACCGGTTTTGTTAGTTTCAGTCATATTTAAGCCCATCCAATATCGACAAACGACCGGATTCACCTCGAATTTCACTAACTCAAAGAACTGAATAATACAGGATGCAAAAACCATAAAAAATAAACAACTGTCGAGATGGATTGAGGGAAACTTTTTGCGCGGGCGTTTTAAATTCTCTGTATTACTGGGAGTTGCCAAGCTCATAAATAGCCAGATTATCCAGAAGATACCAACAGGATATTTTGTTGCCTTGACGTAATATATATCTATCTGTATGGTTTATTGCATTTTATGTAATATAAAAAGTAGTACATTATTTATTTTTTCTAAATATCTAGACGATATTGTTAGGATATTTAATTATCATGAGCATGTTTGGATATCTCAGCTGGATGTACATTAGATATACGACAGATATATCCATAGGATATTCTATTCTGAGACATCTACAGGGTTTCAGGATGTCTGGAGGATATCCTATAGATGTCTTTATAAGATGATCTTATAATGGGACATTCCGACATTCTATGAATATCCTGCGGATATTGTGTATTATATGGGTGATATATTAGGTATGTTTGTTATTGAGTTCTGTGGTAAAATAATTAATACATTGGAGAAATATTGGTAGCAAAAAACGCGATAAAATGGATTTAGCTACTCTGTGTTATCTAAAATTGACCAGAAAAATTATGAGATATGAAATTAGTTTCTTTTTTTTTAAATAACAAAAATGCTACTACTTTTCAAATGAAGCGGCAACACTATAACGCTGAAAATAATCAAATGAAGGGATTAGAATCATAAGGGTCTAAGTACATCTGCCATTGTTCTGAGATAATTAAAGTTAAAGTTGATTGCTTATTGTAAATTCTGCATGAACGCATTTGAAATGATTGTTGCGTAAAAGAATGCAGTTCATGTAACTATACCGTTTGCCATAGACTGAAAAAAACTGTATTTAATTAGTTTTATGTCACTTGGATCCATATGCTTCTGACAACTCTGATCAATTTCTGTCAGGAAAAAAAGGTATAAGTCGATTTTTCATAAAAATAACTAACATTTTATTATACTAAAAGGTATCAAAAAATACAACACGAACTTTAGCCGAATAATTCTAATTTTCGTAATCCGACACCACACTGTCGTTGCCTTCATCCATTTCTGGATTTTCCTCAACTTCAACCATAACCGTCGTCTGATTTTGTTTTTTGGAACTTTGTTTGCTTTTGCCTCATGGGGCTTAGTTAAATAAAAGTCATGGTAAATAGGTGGAATAAATGGTAGAAGTTGGGTTCGATTTTCCCATTTTATGTACGGTATCTTCAATGGAGTTGGATATAAGGGCTTGAATACTTCGTTATTTAGCAACAAAGATGGTCTAAGCGTCGAGCAATTCTCGTTTTGACACATAGGTAAAAAAGGTGTTTGGTTTGGTTTGGTTCTTGGCTTTCTCAATGCGGGCAAAAGAGCGATCGCAGTCCATATATGAATGTCCAATTTCAAAAAACTTGTGATCTATTTTTTCCAGGCTAGTAGATTAGACTAAATACATAAACAACTTCGCAATATTTTTGTTACACATTACAATATTTTAAAACACACAAAATATCAGAAAAACACAAGAGCCGGTTTGCACGCGTCAATTATACTGAATCTATGTGACAAAACTTTACAAAAAATGTGGGAGTCAAATAGATCCAAGCTTGGATCTCTTTGCTACCAAACAAACACTACATTTAACTTTGAAAATATGGGTCTAACTCATATTTTTAAAAAATGTAACTTAGACCCTTATGATTCTAACCCCTTCAAATAATTCAAATAGATGAAGCTTTGAAATAATTCAAATTTTCGGAAAAATCCTATCGCCGGTTCTCCATAAACGTCTAACCTACCGTCGCCGTGAATCACCCTGTATATACATAAACATACAGGTTTATATCTCAACGACCTTAAAAATACGTTTAATAAGATCGATTTTCTAAAATCCTGTATACTTACAGGGTTTCACAAGTAAATGGTTTCCATTGTTTCTTTCTATGCATACAAAATGTGACAATAATCTACAATATACATAGTAAAGATAATCAAGACAAACACTCATAATATGTAGTTATGTGTCAGAGTGACAGTCAATTTCAAATAAAAAAATTTTCGATTATAATTTCTGTTTACTGTTTTGGTTTACTTTAAAATAATTGTCAGATGATATGTAATAAATTGACACATAATTAACACACATCAAGCTTCATTCAGAACCTCGAAATCAGTGGAATAAATTAGTAGTTTCAATTAGTCGTAGAAGTTTGTTCATAGATAAAAGAAAATAATCTACTATTAAGATAGATATGAAACTTAATAGTAAAATTTTGGGTCAAAGGAACGGAGGGGCGGTGTTTTTAGTGAAGACTACGTTTAACCCAGCGCCTTCGCCTTTTCTGCTGTAAATGTTTTTTATGTTTATATTTGAATTCAAAAGATTTATTTTTAAAGTTACACCGATATATTAGTATATCAGAGTAACTTTAATAAAACATAAGAATATTTTTTTTTTTTACAAATCCGGTTTGCTTCCTTCAGCTCCGACACTTGAAGGAAACTTGCCGGGTCCTCTTTCAGTGTTCAACTCCTGACGTCCGTCTGGTAAGCCGTTCACTGAATCCGCGTATCGTGTGCCCTGAGTATTTTGAGAGAGCCCAAAATCACAGCCTTCTGCATGCTTGCAGCAAGTCGTTCCGCTACATTATAACACGCTGGTATCAGTTTCAATTGCTGGAGCAGGGTGTCTTTAACTCCTCCTAAACTTCCTATCACTAGTACCACCAACCTTACAGAATGATCAGCGTACATTCTGCGCATTTGCTCCAGGAGTTCCTGGTACTTCTCCCTCTTTTCCTCTTCTTTACTGATTATGTTCTTCTCTGATGGCGCCGAGAATTCTATGACATAAATTATTTTCGTCGCTATATCCTGGAGAACTATGTCTGGTCTGTTCGCCCGTATTTGTCCGAAGGCCTGGAATGGATAGTTCCAGTAAATTTTGGTTGTTTCGTTTTCCACCAAGGACTCAATTTCTTTCGGTGTTTGTGGTAGCACTGGCGTTTCATCAAATCCATGCATATGACGAAGGTGATAGTATATCACCCTCAATGCGGCGTTATGGCGCTGGGTATAAGCCGAAGCCGCATAAGTAGGGCAGGCTGATAGTATGTGCCACAGGGTCTCCGGAGCTTGATGGCATGCTCTACATCTTATATCTTCGATTTGTTGGCCCATAATACGGCTACGATACACCAAAGAGCCATAGACACCGTCCTGGCATGCCAGTATAAATCCCTCTGTCTCAGATCTTAAGCCACTCGACCTCAGGAAAGCAAACGATAGTCTCTCAGAAAGCTGCTGTTGTGTCATTATGTTATAGAAGGCTCCGTGCACGGGTTTCTCCACGTGATTTTGCAAGAACCTCCTGTTCTGTGTGGACCTAATTCGGTTGACTACCTGTGTGGCGCTGTGTTCTGTGATGGATTCTAAATGTTGGCGCTGAAGGTCGAATATTAGATTGAGTTTATTCGCTGCTTTTTTTGCTTCTTTGAAAATGAATCCACCAATTTCTTCTTTCTCGTGGTCTCGTACCATTACTAGTAGAGGATCTTGAGTTTTAAGGAGTGTGTACGCCGTGCTTAGGATCACTCTTTGGTGTAAGCTTTCTAAACTGAGAAGACCGCGTCCCCCTGTTCCCTTGGTAGATAATATATATATAATATATATAATTAATGTTAATAATAATCAATATATATATATATATATATATATATATATATATATATATATATATATATATATATATAGCTATATATATATATATATATATATATATATATATATATATATATATATATATATATATATATATATATATTTACAATTTATTTTTTTTTTTTAATTTTACAAATTGGGTCTAAAGTACTTCCTTTCTGATCTACAGGGTGTTAAAAATTAAAAAAAATCGATTTTTTGCTTAACATAAATGGTACACCACTGGTTTTTTAAAGAAAATATATTTTTTTCTTGACTGGCCATCCTTTTTCAACAAAATTGATCTTTTTAGTTTTTCTTGTTCATCAAACGGTTGTCGAGAAAAAAAATAAATATACTTATTAAGAGCCCGCCTTAATTCGTTTTCTAACGATTTTTTATTTTTTAGATTAATTAGGAAACACCCTGTATATGCATATCACAGGCAACCAAATAAACTAGTAACCTCTAAAAATTATTTTTCCTACCACTAGCGACATACCGTGTTTTTAGTGTGTACTAAATTATTTTATCAAAATTTCACCATATAAGTTTCCAGGCAATGAGTTTGTTCACCTAATTTTAATGTAAGCATTCAGAACGTCATAATTAGTGGTAGTAATTTTCAATTAGTGGAAAAAGTTAACAAACTTTTGACTTTTCCACTAATTATACTTCAAAATTTGCGAGGAATGTCATTTTGGTCTTTGATTATCACCCGTCAAGAAAAATTTTGGTTAGAAATCAAAAGTTTATTGTTTTATAAGCTCAATATTATGCTTTCTCTATGGATTCAACAGACTACCCCAAGCTGTTGCTAGGATATTTTATTAATTTTAATTGTGTTTTTTAGACATTGTGAATGATCGTAAACTAAAAAGTATAAAGTGTAATTGAAACGGTTCTGAATTGGGAGGTTCTGAATGAAGCTTCACACTATAATACGTATTACAATGACAAAAGAATTATTAACATTAAACTAGTTGTTATTTAAGGAGATTGCATATATTTTATTTACTTAAAAATTAATCAATAGAAATTATTTCAAGCCAAAAAATAAAAATTTTCGGCCCCAAAGAGGATTTTAAAAAATATTATATTCATATTCAAAAGGTTCAAAAAATCTGAAATGTCAATATTCCATGGGTATATTGATAAATGAGGTCTGAATTATAAGAAAATGCATTTTCTACAAAAACTTGAAAAGATAGGTAACAAATGGTGATACAGTTTGATAGACAATTAAATTTTGCCTTTGATTCTCGTAAAATATATAGGGCCATTTAAATTAAACAAGTAATGCCGTTTAAATTATTATATTAATTTATTTAATATAAATTTTTAGACATTCTGTATAAGGTAGTATTATTTTTATTATTACAATATCTGATCAATATTTATACCTTCAGTAAATATTTAGCATTAAAAACTTTCATACTCCTGGAGAAATGAAGCCTTAAAATGTTTACTACAATCTTACAAAATTGAATATCTATATTTCAATAACGGTAAGGTTGAAAAAAAGTGTGATAAACCTTAATCAATTTTACCTTTATTTCAATCGTAGAATCTAAAAATAAAATAATATACAGGGTGTTCCATTTAAAAAATTCAACTATAATATTTTTTATTTATCATTCTCTATCTTGTAAAAATATTTTTAAATTGTAGCTCTAATAGTCAATACAATTATTTGTAAAACTCTACCCGTTTAGTTACAGTACGTCTGTCCGTTCTGTAGCTACGGGGTATCCGTGAGAGAGGAAACGATATTATCTCGATGTTTTTCATAAAAAATTAGACGACGCGTCCCATCACTAAAAATTCGACAAATTTACAAGTAACCAATAAAATGAGTGGGCGGAACGATTTGCGGTGACGTACTCGTCAAGTCGACGTATAAAATATATTGCTGTTTATTTAAATGGTTTTTGTCCGCATTCCTTTCATAGACACAGATCCAGCATACGAACTGTACTTTACTCTGTGTCGTATGGGGTAAATAATCCTATATAGTTTCTAGTTTTACTTGAAACGAAAAAATAAATTAGATAATTTTGAAGTCTCAATTACTTTGTTTACCACTTTACACCTACGTTAAATCTCGTAATAAGTACACTGCAAATAAAATTCTGAAAAATTGTAAATAAACAGTTTATTAATAATATTTTTCAGTTTTAAATAATATTTATCCTGTTAAAATAATTTAGATTTTATTATTATAATTGTTTATACGATTTTTTATTATTATATTTCTTTTTCGAGGAAGTCTAAAAACTTGTATGGAAATCCTAGTCCTAGATAAATAAATAATTAATTACCTGATCTTGATGTTTATACAGGGTGCTACAAATTCGAGGTACGAGCATTAGTATCTCGGAAACCGTAATAGATACGAAGATGGTTAAACTGGGACAAAGTTGCTCCTTGGGATGTTCACCAAGATGCCATCAAAAAAGTTTTAAAAATTTGAAGGGTTGCTGAGTTTTTTTGTAAATCAATTTTATTTTTTCCTGTCGTTATTTTTTAGAAAATCGAAAAATTAATTGCAAATTCTCATAGCTACTTTATTAGGGCTATCTGATAGTATTTTTAGATTTTCAAATTAGCTGATTATTTGTGAGATACAGAGGCCAACTTATTTTTTTTTAAATACGGACCTGCATTTTTTATTTCAAGTTTTTTATTTCAACTCCGTCTCCTGAGTACAATGATATGCCACACTTGATACATTTCTTTGTTTTGGTTACTTTAACATTAACATAACTATTTAATTATTATTTAAAATAATTTCCAGTCCGACTCTGGATTTTTAAATTATTTAATCTGATTATATTCATAGAAACAATATTGATCAGCGCTAATTAGCATTGAATTAGGAAAATGGACTCAATTGAAAGATTCAAATAAATAATATCGAGGTCAGCAATTTAAAGCTATTATTTTTAAGTTTTTTATTGTGAATTTGAAATCTCAGTGTACGATCTAATAATATTCATAATATTAATAGTAGTTATTATAAATAAATCAACTTCTAGAAACTAGTTTTTAATGCTCTACATGTTCGAAAGGGTTACCACCCTCCCTAATGCACAAATTTATTTTTTATTCAATCCTATTTATACCTCTTTGAACATAACTCCTTCTTATACTTCGGAATGCAGTTTGTACTCTTTATTGTAAATATTGAAATGTCTTGATTTCACTTTTACAAAAAATGACGGCAAGTAATGCCCCCTTAGTCATTGCATTTGATTTTCCGTATTCAATGTTTTATCCCACGTCATTGTTAGGTTAAAAAGGTTATATCTCATTGTAACGGTGAATAAATTTTAAAAAAACAGAGCCGGACTTGAAATTAGTTTAAATAAATTATGTTTAAAGGTCCCAAACAAAAAACATATTAAGTGTGGCATATCATTGAACTCAGGAGACCGAGTTCTTTCAAAACCTTAAATAAAAAGTGCAGGTCCGTATTTAAAAAAAAATAAGTCGGCCTCTGTATCCCACAAACTATCAGCTAATTTGAAAATCTAAAACTACTAACAGATAGCTCTAATAAAGTGGGTATGAGAATGTGCAATTAGTTTTTTGATTTTCTACAAAGTAACGATAGGAAAAAATAAAATTAATTTTGAAAAATATCAGTTTTTTCCAAAAAAATTCAGCAATCCTTGAAATTTTTAAAACTTTTTTGATGGCATTTTTTAAAAGCGCAACTTTGCCCCAATTTAATCATGTTCGTATCTGCAGTCAAGTATAAAATAATATTAAATTATTGTGTACCTCCAGATTTGTTTCAAAAACAATGATACATATTATCTCCAAAGTTGATAAACCAAAGTGTGTGCACCTGAGTTTTTAATCAGTTACAGTTAACGAACTAACATGCCGTCGACAAGGTGTGTGATAATCATTTTTCTAGTTCATTTGTACAGTGTCTCGTATGGAGCGGATATTCTGGCGATATTGCCAACCCCATCCTACAGCCACCAAATACCATTTAGGCCCCTATGGAAGGCTTTGGCTGCCAGAGGGCATAACATAACCCTTGTTACTAGTGATCCAGAAAGGAATGCCAGTATTAAGAATATCAAAGAGATCGATATTAGTTACGGATATGAGTATATAGATAAATATAAGTGTATAGGTAAGTTTTTTTAATTTTTTTTATAAATATCACAGAATAACTTTCAATTAGTCTATCAAAACATTAAGCAATACTTATTTGTAGACATAAAAAAGAATGTACTAATCATCAAATTTTTTAAAATGTTAAACAACACTTATCTGTTATAACCACTTAAAAAGCACCTGAAGCTGAAAAGCGTTTATATTTTTTAATGTATTGATATGATAGAGTTTATCAAAAAAAAATTCAGTACCTAATTAATTAAATTTTTATAAGCTATATAATATTATCCTATTATCCAATCCAATAAGTTAGTTCTTTACTAAAATTGAAAAAAATATTACCTACTAAGGGTATTTCCAGAACGGACTAATTTTTTAAGTTTATTTAGATAGTCTATAAATTCTGTATGAAAAAAAATCACAGGGTGTCTTAAATAAGTGTAAATATTTTCAGGACTGCTAGATCTCGATAAAAGAAACATATTTTTTCTTGATCAGTTTTAAAATAAAATTGCTTAAATTTTGATAACCACTGTATCTTTTCTGGTTTTTCTTTCTTGTAAATTTAATCTACTACCTATGTACCATATATTATCAAAATATTATGTTTTTTAACATTATTATTTTCTTCTAAAATATATAAGGTGTTCCATTTAAATTAATCAAGTTATTGCCGTTTAAAGCTAGAAATTATTTAAAATAAATTTTTAGACACTCTGTATGAGGGAGTATTATTTTTATTATTGCAACACAATAACTGATCAATAATTAAACTTCAGTAAATATTTAGTATTAAAAACTTTGATACCTTTGGAGAAATGAAGCCTTAACATTTTTACTGCAATTTCACAAAATTGAAAATATTTCAAAAACGGTAAGGTATAAGGGTGATAAACCTTAATCAAATTTACCTTTATTTTAATCATAGAAACTAAAAATGTAACAATATACAGGGTGTTCCATTTAAAAAATACAACTTTGATATTTTTTATTTATTTGGGACACTCTGTATCTTGTAAAAATATTTTTAAATTGTAGCTCTAATAGTCCTTCAACGAACCCAAAACTTATAATTTTATAAAAATCTAATTGTTTAGCTCTGTGTAAGACTCACTCTGTAGATATATATACAGGGTGATTCCTGTAAGTCGGTCATGCTTTCGGGGAATAATAGAGGATGTCTAAATATTAATTTTAATATAGCACACTATGGGTCGGAAATTCCTCTTACGCAAGATACAGTGTACTAAATTTTTTGAAAAATTAATGATATTTTTTTTTCTTTAATAGTTTTTTTAACAGTTGAAGGTATCGTCATAAAATTTAATATAGGAGTCTACCTAACAGAGACAATTTAAATGTAAAAAGAAGAGTTTTTTTAACCAGTGGCGTAGATGTGATACGCAGCGAGTAATTTTTGCAAAAAAATAGTACGCCACTGATAAAAAATATAATTTTTAGAGTTTGTTAATTTACTCGGTTATTTCCAAGCAAAAATGTCTCTTGCAATTTTCTCCTATCTAACACCATTTTGTCACAATTAAAAAATAAATACATTTTTTAATGAGAATGTGTTATAACTAGAGGGCAGAAAATACATGTGCATCGTCAGCTCCCTTCATCACTTACATGTGAATTTAAATTGGCCAAGATTTAGCTCCTTAAATAAATTTTTAAAAAATTATAAATTTAAACTAGAATTTTTTTATTGTTGTGACAAAATGGTGTTAGATAGGAGAAAGTTGCAAGAGACATTTTTTCTTGGAATTAAACCAAGCAAATAAAAAAACTCCGAAATTTTTATTTTTATCAGTGGCGTACTATTTTTTTTGAAAATATTACCCGATGCGTATCACATCTACGCCACTGGATGAAACTAAAACCTCTTCTTTTTACATTTTTAAAGTGTCTCTGTTAGGTAGACTCTTATAAAATTTTATAGCGATACCTTCAACTGTTAAAAAACTATTAAAGAATATCTTTAATTTTTCAAAAACTTTAACACCCTGTATTTTGCGTAAGAGGCATTTCCAACTCATAGTGTGCTATATCAAAATTAATATTTCGACGTCCCCCATCATTCCCAGAAATCATGACCAACTTACAGGAATCACCCTGTATATATACAATATAAATAGAATAATAGAAAACAAGTAATATAAATTTCTTAGAAATTAAATGGAATAATTTTAGCAAATATATAAAAATATTTTAAGAATTTTTGGAATGTATTATTTAGTTTTAAGAAAAACTGTAATAATTCTACTGTTTTTGTTAGGTCACTTTTAAGATTTATTACATTCGTTTTTGCATACATATATTATTGAATATACTGATATAATTTTGAAAATAATTTAAATACATTTAAGTGATGCCGTTTATTAATAGATACAAAGTTTCGCATACAATTGTTTCATAATTCTAGGAAATAGTATGTGGAATTTTTTTGAGTAAAAATTCAAGATTCGGAAATTACATGGTTATTAAATAATTGTATTTTAACATATTGTGGAGACATTAATCTTTAGGCTAGTATATCAGTATATAGACGGTATATTTACAGGGTGCTACAAATTCAGGGTACGAGCATTGGTATCTCGGAAACCGTAATAGATACGAAGATAGTTAAATTGGGGCAAAGTTGCTCCTGGGCATGTTCACCAAGATACCATTAAAAAAGTTTTAAAAATTTGCTGAGTTTTTTGGAAAACCGGATTTTTTTGAAAATCAATTTTATTTTTTTCTGTCGATACTTTTTAGAAAATCAAAAAAACTAATTGCACATTCTGCCATTTTATCCTTTTCGTTCTAGCTTATTTATACCTCTTTGAACAGATCTTCTTCTTATACTTCCGAATGCATTTTGTACTCTTTAATTGTTTTTTATTACTCGTTAATTGTTTTTGTACTCTTAATGTTGATACGTATTGATTTCACTTTTACAAATAATGACGTCAAGTAATGCGACAGATCCAGGAACCTCGCTGGCCATTATACTGCTCTACCATTTCCTTTCCAATCCATCTTCCGGGGAAATGATTTGATTGTTTATATTATATTTATGTTATATTTATTTTATATTATTTTATTGCATTTGATTTTTCGTATTCGATGTTTTATCCCACGTCATTGTTAAGTTCGAAAGTTTATCAATATTGTAACGTTGAATAGATTAAATATTTGAAAAAAAACAGAGCCGGACTTGAAATTAGTTTAAATAAATTGTGTTCAAATGTCCAAAACAAAAAATATATTAAGTGTGGCATATTACTCAGGAGACCGATTTCTTTCCAAACTTGAAATAAAAAGTGCAGGTCCGTATTTAAAAAAATTAAGTTGGCCTCTGTATCTCACAAATTATCAGCTAATTTGAAAATCTAAAAATACTAACAGATAGCTCTAATAAAGTGGCTATGAGAATGTGCAATTATTTTTTTGATTTTTTAAAAATAACGACAGGAAAAAATAAAATTGATTATCAAAAATATCTCTTTTTCCAAAAAACTCAGCAATCCTTGAAATTTTTAAGACTTTTTGATGGCATCTTGGTGAACATCCTAAAGCACAATTTTGCCCCATTTAACCATGTTCGTATCTATTACGATTACCGAGATCCTAATAAAATACCGATGTTCCTAATGAAATACCGATGTAACTATGTTCGTATCTATTACGAATACCGAGATCCTAACCAAATTTGTAGCACCTGATAGCTTCTGCTATTTTTATTCACTGAACAAAGTGGAATGTTATAACGTTTAAATGTTTATTTAGAAAACTATTAGAAATAGACATATGTTGATAGTTGCTTTTGCGGAGCAGTTGCTTTTTAGATATATGCACAGACTAAACTATTATTTATATTAAATTAGTTTGGTTAGGTTAAACTATTAATAATTAATGTTACTTTTGATGAGCTTTATGTAAATTTTAATAAAGTACGTCTAGAGATTGACCTCGCCAAAATTATCATCGATTGTCATTCCCCAGACTTCTTTGACACTGCTTTTTTTTTCATCATACGGTAAATATGATCTAGGCTTTTGACCAGATTAAGAGTGACTAGGAAATCATTAACTAATGAAGGAAAATATTCATTAACTACTTAAAAAAGTCTGAGTATTTCGCCATTGAAAGAGAAATCTAGGAAATAAAAAATAATAATTTTTGCTAACACCACTGCGTAGAATCAAAATGGAAACTAGCATTTTTCAATAATTAATAATTAGTCCTGAAACAATGTAAAGCCATTTAATATTTGTGTGTTTATTTAATTGAATATGAATTAAAGGCACTAATAATAATAAATATGATTAATTTTTCCTTTCAGAATTGGCTTGCAACGATTCAGTGAGCCTCATCGATGTGGGTAGAGCAATAAGATTGGCGACTGCCGACATAAACGAGAGATTTTTGAAAAGTCCAGAAGGACAAAACTTAATCCATAACAAAGACAATCACTTCGATTTGCTCATAGTAGAAGCTTTGCTGATCGACATGATGGCGTTCAGCTGGAAGTATAAAATTCCTTTTATAGGTAAGAAATTAAATCAATGAAATCATACATGAAGGTTTTGAATTGAAAAAGTTATTTGTATAAATTAATATACAGGGTGTTCTATTTATAGAAAAGCATCCCGATCCACTTACACTTTTTGAGCCCACCCTGTATAGGTTAAAATATTTTCTTGAAATACACCTAATATATACTTTAAGATGGTACTTATACGAAATTTCTAAGTTTTTTATTGTAGGAACTGCAGATACCTGACGCAACGTATAAAGTAGTGGGAAAAACTTTGAACGGTGGCATACATACAGGGTTCGGAAAACTACATGTTACTTTTAAAAACTACATAAACTACATTACATGTAGTTTATGTAGTTTATGTAGAGGGTGTAGTTTATGTAACATACATGTAACATATGTATGTAACTTTCAAATGTCAAAGGTATAAGGTGAGGTTATAATAAGTTAAAGCTTTAGAAAACACATAATGTATTATAATTATTTCTATAAAAGAAAACAGAAGAAATATGGCTTTAAATATAACCATTTACATCATATTATTTAGACTCTTCATATAAAGCAAAATTATTCATAATATCAATAGGTAGTTTATTAACGTAGTTTTCATGTAGTTAACGAACGGGAAAAGACGTAGTTTTTGAAGAAAAACTACACGTAGTTAATCAGGTAAATTACGTCTTAATTAACTACTTCCGAACCCAGGGTGGCAACCCCTATTTGATAGGCACCCGTATAACATCATATAGCTTTAATTTGACATATAAATAATCAAAAAAATTTATGACCGTAATGTCGTCTCCACAATCAGTTATTATTAATTAAACATAGTTGCTGCAACTTTTTGATTGGCACCCTGTTCAAAGTGTATTCTCCTATTCATAAATATACGTAAAAATTAGGTTTTCATTAAAAATACGTAGATACGTACGAGCGATACGATCGACGCGACGCGACGTGTAGATCCCACCGCTGCCACCAAATTTTATGTAACAAATCTATTTAGATTCATCACTTGTTCTGGGGGTCTTATAATTATAACCAAGATAATTAAATTGAGCGGTAGGCAGAACTTGGATAAAAAGTGCACTGACTCTTTGGATCGTATGTTTAATGTTTTGTCTTGATGATGTTAGTTTTTAATTTTGCCTGAAAATCTGTAGCCATTTTCTGATCTGTTTTGGATCTCTGTAGGGTCTGCCCATTCATGATGGTACCATCGTGGTGAATTTGGTACTTAGCCAATAAGGTCATCCCTGAAGGTACATTGTTCCAAACATTCGGTTATCAAGGGTGGTTATGATATTGACATTCCGGCGTTTTTATCTAAGGTTCATCTTTACAATTTTTATGTTTCCTTAAATTTCTGCAGTTTAGTTGCTTTGCCCTTTAAAAGCTTGGGAATTTACAAATATTAACGTTCGAAAGATATTCCACAGATGTTTGTTTTACAACTTCCTGTTGTTAAGAGGGCTATATTTAAAACTAACCGAAAATATCGATTTTACGTAAAGGGTCCGCACGACGCGACACTCCTATAAATCTTCATTTAGCATTGTAGACTCATAAACGATACTTCATAACCATGTTGAATAAGAAACTTAGTATAGTTTTTCTGAAGTCAATTGGAATAAATTGGGACTTAATTTAGTCACTGTCTTTGTTGGCATCGTCTGGACAAGAAGGACATTAAAAGTCCCAGTACTCCCAATGGACTGAGGAAATACTATCTATCTATACTAATATATAAAATGCTTAAGTGACTGACTAATCACGATCCTGCTCAAACCACTCAACGTAAGAAGGTCAATTTTGGCATACATGTTGATTCTAGGGTGTAGAGGTTCGATAAGAAGGGATTTTTCGAAATTCCAGTTCCAAGGGGGTGAAACCACCTCTCAAATATTACAATATTTTTTATTTAAAAAACGGTCAAGTTCCCTAAAAAACGCTTAAACACGTATATTTTATTTTGTTTTTTTACATATTTGAAGATTTTTAAAAAAATGTATACAGAGTGTTTCCTGTGATCCTGCTTAAAGCGCTTGACGTAAAAAGCTGATTTTTGGAAAACGGATTGACTTTAGGGTGCAGAGGTTCGATAAGAAGGGATTTTTCGAAACTCGAATTCTAAGGGGGTGAAACCGCCCCTCAAATATTAGAATATTTTTTATTTAAAAACCGGAGTTTTTCGGAAAAACTCTTAAACACGTATATTTTAATTTGTTGTTTTACATATTTTAAGATTTTTTTAAAAATTTATACAGGGTGTTTCATAAAATATGACCATTGAGTAATCACGATTCTGCTTAAACTGCTTGACGTTTAAAGCTGATTTTTGGCAAACGAATTCACTGTGGGGTGTAGAGGTTCGATAAGGAGGGGTTTCTCGAATCTCAAATTCCAAGAGGGTGAAAACACCCCTCAAATATTACAATATTTGTTATTTAAAAAACGGTTAGTCTTTCGGTAAAACGCTTAGAAACGCATATAATTTATTTTGTTTTAAAAATTTCAAAATATGTAAAAACATATTTTGAAATTTTTAAAAAATTATTCAGGGTGTTCCAAAAAGTTGGGTAATTGATTAACCACGATTCTGCTTAAACTGCTTGACGTAAAAAGCTTATTTTTGGCAAAGGGATTTTTTGAAAGTCAAATTCCAACGAGTTGAAACTACGGAAATTCTTACTTTGCTTTATCATCACCATTACAAATGATTAATTCGACGCGAGCGAAGTCGCGGGTACACGCTAGTTTCATTATATTTTATAAACTTGTAATAAATCAATTATCTCATAACAATCAAATAGTTTTCCTATGAATTCTTTTTACAGGTGTAAGTTCTCTGGACTGTTCCACTCAATTTCATGACAGCGCTGGCAATCCTACTCATCCCGTAGTCAACCCAGATCCAAACTTGGAAATACAGGACCTGAATGACATGTCATTTGGGGAGAGATTAGCCTCCTTTCTCTTCTCGGCAACCTATAAGCTTCTAGTCTACTATTTGACGTACCGGAAAGAATATGCGATGTTGCAAAAGTATTTCGGAGATGATCTACCTCGACTGTTCGATATACAAAATGAAATAAGTATGTTGTTTGTGGCTACGAATCCTGTCTTTCATAACGTAAGGGCATTGATGCCGAATACGATAACCATAGGGAATGGTATGCATATATCTTCACCAAAACCTTTACCAAAGGTAAACAAAACTTGTTTAAGCAATATTTTCAGAAGTGCCTATTAAAGGCAGTTTCTCACATGTCAATCTCACTGAGTTCGTCTGACAATCTCGCGCAGCATTCATCCAGTTTGTTATAACCGTATTAATATTGTTCAAAAATTATATCCCCTCCTAAAGCCCCGTTCTCAGAACAGCGACTGTCGCCAGCGACACGTCAAAAGAACCAATGAGATTTGTACAAAATTCAAACAGCTGTCAATTTAAAATTTAGTACAGCTCCCATTGGTCGTTTGAAGTGTCAATCAGAGTAGCTGACGACACGACGTCGTTCTGAGAACGGGGCTTAGTGCCGTAAATTTTTACATAAGATATTTTGAATTCTTCAAAGAATTTCAGACAAATATATATTTCATGATTTTTAGGATATAGAAGAATGGCTGAACAGCTCCAAAGAAGACGTTGTATATTTCAGTCTTGGTAGTAACATCAAAGGCAGTATTCTGAATGATAGTACCAAAGCTGAATTAACAAAAGCTTTTTCAAGCCTTCCCTATAAGGTTCTTTGGAAGATCGACCACCAGGTGAACGATTTGCCAGAAAACGTTCTTATAAAAAAATGGTTACCTCAACAAGATATTCTGAGTAAGTCCAAAAGAGACTCTTTGAACATACATTTTATAAGTAATGATTCAAGCTATTTAGTGTTATAATAATTAGAGAATGTCACCTTATACAGGGTGAGTTTTAAATAAGTGCAAATATTTTTAGGGCTGGTAGATATCAATAAAAGAAACATATTTTCTCTTTACCGTTTCTCAAATAAGTCCAAAATAATCGAGTTATTTTACTTTGAAAATTTCCAAAAAAAAATATTTTTTGTTTAAATTTGAAAACTAGATCTTTTCTGAGTTTTCTTTCTTGTAAATTTAATCTACTACCTATGTTGCCATATTATCAAAAAATTATGATTTTTAACTAAAAACTGAAAAAAACAATTCAAATTTTCAGATTGTTTTTTTCGAGAAAAAAAAACTCATAATCTTGTTTCTGGGGTCGAAATATACAGGGTTATTCACCACATACGACACGAAGTATTGTAGCTAAACGATTAGATTTTTACAAATTTAAGTTTTGGGTTCGTTGAAGGACTATTAGAGCCACAATTTAAAAATATTTTTACAAGATACGGAGTGTACCAAATAAGTAAAAAGTATTATAGTTGTATTTTTTAAATGGAACACCCTGTATATTATTCTATTTTTAGATTCTACAGTTGAAATTAAGGTAAATTTGATTAAGGTTTATCACACTTAAACCTTACCGTTTTTGAAATATTTTCAATGTTATGAAATTGCAGTAAAAATTTTAACGCTTCATTTCTCCAAGGATATCAAAGTTTTTAATACTAAATATTTACTGATCAGATATTGTGTTGCAATAATAAACAAAATACTACCTTAGTGTCTAAAAATTTATATTAAATAATTACTAGCTTTAAACGGTAATAACTTGTTTAATTTAAATGGAACACCCTGTATATTTTACGACAATCAGATGCACAATTTCATTGTAACAAATTGTATTATACTATTTTTTACCTATCTCTTCAAGTTTTCGTAGAAAATGAATTTTCTTATAATAATTATAAGTAAACAAGATATTGCCGTTTAAAGCTAGTAATTATTTAATATAAATTTTTGGACTCTCTGTATAAGGTAGTATAATTTTTATTATTGCAACACAATATCGACGTCAACGCTGTACTACCGGGACGTGAACAACCCTGTACTACCCCTAAAAATATTTGCACTTATTTAAGACTCACTCTGTATAATACACAGTCAGAACGAATCACTATAACTTGTGCTACATTTTTTAACATCAGATATATGTTAATGAAAAAATTCTACTCCACTATGTATGTAATTGTAGTGGAATTACTCTTTAATGTATTTTTTTAAAAATACATTGAGCGAATCATAAGATATGATGTCACAGAAAGTGGCACAACAATTTATAGTGACTCGTTTATGGTATGTGTACATCAGCGTAGAATAAAAAAACTCTTAGGGCATCCAAAAGTGAAGGTGTTTATAACACAGGGTGGTCTCCAATCGATGCAAGAATCTATTTATTTCGACAAACCTATGATAGGGATTCCGTTTTTCGGTGACCAACATATGAATGTAAAACGGATGACGCATTTGGGATATGGCGTTAAAGTGCACAAAAACAATATCACCAGGGAGTCAATTAGTGAAGCGGTTATTGAAGTTATCACAAATCCTATGTAAGTAATGATATTGCAGGTAATGTTAATATGTTATTAATCAATAGCTTCAAGTTGAGTTCATTTTTAAAGAAAATAATTGGCTTCGAAATTTTTTATACAGGGTGGTGCCTCTCATACGACGATGGTAGTTTGTATCGAAATCATATTTTGGGAGTATATATAGGAATATACAGGGTGGTCCGAATTGTATTCCGGAAACTTCGGCAGCATATTCTGCAGATAAAAATAAGTAAAAAAGTTCGTATAAATATATGTCCTAAAATGTTTAGTTTCGGAGATACAGGGTATAGAAATTTCATTTTTATTTCGATTTTTTCCAAATAATTTCTGAAGTAAAGTCAATATTTAGATGAAAATTGGTGTCTGGGAGTTTTTGGACATGAGAAATTTGATTTTGATGTCAATACGACTCTTACTTGTAGAGGACGCCACCTACGCATTTTTTAACTGGTTTGAAGAGTAATAACTTTTCGTCCGAACCTGTATAAAACTAGCTAGTTAAAAAATTTAAAAATTTACGACGTTTTTTACGTAAAATAGGTCTCTTGGTAAAAATCGCTACGAGTAATGGTTCTCGAGATATTTGGAATCGAAATTACCAATTCCTGTCATGAATGACATAAATTAAACATGTTGACTAATTAGTTATTAGACTAAAATCATAAATTTGAAATGTTTTTGTGCCAAAAGTTCAACAGAAACTGTTTTATTATCATTTTTTCGAAGAAAAATTTATGATTAGTTTAAAAAATAAAGTTCCCAAATTTCTCATTTCAGTCAAATAACTAGCTACTCAACATGTTTATTTTTAGTCAATAATGACATGTATTGACTATTTCCATTGTAAATATGTTGAGAACGGTTACTCGTAGCGATTTTTACCAAGAGACATTTTTTACGTAGAAAATCACGGAAATGTATATTGTTTCACTCAGTAATTTTATACAGGTACGGACAAAAAGTTATTACTCTTCAAAACAGTTAAAACACATGTAGGTGGCGCCCCCTACAAATAGGAGTCATATTGACATCAAAATCAAATTTCTCACGTCAAAAAACTCCCAGACACCAATTTTCATCCAAATATTGACGTTACTTCAGAAATTATTTGTAAAAAATCGAAATACAAATGAAACTTCTACACCCTGTATCTCCGAAACTAAGCATTTTAGGACATACATTTATATGAACTTTTTTACATATTTTTGCCAGTAAAATATGCTGCCGAAGTTACCGGAATACAATTCGGACCACCCTGTATATAATTATACAGGGTGTCCCAAAAAAAGTTACACATCAAAGTTTTGTTTTTTGTAATGGAACACCCTATATATTAATTGATTTTCGGATTCTAGGAAAAAAATAAAGGTGAGTTTTATTAAAGAAGCATATGCCTAAAATGTAAGGATTTTGACATATTTCACATTTTGTGAAAATGAAGAATAAAATTTAATTTTCAATAACAGCTATCTAATTTGTAATGTATAGCCTGATATTTAATTACAATAACCACTGTATGTTAAACTAAATTAAAATTTGACCCGAAAAGATATACGTGGTGAGACAAAACTAATATTGAACATTGGTCAGTTTTAAAAGCAAGTTACTCCTTTATTTTAAATGGAACACTCAGTATATTATTCCGGTGTTCAATGGAGAATTCATATATCTTCAAAATAGTATTAAGGTTGTCTACCCCTCAAACAAAGATTTTCCTGGATATTTTCATTTTTTTTGATTTTGCGTCAGTAGATCTTTATTATTTGAAAAAACTTTGTTGGAGGGGGGGTGGCTGTTAATTTAACAAAAATTAAAGGATGTAGGGTAAACTACTATAATAAAAAGATACACGTTTAAAACATATTTTAATTATCACAGAATTAAAACTAGATATAAATTATAAATCTATAATTATGTAACAAAAATTAGCTAGATGAAATCAAATGCTGAAAATACTTTCTTTCCTGTTTACTGCATAAAATGATTTTCTTTTTAAAATATCTTTTGTTAATTTAATGTTAAAACATATACAATCATTTCTATCATGGTGTTCACAATAGTTGGTCGAGTTTTGTAAACACTGTCTTTCAGTGGCGTAACTATCGATGCGCCGTGTGTGCGAAGCACACGGGCCCGGGCCCCCTCGGGGAGCCCGCGCCGCATTTCCATATCTATCACATGCTATCGCGAATCAAGCAGAATCCTTCTATTTCTGATGAGGATATATATGAAATGGGTCAGGTTCTATACCTTAAATACCCCGATGATATTGCCTATACAATTTCTTCTCAATTGCTCTCCTTCAGGCAATGTTTCCGAAATAATTTATATGAAATCAATTGCATTTTTGAACTGAATTTATTTTAATTAAAAACCTTTTATCGTCTTCTAGTTTCAGCGATATTTTAACAGCTTGTCATATTTTTCTCACCATACCTGTTTCTGTGGCCTCGGCTGAAAGATCTTTTTCCAAATTAAAGCTTAAATTATTTAAGAAATACTATGGGCGAAAAACGGTTATCAGCTTTGGCAATTATTTCAATAGAAAATGAAGTTGCCCGTACAATAGACATTGGTAATATTATGTCAACTTTCGCCCATGCTAAAGCAAGGAAAAAAGAATGGAAGAATTTAACATGTTCATGTTCCTATTTACATTGTTTATTTCAATTTAGTTAGTCTTGTTGTTGTTTTTTGTTTTGTTTTTATTTATTTTTTTATTTATTATTATTAATAAATAATACTATATAAAAATTAATTAAATGTTATAAAATATGAGTGCATATTATTCAGATTAGTATATAAGTATTGAAAAATGTAGGTGTAGTAATGGGCCCCGTAAAATTTTTGCACACAGGCCCGTGAGTCTGTTGTTACGCCACTGCTGTCTTTAACACACATATCCCTATAAAAAAGTTCAAACTAGATAAAATTAGGAGCATTTAAGATCTGTGATTTAAGTATTCTATTAATTGGTGAATGCACACTGTATTCACCAATTAAAAATGATATGATTCTATATCATTTCTTTCTGATGTAGGATAAGTTTCCATTTTCGGAGAATTTCTCAATTTTTGTTTTGTTTTAAGTGACACAAAATGATAACTAGTTGCTAAAGCTGAACAAATTAGTATGGAGTTAGTACTATGTTGAAGTAACGGCAGACATATCAAAGCCACCCTAGATTTTATCAAATAATAAAGATCTACGCACACTAAATCATAAAAATGAAAATATCTAGGAAAATCGTTGTTTGAGGGGTGGCAACCTTAGTAGTATTTTGAAGAGACATGAATACTTCATTGAATATCGGAATAATATACTGGTTGTTCCATTTAAACTAAAGAAGTAAATTGCTTTTAAAGGTGACCAATGTTCAACATTAATTTTGCCTCACCCTGTATAACTTTTTGGATCAGGTTTTAATTTGATTTAAAGTGCAATAGTTATTTTAACTACATAATAGGATATACTGGGTAAATTCCAATTTAGGTAGTTTTTGTTGAAATTTAAAAAGTGTTCTTCATTTTTAGAAAATGTTAAATAAGTCAAAAACCTTACATTTCAGTCATATACTTCCCTAATAAAAATCACCTTTATTTTTCTCCTAGAATCCAAAAATCAATTAATATATACGGTGTTTACAAAAAACATAACTTTGATGTGTGTGTAACTTTAACTTTTTTGTTGTATCTTTAACTTTTTTAACTAGTTTTGGGAACACCCTGTAAAACTCTATATTTTTAAAAAGTGCTCTGAATTAACCTACATATGCTTACAAAATTTCATTTCAATACAAACTGTCGTTCTACTTGAGCCTCCGCGTCGTATGAGAGGCGCCACCATGTACAGGGTGTCCCAGAAATAAGTGCAAGTAGTGGTGGTAGATCTTGACAAAAGAAACATATTTTCTCTATACCATTTTTAAAACAAACTGAAAATAACCGAGTTATTAACTTCAGTGGGTCTTAGTCCCCAATACAAATTGCGTTCTACATTTGCTTTAAGTGGCTCTTTACATGACCTTATTTCATCAAATTTATTAAAATAATTGAATTGAATTAATTTTGAAAGTTCATGGTTAGTTATTTCTTCTTTTTCCTTACAGATATCGCGAAAAAGCCGAAATCTATGGAAACATATTCCGAGATACCGATATACCGAACGTTGACAAGGCAGTGTGGTGGACAGAATACACGTTAAGACACAACGGAACGAGGCAGTTTAGGAATCCGGCCCTGGATATGCCGTTTTGGAAATATTGGATGCTCGACGTCCTCGGCATTGTATTCGGTGTTTTATTTATTTTCAGTTATCTAAGTCTGAAATTTGTAAAATTAATACTAAGAAGAATTTTTAGGCGAAATGGTAAACAAATTGACAAAAGTAAAAAATGGAATTAGACAGAAGTAATTGTTAAACGGCCTCTACGCTACTCTCGAATAAGCTGAAGTAAATAATCAAGGTTGAAAAGCGAAAAGAGTTGTTTAGTGTTTCGTCGTCTAATTTGCCTCGTCTCGGCTTTTTTTGATTAGACCAGGAAACACAAAATATACCTCTTCGATATTCGACTTGACCTACTTCGGCTTACTTCGGGAGTAGTGGTTTGGCCGTTTTAGGAAATAAAATCAATTATTATTTAACTTTGTTTTAAAATAAGAAAATATTATTTTTAAATTTAATTATTTTTTTACAAATTTAACTTATTATTTTACATAAAATTGAAACATAAACATCATTCATCGTCGAAAATCATGTACCTAGATATATGAAATAAAATCTCTCTAAACAATATATGTATTTTTTTTATTTCTTTTTCTACTTAAAAGCATTGGCGTAACAACGGGCGTGGGGGCCCGGGATTGCTATGCCCACCCCTTATGAGGTTGGGCACACTCCATTAATTTTTCTAGTTTTGTTTAGATAATATTATTTTGTTGTGTTTAAAAAAATGTGTGTTAGCTTTTTATTGTCTTACAAAATTTGTAGATATTTAAGTATAGTCTGGCCAACGAGAAGATCCTTGACAGTGATGTGTCTGTCATTTTAATTTCAAAGTAGTTTATTTTATTTTACAAAGAAATAAGTTGGTACAACTGGAACGCATAGCAGGAAATTAATATATGTAATATGTATTTAAAATTTGACTGATTAGTAACTTCAAAATATTGTGAAAAAAACTGTACAAAACTGAAAAAATGTAATCGAGTTATTTTATTTAATAAAAAACGGTATGTGTTAATACAAAACAAACAAAAACAAGACACCACATATCAAAAAATATAAAAAAGAACTATTTCTTACTTTCAAGCTTTATGAAACTTCCCGCATTTATGATTATATTTATCAATATAACTTATGTACAAATACAAATTTGTAATATTCGCAGGAATAAATAAAACAACATAAATAAAACAAACTAATTTATTAAGAATAACACTTACCAAATTTTATACCTCACAGGTTGATTAATTAACTTTCATCTTATTTTTTTTTAAACCAGTACCTTTTGACATTATTTTTCTGCAGTACTAAAATCCATTATTTACCTATCGTGCGATGTCGATATTTTACAGCTACTCCAGTTTTAGTATGTGTTTAGTATGGTCCTTCTACCATATTCGAGATGCACTTATCTACGACGAGATGGTATACGAACTTTATTGATAGTAACTTTATTGGTGTATCTGTATAAGACTTTCTGCTTGGGCAGCGAGTATTAACCATAAACTGTGCTCTGGGTTCTACAGTTAATTTTCACTCGATTTTTCCTCCACTTGACTTCAAAAGACACAAAACACACGAAATAACACGAATCAAAATGGATCATCTTTCAAAACGCAGGGTATTTGACAAAAGTTGTCACAAAATTATAACCTATAATTTGGCAAGACTTTGACAAACGTCAAAAATCTAAAGGCGAGTTCATACGCATCGGCGTCCGTTTGTCGTTCATCGTTCCGTCAAACCAATAAAATTCAAATACGTTCATTTTTGAAATAAACCAATAAAACTGGTTAAAAACAACAAGTGACGACACATGACGAATTTATATTTAAACCCATCCATAGTTAACTTAAAAATTATTAGAAACTTTTTTTAGTAAAATAAATAGATTGGTATGGGACGTCATCTGCTTTTCTTCTGTCATCGTCTGTCGAAATCTTACCTGAGAAAATCTTATCTGAGAGTATAATCCATGGGAACATGGGAACACGTGTTGATAACCAAGTCCATCAAATTGATTAAGAGAGAAATTCATGTAAACATTTTATTCAAAAAATGTGTTTATTTTTTATTATAATTATTATTCGTTTTTTAAAAAACAAAAGCCTTCGTCCCCCTAGAATCACCCCTAGGCCCCTCCAGAATGAATTGCTAGTTACGCTAATGCTTAAGAATTTAAAAACCATACACTCTTAAATAGTAGCGATTCATTCTATGAATCTTGAGAAGTTGCTTGAAACCAGTCTCCCGATTTTATTTTTCAACTTTATTCTACGCCCTGTACTAAAGCTTATTATACAGGGTGTCCGAAATTCGAACCTCATCATTGTGATTTCGGAAACTACAAGAGTTGCCATCTTAAAACTTCTGCTACCTTAAATTTCGAATACTTTTTTGAAAAAAAAACGAAGATTCGCAATTTTATTTTTATTTTTTATAACTATAAATTTTACATTCTCACTGCTATATTTTTTCTTGTCTCTGTGTTCGTCTGTGAGCTGATATCATCAACTTTCTTTTTTTAAATCGGCTGTGGAATTTTATTGTGGATTTCAAGATCAATAAGGTTGCAAAACCAATGATGTATCGCACTTACTCGAAAAATTCATATTGTTGCGGACCCGTGTGGACTCGACCTAACCTAACTATATGTCCCGCCCTCAGATGACCTTAACATCGCAATAAAGAATAGACACCGTAATTATTCATTCGAAGTTTCGAGAAGAATCGAGTTCCACTGGAATGGAGTAGTACATACGAGAACAATCGAAACCTGCTCTATGCACCTGACGATCTATGGACTATTCGAGAAATCTTTAGCTGTGGGTATAAAAGCCGGCGGCTGGGGCCTAAAGAGGGCAGACACAAATAGACGAGTACAGTTGACGTGCTAAAATTCAAAAATAAATTCTTTCTAGATAAATAGTTGTAAATCGTTTGTAAATAGTTCTTTAAGTCTTTTATCGTTATTGTTTTTGTTTATTAGTGTTAAATAAATAGTGTTTAAATAAATTGACACTTTCTATCCACACGGAACCGACGAAAAACGTAACAATATTAATGATGTTCTGGTAAGATCTTACAAAAAATGTATTCTCTGCCTTTAACATTTGAGTTCTTTGGGAAAATGCCATTAATGATGTATGATTTTCACCTTACTGTGCGTTATTATAAGTATAAGCGTAAGTTTGTCTAACGAGTCGGAGAAAATTTCGAAAGAAAAATTCAAACTTCAATCTGTGAATTAAAACAAAATGCTATAATTCACAAAATCAATGCTTTTTCCATGGTCCTTACCAAAAACTAATCTAAAACTACAGGTAAAACTTCCAGTGTGTATGTGTACGCTGGTCCTTAATCCCTCACACGTAAATAAGTTATGTCTAGACGGTCTTCCCATTTTACCTGCCAGTCAAAACGTAAGATAAACCGTTATGTGTAGACAAGGCTTTAAATATATACAGGGTGTCATTGAAATTGTGTAAAAAAATCGGGGGGCGATAGTACTCCTAAAAATAGTAAAGAAAGTTCCTATAAGTATAGGGCGGAAATGCATATTAAGGGAGTTAGAGGCACTGAAAGGGTGAATTTAAAAAACGGTTGTTTTAAAATTGTAGGCTTAAAGAACGAGATAAAATTTCGAAAAAATATAATCTGCCATATATTTTAACCCTAAATCAAATGGTGATACTGAAAAATTATATGGAAAAGCGGAAAGGGTAGTTTTTGCAAGGGTAGGGGGTTGTTTCGTGAATAATTTTTTTGAAGTTATTTTTTTGCAACGTGGGTTTATTTTTTGAAAACTACATACTTTGTCCTACAAAAAAGTTACTCTTGTTGCACATCGCCCAGAGCGATGGTTTTCGAGAAAATTGAAGACAAAGAGTTTGCTCTGATAGGTCGCTAACTGGTTAATCAACATAAACTTATGAAAGTTATGGTGGTTCAAAAGTAACCAAGTAGTTATTAAATAATTAATTGAAAAATCAAAATTTCATGATTTTTAAAACATCTTATTGCTTTAAAAAACGAAATAATCCAATTACCAAAATTCCTTATTAAAATAATGCATTCCTTAATTCATTCATAGTAAATGTTCAAAGTGACCACCATTCATTTCAATGTAGACATCTGATCTTCTTCTCCAGATCTGCGTACCCTGTGGAATATCCTTGTTGCTGACCGAATTTCATTGGAACAGTCAATAATGCGTTGCCGTAGTTGCTCTTCAGTACCTATTAATCGGCACTGAGAAAACCAAATTTTTTTAAAACCAAAAAAGATTATTTCGTTTTTAAAGCAAATAAAGTGTTTTAAAAATCATGAAATTTTGATTTTTCAATTAATTATTTAATAACTACTTGGTTACTTTTGAACCGCCATAACTTTCATAAGTTTATGTTGATTAACCAGTTAGCAACCCGTCATAGCAAACCCTTTGCCTTCAATTTTCTCGAAAACCATCGCTCTGGGCGATGTGCAACAAGAGTACCTTTTTTGTAGGAAAAAGTATGTAGTTTCCAAAAAATGAACCCACGTTGCAAAAAAAATAACCTCAAAAAAGTTATTCACGAAACAACCCCCTACCCTTGCAGAAACTACCCTTTCCGCTTTTCCAAATAATTTTTCAGTATCACCATTTGATTTAGAATCAAAATTTATGGCAGAGGATTTTTTTTAAGATGTTAATAAAATAAAAATATCTACCTATTTTTTCTATATAGAATATTGAGTGTTTATCTACGAAATCTAAAATATTTCATTAAAATAATAAAATATGGACAATTACTATTTTTCAAATCATTACTAATAATTCTAGATTAACTTTTCTCCTACAATATTATATCTTAATGGCCTAAATTTTAATCTCTTATCTAAAATAATCTAGAATGAGATAAGCATGCAATCAGAGTGACATCCTTTTTATGTTAACCTATTAGTATCTTTGCAGCAACATAAAACTATAAATCACCAAAACACTTTTACTTTTACACTGCACGCGCGTTTCGCTAACCATGTTAGCATCATCAGCAGATGATTAAAACTAAACTAATATCTACAAATTGAGCGTTTATATACTCGCTCAGTTGGTTCTGTGTGGGAGTGGCAAAAACTAGCCAAGGAAGTCAAAACTAACCGAGCGTAAAAATTAGTTACCGTTTCTAGAGCAGCAGGAACAGAGAGCTGGAAGGAATTGGGCCATTGTCTCTGTTCATACTATCTTAACATTTACTATTATCTACGTTTTATCTGTCAGCTTTGCTTTGCATTGCGTTGCGTTCTAAAACTGAATGATCCCGTCAGTTCCCTAGACCGGCTTCCGTCTTAACCCTCAACTGGCGTGGTGGGGTCTAACGGACCCCAAGCACTATTTAAACATCTGTAAAATGTTTACGTTTAAGAATTAGGCCTCGCCGCGCCATTTACCTTTAAGTTAGGGTACCAATATGCAACTGTTAAAGGCGCACTTGATTTTAACAAGTATTGTTCCTACCTGAATATGGCAAGGAAGCTGATAGAGGAGTATAAGAAATGGGGGTTGGAGGTAAATATCACCAAAACTGAATGTATGACTGTAGGGGGGCCACAAGAGAACATAGTCTTGTTGTCTATCTATGTTGAATGGTGTACTGTGGGATCAAGGAATCTCGAACGCTAATAAGAAGAATATATATAATACGGTAGTGAAAAGCATAATAACTTACGGAAGCGAAGTATGGCAGTTGAAAAGCAGAACAGAGAACATGCTATTAGCGACCGAAATGAATTACTGGAGGAGATCTGCTGGAAAATCGAAAAGAGAACAAATAACCAACAACAGAGTAAGGGAGATTATGGGAGTAGAACACACAACTGTGGACGACATGAGAACAAAACAACTGATATGGTTTGGTCATGTGCAACGAATGCCCGATCACAGAATACCAAAACAAATTTTACTGTGGACACCTCGAGGCAGAAATAAAAGAGGAAGGCCGCGACGAAGCTGGAGGGAGGGTGTGGATAAAGAACTAGAAAATGGAGAAATACCTGATGATCTCTGGCTAAATAGACAAGAGTGGAGGTTAGGTGTCGGAAAACGTCGTAGAACGTTCTGAACCGACTTATAATATATATTGTTCCTACCAGCGGGAGCTAAAGTTTCATTGGGGTCTGTGTGGCACCACCATGCCAAGAAGGTTTTGTTATTAGGATGGTGGGTAGTCTAAAATGTGTGCCTCACTGGGACGCTAATTTTGAGGACGCATTAATTGAGTGGTTTGATGAATTTAATGAGGCTTGAGATGAAGCTCATCGAGACATTGATTTTTCTCCGAAGAGTAACCATAACTCCGATTCTGAATCTCTTAGTTATAGAAGAGAGAAAATTGAATAATCAATGCCAGAAAAGAAAGGGATGTGGTATATGTCAACCATATGTCAACGAAGAAATGACAAAAAAATGCCATAAATCAAATGTGCACGAACCATGTGCGTCAAATGCAGATCCTATATTAGCATGAACTGTATTTGATAAAGTTATGTACATTCAAGGTTTGCAGTTTTGTTGAAAATAATTTATGTTTATTACTTTAGCTTCACATTTCAGTTGTTTGTACTAATACCACGGCACATAAAACAATCGGCACGCCAACTCTACTCAGATTCCATTGTTTAGAATTTCTATAAAATTTGACCTTGTCGGCGCCATTATGGTTTCCTAGTCAGGGCCGGATTAAAACGTATTAAAAAATTTCTCAGAAAATACGACAGGGTCGTATTAAAAAAATACTGTAATTGACTGTAACTGAATCTTATTTAAACAATACTTTTGTCCAAACAAATGAATCGTTAACCGCGCATACTTCTCGAAAAGTAATAATGAAAAAAATCAATTAAATATTTCACTGTAGAGAATAGACAATTAAAATTAAAAAACATGCAACTAACAAAAACATGCCAGGAGTTACAAACAAGAATTAAAAAAATACCAATAAAATATTTATTGAACAATATAAAGAGGCTACGTACAAATTATGCCCATCAATGGGCGTTATAATATAACATATTAATATTCAAATTATATATTAATATTCAAATTTCACAAATTAATAAATCCACAATTTTTTTTGAGAAACTTCTATTTTTTTCATGGCAGGAAACAAAGTAGGTACCATTGTATTTTATACGGTTACAAAGTGAATTGGTAAACATTTTAAATTCAAAGTGAACAAAACACAACCTGTACTTGTGGGCCTTATTTATATCTTCAATCAAGTCTTCTCCGTTAGCTGCAATTGCCCATGTTCTTGCCCTAAAAATGTATTGTTAACTTATTTTCGATATACTCATTTTATTTATTTTTATAATTTTATTTAAATTAATAATATAATTATTTTTAAATTTAATGTTGAATGTCTAGATACAACACTAAATTTTACTAAATATTTAACATTTTAATCTTGCTAATATTTTATATACATATAGGGTGAGTCTTGAATAAGTGCAAATATTTTCAGGGGTGGTATATTTCGACCCCAGGAACACGTTTATGAGTTTTTTTCGCTAAAAAAAGATATTGAAAATCATGCATTTTCTTTTAACTTCCCTGTATATTTTTCGAAAACTTTTTAGAACTGCCTGTTCACCGCAAATTTTCCCACGGTATAATTTCTTAATCTCTGATATTACCATAGTTACGGCTTTACTCTATGGTTGCGGCACTAAAAGGGATGCAAATACAGAAAAAATCCGGTGGCTCTCAACTCAAGATTTAAAAAAAAACATTTTTTTTTTAAACTTAAATAACTCGGTTATTTTGGATTTATTTGAGAAAGTAAGGAGAAAATATGTTTCTTTTATCGAGATCTGCCAGCCCTGAAAATATTTGCACTTATTTAAGACTCACCCTGTATATAAGTTTGTTAACATTTAATATAGATGCTGAACTTGTATATTTTTAATTAGATCTTTCTATTTAGCTGAATGTCCTAATATGTATACTACTGTTTTTTTAACTAAAATATGTTAAAATAATGAATCACATATGTATATATCAAAGACATTATAAATATAGACCGAACATCTCATTCATAAATACTCGTTGGTAGTGTATCAAACATTCCAATGTGTCAAACAAGGACAACTAAAATAGGCGCATTTGGATTGTTCTAATGGCCAGTGGCGTATCGTTTTTTGGAACGAATTTAATTAGTAAAGTAAAAGTAAAGTAATTAGTAAAATGTTTACTCCATATTAATATACTACATTAACACTTTTTCGTCAGATGAGTTTTGTTATAAGGTCTAATATAATAATATAATTAATATCCCACATATACTTATGTTGAAACATTAATAGGTAGTTTTCGAAAATCGCTCCAACGTCGATTTTCAATTTAAACTTTCAGTTAATTCTATATAAACTTTCAATTACTTTTGAATATTTACAGGGTGACTCAGGTTTCCGAAACAGTTCTATATTAGGTTTGTGGTTGGTGACTTTTCTTTCAATTTTTTTTTCAGAATATGGAGGCAATTGTAAAGCACATTTTAGACATTTTTGTAAACATAGGTGGCCGGAACATATTTTCAAACTAAAGTTGTAGATTTGCCATTAAATTTCCATTCCAGAAATACCTAGGGTTGCCACCTGTCCTTTTTTGAAAAGGACAGTCCTTTTTTGGAATAACTTGTCCTTTTGACTTTTTTTGACTTAAAAAGTAATTTTTATTTACGTATTTTCCCTGAGAAAATTATCTACAGCAAACAGAAATATTATTTTCGTCCAAATTTAATTAGAGATGTTATAAAACTTATAAATAATTTTTTCTTGTTTAGAATAGGCAACATTATTTAGAACTTCCCGTTTAATCTCAAATGATAATTTAGGTTTTAGTTTTACCTTTTTTGATCTTAAAAAGAACTTTTTAAAATTAGTAATTAGTAACGATTTAGTTAGTTCGCAGTCGATAGCTTCCTGTAAAGTACTATATAATAGTTGTTTAATCTTGTATTATTAATAACTTCCTATACCTAAAACCAATATTTAATGAGAAAATTGTGTTTTTGAAAATATAAGACAAGATTTGACTTTCGGTCTTCTTCTTGTATTATGATGGCTCTGATACGAGAGGCAATTACCTTTTTAGTTTCTCAACAGAAGGCATTTATCATTAAAAGTATCAAATCTGTGTGCTACAGTATGGGATTTCTGTCGCATAATAATGAATATTACGTTTATTTACAAATCCATTACTTTTAAAGGTAGCTTCATCAGACAATCAAATTTTAATTAAATGTCCCAATCTTCATGAACTGTATTAAGCATATATGTATTGCGGTTTGAATCGCCCCCAGAATCACCTTGTATGTTGACAAAAATATTTTGAAAATGTGCGTTACAATGGCCCCCATCTTATGTAAAAAATTGAAATAAAAATTACAAACCTAAAATGTAATAGGTAAAAAGCTTTTTTGGAGTCCTGGGTCATTCTGTATATAGGTATGTATAAAACTAGTAGCCTAAGAATTATTTACAGTTCGTCCCATTCTAAAAAAAAGGTAAACACACCGTACAAATAACTCTAGGAAGAGGTATTTGTACGGTGGTAAAAAATTGTTTAAACGAGGCCGAAGGGGCAGATATAAAAATGCAATAAAATGTAAAAAAGGGCGGGTAAACACCTTTGTTTATTTGTTGAGCAAAATTTCTTTAGAATATCGTATATAATGACCAAAATATTATGCAATTTTAACAAAAAAAAGTCACTTTCTGGCTTATAATAAAGTTTCAAATGCAACGTTTATATTCAAATTTGTTATTATCTACAACAGTTAAGTAGTAATTGAGACGAATTATAATTCAATTACCGGCTACTACGTTCTTGTTTTAATAGCTCAAAATTCAACAAATATAATTAGAAATTATTTTAATTGTGAGAGGCTCCCTTGTGGGACGCCTATGTACGGCGATTACGGCGCGCGCGGAAACAATACCTACCTGTGAAAAGACAAATTCGGGTAATTTGAGCTTATTTTTCCACACATTTGACACTGTCGTACCATATTGAAAATTCGCAGATTCAAAAGTACGTTAAACAAAAGCAAAAACTACTGAAAAACACTGAAAAGTTCACTTCGGACTTGATTCCGACTTCAAACACACCGTAAGCTAAACGTAGTACGCTATAACGGACCAAGGGCCGTCGCGAGGGCTGGTGGGACGGACGGCTCATTTCATTCTGGAAGACTAGCAGCGACTTTGCCAATAGTTCTAGACGTTTCAGCACATTTAACAGTAAACATGTCCTTTAATAGTAACGCATATATCGTCTGGTTAATAACATATTATTACGCATGCTTCTTTAAAAATAAACTATTAATTTAATTAAGAAATTGAGATTTATTGATATCCGGTGAAGGTTTTAAATTCACCTTTTCTGCAAATCAAACTAAGTAGATAGGCGCAAATTTGAGATGTGGCAATGTCGCCTTCTCTATCTCAGTTGGTTTTTACAGTACGTAGTCAACCTCCGATTGTTTGATCGGGTTAAAATGCAAAATGTGATATCTGTTCTTCCTAAATCTATGGTATATATATACCTAATCTGATCTCTAGGAAACAGAAAGAAACTTTTATTGCAGTTTAGTCCTCTACTCGGGCAGTTTTTTGCTGCACAACTTCGCCTAGGCATTTTAAAAACACATAAAAATTAACGATTTAAAAATGTTCAGAAAAACAAAAATAAATTATATAACACAAGAAACGAAAATAAACTAGAAAAACCAAATATATAACACAATAAACAAAAATAAAACAACAACTATAAAATATAACTCAAGAAATAAACAAAATAAATTAATCCGTACGCTACTGACTCGAATCAGCCGAAAGTGTGCGCAGTCGATGAAAGAAACTACGACACTGGTTACTTTCTGTTGATGGAAACCCTAATGGCGGCGAGCGCGACGGTATGCGCGTAGCGTTCCCGCCAAAGAGAGTTAGCCTGCCGTGTGATTTATATGCCGTGCTAATACGGTAAAATCATAAAATATATGTTTTTAATTTGTATGGGTTTCTTAGCCAAGTTATATTTATGTTGTCAAAAATTACTAAAAAAATGCGTTTTAATTGATTTTTGTGTCCGTTCTTATTAATTTGTTGAAAATTAATTAAATTGTTTGTTCACAAGTTTGAATATATTGTAAACAGTGTTAAAATAACAAGCTTTTTATAAAATCGTGGGACCCCAGTACGCCATAAGCGGTACGAAAATTCATCACGCCAGTTGAGGGTTAATACAGTTGAAGTAAAACGGACCGTTTTTTAATAAAAGTTTTGCATAAAAATTTAGTGAAAGAACGTTTTGACTGAATAGATTAAACTAACATGTGTAGACTGGGTAGACGCGCAAACGTTATTTGTAGACAGGGCTTAAGTGTTTATGTTCTAAGAATATTAAAATAAAAAAAAAACTTTTTTAAAAAAATCATTTTATATTAGAAAAATATATAAATATAAAAAATAATAGTAAAGAATATTAATTTGATTTAAGAAATTTTTCTTTTTTTAGTTAAAATATATCTAATTTTACGTAAATAGGCTGCTATTCTAAAGCTACATCTTAAAAATCGTATACACAAAAAAACAGTCAAAGAAAGTAGAGTAAAACATAAAATAAATATTAATCCAAAAATATCGAGTAAATAAAACTGATAAAACGGTGTATTGATCTCAGCCTTATTAATCATATGATCCACTTCACCTTTGTGCCTGATAACGTACTCCGTCCACCATATTGCTTTGTCTATCCCGTTCATTGGCTGATCCATCCACAATTCATTCAATCTCTTCATGTTATCGACATACGTCTGGTTAGACATAACTTCTAAAATGGCGTTTTTAAACTCTTTGGGATCCAGTCTTGGCTTGATGGAGACTCTTTTCAAAACGCCTTTGAGTTGTAGTCGTTTCACGTTGCTCTCCTGGTCTGCGTAGACAGGAATACCGACTAGAGGCACTGAGAAGAAGATTGCTTCTTCTAGACTCTGGACTCCACCTTGATTGATAAAAAGTTTTACATTTGGATGACCTAAAATAAATGATATGAATGAAATAAAACAAGTCACAATAATAAGTAGTCACAATTTTTTATTATTACTAATTGTGAATTTTAAAGACACAAAAGATGTATTCATCGTTTGACTACAAAAATTATACTAAACTTTATTAAGTTAATGTTCGGTGATTATACTAGAATTATATACCCTGTCGGCAATAAAGAGTCTTGGGTGGGTATTAAGCTGCGTATAAATATGTCGAGACGAGTGCGAGAGACACCCGAGACGAGTCAACCTCAAGCGGATTTGAGGCTGACTCGTCATATTGGGACGGGGTCTGAGCTTCGAGCCGAGCCTATGCCCAGCCGGACGACGTTGTCTCCGTTTTTTCCGGAGCCTTTGGCGAACCATCAAAAGGGTTCAGAACCGGAAATCCGGTACCAAAAGTATTGGGAATGGTTCTGTTTATTTGCATCACCCATCTTTCTGAGAAGAATAATAATGTTGATGGTATTTTTCGTACCTTAAATTCTTTAGGCATAGCCGTAGAATAAGGGTAAAAATAATATTTTATACAATTTGTCGAATATACATATACATATAACCATATTAAATGTATGTTCACAACAATAAGTAGTGACACTACATTATTGTTGTTACTTCTGAAGTTCTTTTGAAGTTCCTATAATTTTTATTAGCAATTATTGAAGTTTAAAGATATTATTTTATTATTTAATATAATGTTGCTAAATGGTATCAGTTATATTTATGTTAGATTTTTATCGGTATTTGCAATTTTAATTTAAAAATATAGTTTTTTTTTCTCAAATTTAGTTAAATTGATTTATGTTGTTTGATGTAAATTTTAAGTTACCCATATTTTTTTCTTTGCTTGTGTTCATGTTAATTTTGTCATAACTGATTACTTAATAATTTGATATTTAAAACTCAATTTTTTATCAGTTTTACTTCTGAAAACCATTCCTTGCTTGCTGATTGACGAACTGCACAATCATTGAACAAAAATTTGCTGGTACCGACAAGACCGGGAAATCCCGGCTCCTTAGAGGCATTGTACCGAAATTCCCGGTTCCGAAAAACAGCTCCGGTTCCAGAATCCCTAATTAATACTCCTAATTAGGGCTCAGAACCGGGAAATTCCTGATTTGAAAGTACCAGGAATTCACAGATCTTTTTGGCCATCACAGAACCTGGTTTCGAAATTAATTCCCGGTTCATTCAGGCCTCGATAACAATACTTAACAATTTTGTTAGGTGATTTAGTCCTTTAATACTTTCTAGCGGTCGAAATCAAACTCTCCTTAATAAGAAATGATCGTATTTCTTATTGTTCTTGCTTCTTTTTCCTTTTAAAATTCCTATAATTTTTATTAGCATTTATTGAAGTGATATATGTATATATTTATGAAATATGTTATGCTTTAATAGATATTTGCATTTTTAATTTAAAAATATAGTTTTTTTTTCTCAAATTTAGTTAAATTGGTTTATGTTGTTTGACGCTTGTGTTCATGTTAATTTTCTCATGGCTGATTAAATAATAATTTGATATATTCATTAAAAATCTAAATGTTTTATCAATTTTACTTTGGAAAACTATCACTTGCTTTCTAGTTGATAAACTGCACCATCATTAAACAAAAAATAGTTAGTACCGAAAATAACGGGAAATCCCGATCCCTAAGAGGCGCGGTACCGAAATTCCCGGTTCCAGAAACCCTAATATCGACTGTTCTCTTCGTACACACTAAATATCCCTTATGGGACTTTATTTGAAATAGTGGTCACAAAAGTTGGAAGAACAAGGGTTCACCAAATAACCACAGTGGCGCTAATGACGCATAAATCAAAAGATAAAAGAAAATAAAAGTAAAAAACCGAACATTACCCAAAAAAGCTTTGTTTTTATTTTTTAGAGTATAAAACAATTATTTTTATATATTAGAGGCCCAGTCTATAGCTGCTGAATAAAAATCGATAATTTATTTCATGTGAAAATAAAATTTGTATTTTTTTGAAACCCGCGCCTTCACGTCAAATATTTATCTCTTATGAATAATTTCCTGTTCTAAAAATGTTCAGCGCATATTTTAAATTTTAAGATTTTGCCACAGCAGCACCATCTTAAGTCTTCCCTTTTTTATGACCATTTTTAATGTACGAAGATATTTCCCCTCACCTCTACACTCCATAGTACACACGAAAATGGGTACCCAAAGTCAGGCACTGCCGACCGTGAATAAAAATTATAGTTATCTGGATCAGGCCTGTATTTACAGTTTACAGCGCTTTCAGATGGAGCGGAACGTCTGTCGTGTTTTTTCAAGACAGCCGTCGGACGAAATCATCCGGACGGAGCATACGCGACCCATTTGATATTGTTCATATAAACTCATGGCACTTGCTCGAAGTCGCGGACGGTCCGCTTTATCTGAAAGCGCTGTTACTCACACTATTCCATGATTTGTAGCCAAACGATGTATAAGCCAAATGATTAGATTTATTGAAATTGAGTGGGATCGTTCAAGAACTCCAAAAGCTACAATTTAAAGTTATTTTTATATAGTACAGATGTCCCAAATCTGTAAGAATGTTAAAGTTGCTACGACTAATAAAACATATTTAACATATTTGAAGAATTAAGGACAACTTGAGATGATAAGAACTGAGATGAGAATATTTTATTTCTTACGTAGAATATCCTGTTGAAACAGCCAATCATAAATTTTAACATTGTGCGGAATTATGCGGTTTTCTCGATTATTAAACTTCCACATAACTTTATAAGGAAGCTGACTTAAGACTTCTAAAAAGCTTGTCACTGTTTCTTCTCCCAAATCCTCGCATTTAACGTTGCTTCCTAGACTAAATAGTATAGCACCGTTTTTAGCAGAATCCAGAAATTCCTGTACATCCTAAAATATACAAAAAATTCTGGAACTTAAACATATTAAAGATATTCATTAAGTAAGGTTTAATAGAAAAAATTATGAACGTTTCTATAATTCTTACCTGAGGAAGTTTATTTGGATCCTGTATAGTCATACCACCAACGACAATCGTTCTGGGTGAATATGGACGTGGAATAAGTAAAATTGGATTCACACATAAGAATAGTAAACTAGGTTTTGAAGTAAGAGATTCTATAGAGACAGACATGTTCCCAAAATGTTTGTCTATAACTCCTTGTCTTCTTAATGTGTATTGAGACTTTATGTAGTCAAAGATCCAACTTAATAATGTGGAAATTAGTCTTTCCTTGAAGTTAAGTTGGCCGACAAAAGGTATATATACTTCTGGATAAACCTTAAAAATATTATTTCAGTTTATACCAGTTGCTAACCATAATTAGGTAGAAGATTGTTTAATTTGATTAAAACAGATCAATTTGCTAACACAAAACGTAGGCGAAAGTACCTATAGCGTATCGACTCTAATCATCTCATCTAAAAAATCTTACTAATATCTTAGTTTATAATTGTGATTAGTAATCCCTAAGATTTTTTTTCAAGTAGCACAAGTGCTTGAAGAATTTAATACATATCAATAAGTATCTAATTTTTTTGATGATTTATAGTAAGTCATTTTGTATGGCTTGAGGGAATATAATTGAAGATGCGTATTTTTCTGAAACTAGAAATTATTTCCTTTCATTTGTGGTTTCCTTTCATTCAAAGGTGATTTGAACCTTGCTTCTGAATAGATCTTCTCTTCCGTTTCAAAAATACCATAATGACATATACTATACCGAGTGATTTTTGGAACGGAAGAGAAGATCTTTTCAGAAGCAAGGTAAAAAACATCACCTTTTGAAATGAAAGGAAATAATTATATAATTAAGACAGACTTTGGTACTAATTTGGTATTTTTGGTTCTAATTTGGTATTTTTTTGGAAATAATTGGGTATTTTTGGTACTTTTTTCCCAAAATTGGTATTTATTGTACACCATTTTTGGCAGCGGTTTGCCCCTCGCCTAAACCGTATACGTTTTGCACAAAAGTTAATATAATAGCAACGATTATACAACTCCATGTATATTTTTCCTATATAGAAGGATGGGATTAATAAGTGATAATTATTTAAGTGATTATTGTTTGGTGGCCATATTGTAATTGTCATTTTTGAAATATTAATTCCGAAGTGATTTCTGTCAGTTCCACAAAATATCCCGTCAATTCTTATTACAAAATGGCAAAATGTTTAAGATAAGAAGGATATATGTACTTTATTTCGTTGTATAATCTTTTGAATACAACTCAATGTTTCGGGATTACCCTCGGGATTACCTAATACTTTTACCTAACGAGTCGTAGTGTTGCCGGGTAACGCATCTCGTGTCAGGTAAAAGTATTATTAGGTAATCCCGAAACATCTTGTGGTATTACATTCGATAATAGAATATTCTTTCTAACAAAATTTGCAACCTTGTTTGATATATACAGGGCGAGTCAAAAATAAATGTTTGATTTGGTTTGATTTGGTTTTGTTTAATTCTTTTTTTTTATTAAGCACTTCCTATACCTAATATCGATATTTAATGAGAAAATTGTTTTTTTGAAAGGTTTAATCTTTTTGTTTTATTAGGCACTTTCTGTACCTAAAATCGATATTTAGTGAGAAAATTGTGTTTTTTGGAAGTATAAGACGATCTGACTTTCGACCTTTCAATAAATGGCGTTTATCATTAAAACTCTCATAGCTATCTACAACAAAGTATAAAAACCTTTTAATTAACTCAATAATCAATTTTTGATGTGACAAATTAATAAATTTTATTTATTGTATTGGAACAGCTGAAAGTATCTATTTTAGCAAGAAACATTTACCATCAAAGATATGCATTAAGGACACCACAAGTATCCGTATTTAAGAAATGAAAACGAAAAAAAAAAGTCTGATAGTACCGGCAATGTGGATTATACGAAAAAATGTTAGATTTATAAAAGAAGTATCAAGTGAGTATGCTGAATGTATTATTATTATTAGAGGATGAAAATCCTAATGCTTCCTCTCGAGAACTATCGGCTCAAGCGGACGTTTCTCAGAGTAATGTTAATAGCATTATATAATAATAATAATAATAATAGCTCCCGTATATAACGTTTAACGGCTTGGGAGTAGCAAGGTACAGCTTGCCATGCTAGAGGCGTTCGGTATACAAGGAAGGTAATGTGGCTAGCACTACGCTTCAGCCGCCTATTATTACCTCAGGATTGTGAATCCCAAGTACTCATTTAAGGCTGAGTCGACCTAGGTACCCAAACTATTTTTGTTTTATTAAAAATAGTGGGCTGATGAAATGCCGGCTGTACGAGAGCTGTACCTCTACGCAAGCCACCAGGCACCTTAATAGATAATAATAATAGAATTATAAAAACACATAAATATCATCTTTATCAATTGGAACTACATCAAAATCTAAATAACTTTACTAATAGAACGAATTTTGCAATGCATAACTTAATACAGTTCATAAAGATTGAGCATTTAACTAAAATCTTATTTTCCGATGAAGCTGCCTTTAAAAGTGGATTAGTAAATAGACGTAATATTTAATATTATCTGACAGATAGCCCACACTGTAGTAGATAGGTATGACACTATTAAAGATAAACGCCTACTATTGAAAGGACGAAAGTCAGATCTTGTCTTATATTTTCAAAAAAACAATTTTCTCATTAAATATCGATATTAGGTATAGGAAGTGCTTAATAAAACAAAAGAATTAAACAAAACCTTATCCGGTTATGATACAAAATACAGGGTGTTCCATTTAAAATAGTGAAGAAAAATACAACATTTATTTTTGACTCGCCCTGTATATATCAAACAAGGTTGCAAATTTTGTTAGAAAGAATTTTGAAGAAGACACTATTATCGAATGTAATACCACAAGATGTTTCGGGATTACCGAATAATACTTTTACCTGACACGAGATGCGTTACCCGGCAACACTACGACTCCGAAGGAGGAGTCGGTATCGCATTGAGTGTTAGGTAAAAGTATTAGGTAATCCCGAGGGTAATCCCGAAATATCGAGTTGTATTCAAAAGATTATACAACGAAATAAAGTACATATATCCTTCTTATCTTAAACATTTTGCCATTTTGTAATAAGAATTGACGGGATATTTTGTGGAACTGACAGAAATCACTTCGGAATTAATATTTCAAAAATGACAATTACAATATGGCCACCAAACAATAATCACTTAAATAATTATCACTTATTAATCCCATCCTTCTATATAGAAAAAATATACATGGAGTTGTATAATCGTTGCTATTATATTAACTTTTGTGCAAAACGTATACGGTTTAGGCGAGGGGCAAACCGCTGCCAAAAATGGTGTACAATAAATACCAATTTTGGGAAAAAAGTACCAAAAATACCCAATTATTTCCAAAAAAATACCAAATTAGAACCAAAAATACCAAATTAGTACCAAAGTCTGTCTTAAGCTTATGTTTAAAAATTTGTTTGCTGGCATTGATTCTGGCCTCGATTCTGGCTTATTCTCATCAGGTTCATTCTCGGGTTCATTTAGACAAACCATCATCGTTTCCTTAAGAGCTTTCGATATTTCTCCATTTTCCTTAAGAGTAGAATTTATTTTCTCTAATATCGAACTAAAGTTGGTTATAAGAGGTTGATTATACTGAAACTTTTCAATTTTTCTTTTATTCCTTTGCGAGCAGCTGTATTTTGTAGACTTCCAAATTGAATTATTGCTTGTTGACGGTAAGGTTGAAGCGGCAGCTGATAATGGTAGTAACGGGGTAACATCGGGGAGGTAATTATTATTGCTTGTGGATGGTATGGCTAAAGTGACGGCTGATAAGGGTAGTTCCGAGGCTCGTTTAGTTGGGGGGATAATTACGCAGTCTAGTATTTTTACATTAGGATTTCTTTGATTGCAGGGAGCTTCACATATTAGATTAGGCGGTACAATTTTGCTACATGAGGGTTTGCATGCCTCTGTAATTTCCTCGGTATTTTCCGTAGAAGGCTCGGTAGAAGGCTTTTTTAGAAATGAAGTTATTTTTGGTTGTGCCTCAGAGTTGGAAGTAAAATTGATGTGCTAAAAATAATGTTATTAAACAGACTATTGCAGTTTAGAGTGCTCCAGAGCTCATCACGAATTTTTGACTTTAACCATTGCTTTAGTATTTTAGAAACTATATTATTTTCTTGGGTATAATCAGTTTCCAAAACATGTAGAGTGGTATCTTCTGAAATACTTCCAGAACTAAATGATTTTATCAAAGCACCTTTAGATTCCAAATATTTTTTAGTATTAGCTTTAGATGTACTTGGGGCTAGAAATATAGATATTTTTCAATATTAGCTTTAGATGCAAATGGGCTAGAAAGGATGCAATCAGCTTCCCGGGCGTCGTCGCCACGTGCGTTTAATCCAGCGTTGCCAGATGTCCAACAAAATACCTGTTTAATACCAGTTTAATACCAAATAAAACCAGTTTATTACCAAATAATACCAGTTTATTACCGAATAATACCAAATTAGTACCAATAAATACCACCAGCGCAGCGGTTTGCCCCTTGGGTTTAGGCTACTCTTCCCTATACAGGGTGAGTCTTAAGTAAGTACAAATATTTTCAGGGGCGGTAGATTTCAATAACAAAAACATATTTTCTTCAAATAAGTCCAAAATAACGGAGATATTTTACTTTAAAAATTAAAAAAAATATATATTTTTCGCTTAAATTTTGAAAACCACTCGATCCTTTCTGGGTTTTCTTTCATGTAAATTTAATCTGCTACGTATGTCACCATATTATAAAGATATATGTATATTATGTTTTTTACCTAAAAATTAAAAAAAAAATCAAAAAATTCCAAATTTTCAAAAAAATGTTTTCGCGAAAAAACCTCATTGACTTGTTTAGGGTTGTATCGAAATATACTACCCCGAAAAATATTTGCACTTATTTAAGATTCACCCTGTATATTGTTCGAAAAAAATTAATACATACTTACAACAGGATTAGTAGGATTTTGAAACATTCTATGAACCTGAACAGTGCCTTCAAGCGACATCAGCGAGACAGTGGGAGCGTTAAAAATTTCTCCGAAAATTAACCATTCAGGAAAAATGCCTTCGACCATCACCAAATCGAACCGTTTATTCCTATCGTGAATTAAATCACGAACTTCGGGTAGTCCCAAATACAAATCCGTAGCTTCGTACATCATGTGCAACATTTGTTTCAAAAAAGTAAACGGATTGGTTTGGTCGATAATGATTTTCGACCAATTATATTTTTCTTTGATGAATTGGTAGCCAATGCTGAGATCGATCTCCGTTAGGTTGACTAATGAGGCGTTTCTTTGGGGATCTGTAGTTAAAACAGTAACGTGGTGTCCTAGAAGTATATAAAAAAGTAATAAAAAAAGGATTATAGTTGGTAAGTAAACATTTGAAATAAAACAATACAATAAAATTAACAAATTTACAAGACTTACCTTTTAAAGACAATTCTTGCCATAATTTCATATAAGCTAATTGATGGCTAAACGAAGCACTAGGTATAATTCCCAAAATGTTAGCGCCGTAAGAATGGCCAATGAAAAAACAGAGGATTAATTTCAAAATCGGTGAAATTTTCAGTAGCATGACTGTGTTCTGCGGATTAAGTGGATAATGTAAGTAAACTTGTAAATATTAATTTTGTTGTTTTTATATTATCTCTGGGATTATGTATTTGAAAAGATTGCCGTTTACAATCATATAAATCGGATCAGGAGAGACAATACAGTGTGTTAAATAAGATGGATTTTTTAATTTGTTATATTACACTAAAAATGGACATCATGGACATGTAGTTTGAAAACAGAGCAAATGTCAAAACGCAATTATTGAAATATAAAACGAATTTTCCAAAAAATAACTCTCAAAATAACTGTTGGTTAAAATCGAGGACAGCAGAAGCTACTATTGTAAAACACCCTCAATTAAATAATTTTGAAAATATAATCTGTCTAACGAAAGAATATATGACAGGAACAGTTAGTTGTTTATTGTATGTAACAGATTTTTGCTTTGGTATTATTGATTGTCAAAATTTTATTAGATTAAATTTTCTGTTATTTCTTTTCTCCAAGAATGTTAAGTATTTTATTCTAAAAAAAAACTGCTATTGTATATTTAAGCCCCGTTTACACTAGTGGTGGACAAAAACGTTAATTTTAAATAACAGTTGAAACTGCTGCTGTTATTTATATATAACAGCTTAAAATAACAGGTTTCTGTTATTTTTTGACTTTAATCTTAAACATCTAACAGAGCATACAGAAATCTTGAAGATCTTCATATTTATTTCCTAATAAAAAATAATGTTCTTAAAACATAAAATTTATAAACAAATCAGATTTCTAATCACCATTCACAATTTCTTGATATCGTTATTGCTGATAGGCAAGTATTGTCTTTGAAGGGTTTTTAAGACAATGAAATTACATAAATATATAAATTTTAAAAAATTAATTAAAATAAATAAGTAACTGAAACTTCATAACCAAGTAATAACTTACAGAACAAAACTAAAATGTAAATATAAATATATAAAAATAAGTTTGCAGAAAGCAAATTAGTAAAATAAATTTGCTCAAAACGATTCTAATAACAGAATATTAATCAAGACAATTTTCTTTAATTCAGTTATAAATTAATAATTATTTTAACTTACGATGCATTATTGATGCCAAAAAAATACTGGGAAATCCGACAAAACAAAATCACTTTCAAACTATTCAAATAAATTCAGACTGTCTACCTATACGTTTTAGAAAACGCAAAATACCCTTTAGTTACATTTTTTGCAAATATATGTATTAAAAATTAAATAATTAAATTCTAACGCCACCGTACACCGCGATCGCCCGACACGCCAAAAATCTATTAATTTCCAACTCCGCTTATCTCGACTGCCGCCCGTTATGCTCGTAACAGGTTAAAAACAATGTATCGAAAATAACTGCTTATTTTCTATACGTTATTCTCCAACCCGTTGCGAGCCCAACACGACCATCGACCGATGCAGCAACGTTCGCAGTAGCGCATTTCCCACTCCGCTGTATCTCGACTGCCGTCCGTTATCGATGGTTGTTGAAATAACTGAGATTTTTCATACCAGTTATTTTTTGGAATTGCTTCGAGCGGCATAGAATTTCGCAGAATTTCGAAAAAATAAAAAAGTTATAACGGTAAACCACTTTTGAGATGCACCCGGTATATTTATCAGGTATCGGATATACACATTCCTAGGAAAAGACTATGCATATAACATACATATTGGAAGTTTAAGTTCACTGTATTTAGTGAAGTTGAAAAGAAAATACATGGACTTTTACTACAAAATTGAATAATGGTTAAAATTTAATTTAAGATTAAATATCTGAAAACAATTTTGTAAAATTATTGTTTTGTGAAACTATGCAAAAATATCAGATTTTTAAACGTCGCTTATTCAAAATGCTGTAATATATCCACGAAACAGTAAACCGTAAGTCTAATTTTAAGAAAATAGAGATAGCGATTGCTATTCCCGAAAAGATACCCTTCAGCCAGAAATTTAAACCAATTTTCAAAAGTATCTTCTCTCAATTTCAGATCATATAAAAATAATTTAAATCACTCAAGAATAAAAAGATCATTACATATCAATTAAAGAAAAAATCAAGTATTATCAAGATATTCTAAAATCACGGAAATACTTATCTTTTCAGATCTCAACTTAATAGCGATTATTTTAAGATAATTAGATATATCGATTTTAAATACTTGAAAAACTAGATTCTCAAACGATAATAAGAATTACTTAATGGCGGCTTGCTTTGATTATACAGGGCAAAATAAATCAGTCAATTGTTCTTTTAAGAATTATTGTATTAATCGTAATGATCACTCCGTATATTTAATTTCTATTATAAATATATAAACAAGAATTATAACAATACATAGTCTATTACTCCAGACAATTTTTAGAGCGCGTCAGTATAGAATATAGATTAAATTTTGAAAAAAATTAGGAAACCACTTGTCAAATTGATGTTCAAACAATCCTCCACTCTATTTTTACATGATTGATGAGATTTTAGGTGAAAGTGATTAATTATTGTGTACTTCTGTTTATTATTAATTGAATTAGTTCCTAGTTAATCATATCTATGAATTCGGTTTGTTGAGAGTAGCATACTATCGAAAAAAAACGGCGTCAAAGACGGCTGAGGAATGACAATCGATAATAATTTTGACGAGGTCAAGCCCTAGATGTAATTTACTTGGCCCGTACTCTTTCGGGAATTAGTTTTTATTTTTGACATTTTTTATTTCAATTTTTTGTAAATGACGTCTAAGGCCGCTTGACCCTACTAAAATTAAAATCGATTGTGATTTCCCAGCCGTGTTTGAGGCCTGTTTTTTTTCATACGGTACATGAATCATTTTTTTTTAGGAAAACCTCGTCAAAAAATATTTTTATTACATAAAGTATGTCCAACGAAATGATATATGACAGCACAGACTCACTTTAGTCTGCGATGACAGTTATCGTCTGTCATTTTAATAATACAGATGTAAATAGTATTTTCATTTTTTCGATGTGTTCTGTCGAAATCTTTCAGGACTCGTTGGACGCCACTTTATTATTCATTATTGATATAAACCTAAACATATTTTTACGAAACCGTAGAGCTGCCATACCAACGCTGAAAAGTATTTTTAGCAAAATTTACAGATTTTCTGTTAATTTCCATTTTTTCTGCAAATTCTAAATTCACACTTTTTCTGAAAATTTACACATTTTCTGTAAATTTGCAGATATTCTGTAAATTTACACATTTTCTGTAAATTTACAGTTTTTCTGTAAATTGCAAAGGAATTTAGGACGACACTTGTTTTATATAAAAAAAAACGCGGAAATATTTACCCGGACATTGATATTCTGGTACGATTTTAGGAAGCGCAAATTTCGACACGCCGCACGGTGGGTATTAGCATGAAAAAGGTGATCGAAATTCGAAAAAGCAAATGTGTTTAAGATTTCCCAAAAAAAGATAAATGATAAGTTAAATCATCTCTGCCATGAATGGCGTTGCTATGGGTGTGTTTAGTTGCATTTATTTGTTTCAACGAAACGTCAAAGTTGTTACTTCTCACAGATAAGAGGTAAATGGCTAAATTTTATGTTAAAATTATAAATTGTTGTTGTTCTTGTGATCTTTTTACGTTTATATTATTGTTTTGATTGAAAATGGCTCAGCAAGCTGCAGGTATGTATTCTACAAAAACGTATTATTTATTTTGATATTCTCTATACTAACGATTTTTTTTGCAACTAAAAGTTAGGCGTTCATAAAATTTGATTAAATTTGTGACATTTTTATTATACTTAGACATTTAGTTGCGCATTTCGAAGAATTCAGCATATTGTCTATATACGTTTTACTTAGTAAACATTGGGCTTTCATACAGTAAAATAAAATACTGCACCTTTTTGCGACTTTGCTGATAAAATGAGAAAAACATTCTTGGTTTCCTCTAATTTGCCAATCAGTGATATACTAATGCGAGGTGTAAACCGCGATGGCATTGTTGTGTACAAAGCGATCGCATTAGTGCCATTAGCAGTATAGCACAATTTGGCATTAGTAGCGAATTTAGTGGTATGGGCATTGCTCGCGGATCAGTCGTAGCATTAGTAGTAGTAGTTGCGATATTACTACTGGCACTGACCGTGGAAACACTGGAACAGTGATTTTTCTTTCTTTTTTTAGAATCGACGAATTATCCTTTATTTTGTTCATATTATTTCCTCTTTAATTGAAAATAGCAATAATTTATATAAGATCTACATAAAAAAATTTCGATCAACTATCAGTGTCAAATACCCCATTGTGAGCCGTCAGCTACACGGCTACAGCTGTTTGCAGAGAAGTGTTACGCATTTTGGATTCTGATGGAGTTACATTAGGTCAGCGACAATGTGCTATAACCAGGCAGCTCCACTTTTTTTCGAAAATGAAATTTTTAATGAATTACCCTATTAATTATTAATGTGCATACCCTTTAAAAAAATTGGTCGATCGTTTCCTGCAACAACCAGTTTCTTTCAATATAACAGTACATAAATAGCGACGTTAGCTGGAGCTGACTTGCTCTGGGTTTGCAGCAAAAACCGAACAGCTCTTTTTCGATTTCCCACAAATTTATTAATATGGAGCTGCCTGGTTATTGTAGCCACCCCTTCAATTGTTATGACAAACTTAAGCCATTTGGAATTTGAATAACAGGATGCATAGGCTACTCACGTTACATAATCTGGTTAAAAGCTGGTCCAAAAACCATCGCCCGTTTATGACTTTTGTAAATAAACCAGCGTAGAACGGAGTTCGATGGGAACCACTCATAGAATAACCCACCACTCTCCACGAACGCAGAAATTGACAGAAAAGGTGTAAATTTACAGAAAATCTTTAAATTTACAGAAAAAGTGTAAATTTACAGAAAACGTGTAAAATTTACAGGAAAAGCGTAAATTTTGCTACAAAAAAATTCCACGATGTGTTAGCGATGGCAGCTCTACGCTTCCGTATATTTCTGATGTGTATCCGCACTTGTAGTAAGTACAGCTAAAATACGGATTATTTTTATGCGAACGAAAACACTTCCATATTATGTCCTTATCTCATACTTAGAAATTTTAATTAATTTGATTGATTATGGTTTAGTTACACCTGTACTAATACAAATTATTAAGTGTGCAGTATTTTATATTTGGAATACTTATAAATTTAATTATAAATCTAAAACTATACACAGTGCATTTATTATGTCTGTGGGAAAAATACCATACGATCTAAAAAAATAGCGTCAGGGATAGCTTGAAAATGAAGATTACTGTCATTTTGTATGAAATATTATATGGGGAATGCGATCGATCAATTCCAAGGCAACTGGACGCCGTCTTTGATTGTTTATACGATTTTTTAACACGCTATACTTATCTTTATTTTTTATATGTTAACTTTTAAGGTAAGAATAATATTAAAGCAAGACTATTTTACAATAAATTAAATTTTCTGTAAAAGTAATATTTTGATAATATTAATTTCATTATTATACAATATTGAATAAATCTCACTATATTCAGAGTGCCATGTTCTATCAAATAAAGTAAAAAATACCGAGGGTGCCATTTAAAAATCAAAAGTTCAACAATTGACTAAAAACAATTGAATGCGTCAATCAATCCTAATTTATGGCATATACTAAAATACCAAATTTCGTTTTTTTATCTGAAAAAAATGAAAAAGTTATAGGGGTGAGCCACTTTTGAGACGCACTCGGTATAATGAATAATTAATTTATTATACATAATAAAACGCAAAAATTGTTAGTAAAAGTATATATTAACTGTAAAAAATTACTTATTCGATATAAACTGTATTTTTCTACTCAGTCTATTAGTTATGTAAGCGGGATAATATAAGTTCAAAACCACTTTGGCTTCCCTAATCATATGCTCTACGTTTTGTAAAAAATCCCTGAAAAAAAATAAAAAAGGTTCATTGAAAGTTAAAAACTACAAAACAATTGGACCCTCATAGTAAAAATGCCGACTGTGGCTTGCTAGCATCACTGTAGGGGGTGGGTCAAATTCGACGCTTTTAAATAGAAACACCCTTTTCTATAGGAGATAGACGAAAACTAATATCGGTGTCTGGATCTCAATTTTCATCAAAAACATGATGGTGAAACCCGCACATCAATATCTGTTACCGTTTCGGAGTTACGGGGTGTTTTTCAAAAATGTGCATTTTTAACAAATCGCTGTAACTTTATTGCTATGGAAAATTTTGTATTTCTATGAAAACATTTCCAAAGCACCTTTTTACGTAGAATTTAATGGTTTAAGTATAATTTTTTTAAAATTAATGTGTTAAGAGTTATCAACAGAAAAATTGATTTTTTATTTGGGACACCCTCTATATTTTTATTTTTTTTTTAACTGAAAAGAATTTAAAATTACCTTTCCAAAAATATAGCACACTTGATATTTTGTTATAACCTAACCCTTCGAAATACAGAATTTTTAAAAGTTCGCCACTTTTAACTAGTAGGCTTTGGAACCCTTATTGATGATATGCCCTTAATGGAACTTGAAAACATATTTTTCCAGCAAGACGACGCACCGCCTCTGAACGCTGAAGTTATCAGCAATTTTTTGCAGCCAATTTCAAGAATAATAATTGTATAGCTAACCAAGGTCCCAGCCGTTGGCCGTCGAGGCCGCCTGACTTAGTGCCCATGGATCTAATCCTATGGATATATTTGCGGAAGAATAAAAATTCTTTATTCTTCCGTATAATCTAGACAACAATTAGAAATACTTAGCAGTTATTCACCCCCACTGAGTTAATAAATTCCGCGATGTATGTTCAAAAACGGTCCCGTCTGTCCATAACAGAAGAGAGTCGATATGTCGAACACCTGTAGCAAAATCTCATGTCTTGGTTTGCTATTTATTTTTATTGTTATTAGATATAGTTTAAATGTGTTGATGTTGGTTAAATATATTTTAAATTGTTATAAAATTGTGCATCTCTCATAGCAACTATTATTTTCGTTTTAATTGATGCTCACAGCTAGAATTTTATTGCATTACAGCCGGTGCCGTTCAAAACCTACTTATTTAAAGCGGGCGAATTTTTATATACTCTATATCTCGAAGAGGAATCAAGCAAAATATAAAGTGTGTTATATTTTTGGAAAGGTAATTTTAAATTCTTTTCAATAAATTAAAAATATACAGGGTGTCCCATATAAAAAATAAAATTTTCTGTTGATAATTCTTAAATTATTAATTTTTAAAAAATTATACTTAAACCATTAAATTCTACGTAAGAAGGTGCTTTGGAAATGTTTTCATAAAAATTCAACATTTTCCATAGGAAAAAAGTTACAGCGATTTGTTAAAAATGCATATTTTTGAAAAACACCCCGTAACTCCGAAACGGTAACAGATATCGATATGCGGTTTTCACCATCATGTTTTTGACAAAAATTGAGCTCCAGACACCGATATTAGTTTTTCTCTATCTCCTATAGAAAAGGGTGTTTCCATTTAAAAGCGTCGAATTTGACCCACCCTGTACATAACACATATACCAAATAAAATTTTAGCCACCTCATCCAAGGCGAGATTATTTAATTCATTGTTGCCAACCATGGATATATCCGGCGCCGGGCTGACTAACTGGGATTTAAATTTCCGGCTGGCGATTCTGGTGGCAACTCAGCTGTAAAAATTGTCAATGTAATCAATAATGGCCCTTTATGTCCCTTAAGTGCTGTTAGGAAGGTGAGTTTCGTTGATGTCCTATGACAAAATAGGAATTTGCACCTTAAACTTAGTTTTTTATTTTTTGTCTGTTTCCTAAACTATTTTGATTAAAGCAAAATATGTAAAATCGACAACGCTGTGTCTGTCGAGGTTAATGACGTAACTAAAGATTTATTTGGTATTATACGAATTAAATTTGGTATTATACGAAAATAATATATGGTTTATACGCGGTGTAATCCACATGACGTTACAATACACGCTAAAACATGTTTTTTATATGCAACTCTACCATGGCCTAGGTTAAAGCCTATACAGGGTGTTTCAGAAAACATGTACCATCTCTCGTGGGGAGATTCCTCACGTAAAAATAAGACTTATTTTTCATGTTAACATAGGTCCGAGTCTGCTTTGTTTTGTAGCTACAGGGAGTTAAAGACTTAATATTTTTTTTGAGTTATTATAATTTTCTTCCAAGTACTTTTAGTGACTCGAATGAAATTTTGAGGGTAATAGTTACTATACTTGCTGCATATTCCAATGCTAAAATAGTGTCGATTAATTCATCAGGGACGTGCATATGGGTTATCACTGGAATTTTGTCGAATTCGGCCTCCTTGATGAGATAAACGCAATTTAATTAATCACAATAATTAATAAAATTAAAATTAAAATAAAACTAATAAATTATATATTTTTCCTAATTTATTATTAAATATTATTACTATTAGTGATTATTACTATTAGTCCAACCTACAGCAATTTCAAATAAAATATAATGGTATTAAAGAAAATTTCAAAAAAACCAATTTTAAAGTTTTAACATCCTGTAACTCTAAAACTATGCATTTCCATACCAATGTTTATAGGAACTTTATTTCATATTTTTTTATGAAGAATCAACGAGTACTAATTTAAAACTTTCGCAAGTTAATGATATTAAAATGTTTTAAAGGTTGTTATTAGACTTGGATCAAGGCAAATTAATAACATTGCGTTTATCTCATCAAGGAGGCCTAAATCGACAAAATATCAAGAGATAACTTTTAATCGGCATTAAACAGCTTACACTATTTCTCTAACAAAAGAGAAAAAAGGTAGTGATAACCCGTATGCACGTCCCTGGTGAATATGTCGACACTTTTTTAGGTTTAAAATATGTCGCATTTATAGTAACTTTTACCTCAAAATTTTATTCGAAACTCTAAAAGTACTTGGAAGAAAATTACAATAAATCGAAAAAATATTAAGACTTTAACACCCTGTAGCAACGAAACAAGACAGAATCGGACCTATGTTGATATGAAAAATAAATTTTATTTTTACGTGAGGAATCTTCCCACGAGAGATGGCAGACGTTTTTTGAAACACCCTGTATAAATAAAAAAATTAAGCATAAATGTTCACGTTTTAGTGTAATAAATGGACGAGGTCCAATTATTTCCTTGTAATGTTAAAGGTTTATCAAGGTCTGGTTAAACTTACTTAAGGTTAATGCAATTTTTAGGCTGTCCGCTTTGTAGACAATGCAAAATAGCTAAAGCTGCTTCGTATAATTTGGTTCCAATGCCCCTCGAATTTTCGCCTCTTCGCGCTTTCTCATTTTCGAGCCACAAATGGAAATACTTAAACATATTTTCTGCGTCTCCTAGAAAGAAGAAAATCACACATTACCAGTAGTAGTACAGCCAAAAAGATATCTTATAGGCTTGATGCATTTCAGTTGATTTCAACAAATTCCGACCGCAGCGCTCCAACGACAGAAATCAGAAATTATCAGTATGTATTTCACGCCGCCGGCTGTCATGTTGATCGCATTAAAATAATATTGAAATCGTGGTATTTTAGTTTTTTGCTAGTGTAGTTATTGAGACTATAAAACACTCATGTACGAGGTTTGTGTGATGTAACGCTGTTTCGGGTAGTAAAAAATAAGTGAAAAAGAATTCGAACTAGGCGTCGGCGTCGTGTTGACAATTATTTCTAATGTTAATAAAATTGCGGAAAAAATGTTAACGCGTAAAGGAGAGCGTAATTAAGGCGTTGTTGGGTGCAATAACATTCAATAATTCAACTTTCCCGGATATTCAACTCTCCCGAAACAACATTTTATAGCTTCATAGTTTCTCAAACCGATTTGATCAACAGCAAAAATGGATTCAAGCAGTTCGACGAAACAAGTGAGTAAACAAAGTGCTCGTATATAATCAAAAATTAAATAGACATATACTATGAGAGAGGATAAAATATAAACTGCAATATTAATGGTATACTTTTTTTAATCAACTAGTGATTAAATGTTTTTGAACATCTTCTAAAATTATAATTATGTACCTTTAAAAAATTTCGTTATAGCCGAAATAGCCCCAATTATGAGTACACCAGCAAAACCGGTGCGTAAAACATAGCTCGCTACCATAGTTGAACTCACATAAAAAGTTTTTTTGGCTGAAATACTAAATTATAATGCCTGGTCCAGATCAAGGCGACAAAAAGTAAACACGATTTTGAGACAAAAACAAGACAAACTTGCGACAAAAAATGGGGAATTCTGACAAGACAAACTTGAGACAACACAGTCAAAAGACTAGTTGTTGGGAATGAGTTTTATTAACCATGTGAGATTTCACTGGTCTCCTACTGTTGGCAGCGCACGCCATCCACACTGCGCCGACAATTTGTCGTAAAATATACGAACAAAACATAGACACTTTGATCTTTACCGACTCGAGACGGGACATTGAAGTCTCCGAATTTAGAAACAAAACAAAAATGAGACAAAAATGTCGCAGCAATGTATTGGATTTGTCGCAATTTTGTCGTAAAACATGAATGTTTCTGTCTTATCGTTGTTTTTTCTGCTTGGTCTGGGCCGGTATAATACAAGTTAGACCTTCTGAAGATATTAAAATATTAACTTTTTTATTTTTATTTTTAGAATTTTCACAAATTATACTTCCTAACACTTTTTGGAATTATTAAAAAATAAAGTTTTCGTATACTCGCTATTTAAACTCACATATTTGTATATATCTGTTGTTAACGATATTCTCCGATCGTGGCAGCACCGGCGGAGAATGCACCAAAAGCCTATAACATTTACAAATAATGTCACAAGAGTCATAAAGAAATGACTAGTGACATCTCTTGATAATGAACAAAATTACTACGTCGTTATGGTAGACTTTTATAAGAGTATGATAGTCAATGATGAAGAGAAACGAGAGATAAAATTTTGGCATAAATTCTATCATTCTAAAATAACGAAACCAGTGTTAGTGTGAGATTTTTTTGATGTTACTAGTAGTGTACTGTAGTTTTTAGTTGCGTAATTAAGCTTGTTACAATGTGTAGTCTAAGAGTTAGCTTATGTCACGTGTGCCGTTGTATGCCCCCTAAATTTTGTTGCGGGGATTTGTTAAGTACCTCTAGGAGTAATTGACAAAATTGGTCACATGGTGCAGAACATGGTCATTTGGTCGCCATATTTAAAAATGGCTGCCAAATTCTAACATTTTTTTTGACTATATTTCCGTAAAAAGTGCTCAGATTTTGCATTTTTAAAGATCAACTTACACCTCTTATGAAGAAAAAAATTGTAATAAAAATTGTAGCTGGTTCATGAACTAGAAAAGAAGTTACATATACCGGCAAAATCTGAAACTCCTCAATCTGCGGGCAAAGCAACAATCATAGACTTTATGGCTTTTGCAAGGAATGTACCAGCTAAATATTTAAAACTGAAAACATATGAAGAGTTTGTGGGAAGCATTTGGAGTACCATATGCAGAGCCTCTTATAAAAGTGAGCGTATAGACATTGTTTTTGACGTTTACAAGGAAAAAAGCTTGAAAGGATTTGAGAGGGCTAACCAATCGTGGAAACAGCCTGTGGAATATGGAGCACCAAATGACAACACACCCCTTCCTGTGGATTTTGATACTTACTGGGCTTCCTGTCAAAACAAAGAATTATTGCAGTCATACGTTGTTGATTGGGTATCCCGGAAAAAAGATTCTGTCACTGCATCTATTCCCATTTACCTGGGTGGCCAAGGTGTTTCAGTATAAAGAATGGCAGAATTGAAGAAGAACGTACGTTGGAATTTGATCATGAAGAAGCGGATGACAGAGTGCTAACCAATATTTCTCACATGACACTGACTACAAACGTAAAGAAGGTAGTTATTTGTTCTACCGATACTGATGTTTTTGTTAGTGCATTTTACCACTACTTGCATAAGTGGAAAAGTGCAGGACTTAAAGAGCTTTATGTTGCCTTTGGAGTAGGAAAAACGTTACGGTATATTCCACTTCACTCGTTTGATGGCAGAGTACTACTTAATGTTTAAACAGCTTTACCTGCTATTCATTGTTTAACCGGTTGCGACACTACAAGCAAGGTTAGTATAAAATTAGCAGCTCTGAAAATAGCAGAATCGTATGCAGAAAAGCTCTTGTTAGAATTTGGTAAAGAGCCATTAAATGAAGAAATGGAAAAACAAGCAGAAGAATGTTTGGTTCATGCACTTTCATCAAACTTGAGTACGATGGATAAGTTGCGTTTCCATCAGTTCCATCATAAAAAATTACAAAACTTTCAAGATTTGGCCCCTACTTCAAGATCAATCCGTCTTCACATAAAACGGAGCTACTTGCAATGCTACAAATGGATTCATGCTTTGGAACCATGTGAAAAACTTAATCCGTTGAACTATGGTTACATAGAGAAAAAGACGTTATTTTGATTCCACAAGTAACAGACGACCCAAAGAAGCCTGAAGACTTTTCTAGTCCATGTTGTTGCCAGATGTGCTGCAGAGAAAGTGTATGTCCCTGTAGAAAATTAAAAATAATGTGTTGCGACTTTTGTAAATGCAAACGTAGTGTTTTAGACCAATGCAAGAACCCTCATGTATAAGTTAGTAAGTTTTCTGCTTAAACATCTTAATTTTTTGCATTTATTTGAAAAATTATACTTGTTGCGCGTTTTTTGCGAATACGTCTTACGCATTTAAATATACTTTTATTATTTTGAAACGAATTTTTATTAGTGCTTAAAAACGCGCCATGGTTTCATATTTTTAAATTATACTTTTCTCAAAAGAACTAGAGTTAAAAAATATGTATTCACAAAATTTGTTTGCGGTCAAAAAATGAGTATAATAACCTTTAAAACTAAAATCCCGACCGTTTGTTAGGAAGATATTAAAATATATAAAAAATTAGTAACATGACGGCCATTTTTAAATATGGCGACTAAACGACCACGATCTGGAGCGTGTGACCAGTTGGTTTTTGGGCCCTTATACATATTTAATAAAACACCGCACAAAAACTTAGGGGACATATAACTGCACACGAGACATGGGCTAGCGCCCGCACTAATGTGTAAATGTAACGACCCGCGGAATCCACAAAAATACAATATAACAAAAAATCTTTGAATAAAAAGATTAAGGAAGGAGCATATTAAAAATTTTAGATCGACCCCAATGGGGTCCTAGAATGATCGACTTAAATTCCAGTTTATCAGTGCCATTCTAATTTTATTCAAAACGTGTAAAAATATGATGTAGGATAAACATGGGGCAGACTCAATAATTTGTCGTTTTATTTTACGTTGTCCATAAATGTTGGTAGTTATTAAAATCGTAAAAATATACAATTCTAATAAAAATACATAAGTTATAATAAGTATTTGTTAACACAAACATGCGGTACGCTACTGAAGCAGGTAAGTCAAATTGACGTATCTAAATTCTTTGACATCTAATCTTTGACAAGTAGTAAAAAAAGCAAAAACGCAAGAAAAAATATATAATTAGTTAATTTTAAGTGAATTTCATAACTGATCGGTTTACTAAACGTGTGTATATCATATAGTCACTTACTAGCGAAAAATTATTACATTATTTCCCTCGAGATCTACCGCACGCTACACAATCAATTATTGTACAGTCTTTCTCGATAAATCTCAATAGTGTCACTGTTAATTTAAGTTCTGCTACAATTTCCTTCTAGATTTACTACCTTTAAAAAGTAGAGACTGACAAATCCACAAAATTTCAAATCAAATGTAAATGTGTCAAATGAATCGTCAAACAAAACTGTCAAGGATCCCCACCCTAGGGTCCTTTGTCCGTCTACCTTGCATGAATACATGGATAGCATTATACTCCTTCCTTAATCTTTTTATTCAAAGCGAAAAATAAATAACATAACATAAATCTTACCTATTTCTACATAATAACTATACAACCTATAATAAACCTCTTCGAAATCTTTGTGATGCTTATATAATATTTTCTCTCTTATTTTAAGACTCTTAATTAGTATATCTAGTTGATTCGCGTCTTCGCCTGAAAGAACACAATAAAAAGATATTTGAAATGATCAAAACAGTAATTCGAAGTATAGTACTTTCAAGATATTTTTGAGCTTCGTCGTTTATTTTTCTGAAAGGCCTCAGTGAATACTCTTCGCCGCAACTGAGACAGAACATAAACGAAACGTTCGGGATTTCGGGGACCAGTCCTTTGCATTTAGGACACAAAAAGCTATCCAACATTTCCTAAAAGACAAAATACTATAAAAATAGCTATAAAAACAGATATAGTCTGTCTAACGAGAGCATCCATGAAAATGACAGTAGTGTCATTTTTTGGATGTCATATATATATACAGGGTGCTACAAATTCGAGGTACGAGCATTGGTATCTCGGAAACCGTAAGAGATACGCAGATGGTTAAATTGGGGCAAAGTTGCGCCTTGGGATGTTCACCAAGATGCCATCAAAAAAGTTTTAAAAATTTCAAGGATTGTTGACGATTTTTTTTGAAAATCAATTTTATTTTTTCCTGGCGTTACTTTTTAGAAAATCAAAAAATTATTTGCACATTCTCATGGCTACTTTATTAGGGCTACCTGATAGTATTTTTAGATTTTCAAATTAGCTGATAATTTGTGAGATACAGAGGTCAACTTAATTTTTTTAAATAGGGACCTGCATTTTTTATTCGAAGTTTTGAAAGAACTCGATCTCCTGAGTTCATATACATATCAAAAGCGCGAACGAAAGCCGTACGAAGCTGTACGAAGTCGTACGAATGAACAGCTTATGCTCTGATTGGTTTAGTTATCCGATAAATAATTAAAAATTCACGCTTGCGCACAACGCTTGTGCTCCACTAACTGAGCGAAGATTTATATACCCATTTCACCGGCTCGGCTTCACAGAATGCAGTTTGGAGTCAATATACGTTAGTTAATATATATATGCCTGAGTTCAATGATATGCCGCACTTAATATTTTTTGTTTCTGACATTTGAACACAATTTAATTAAACTAATTTCAAATCCGGCTCTGTTTTTTTTTAATAAATCTATTCATCGTTACAATATTGTTAAGCTTTCAAACTTAACAATGACGTGGAGTAAAACATTGAATACGGATAATCAAATGCAATTAAATAATAAAAAATAATATAAAATTATTGGGCATTACTTGATGTCATTTTTAAAAGTGACAATACATTTCAACATTACAATAAAGAGTACAGAATGCATTCGGAAGTATAAGAAGAAGATGTTAAAAGAGCTATAAATAAGAATGAACAAAAAATACATTAATTTGTGCATTAGGGACGGTGGTAACCCTTTCGAACATGTAGAGTATTACTAGTTTTAGAAACTAGTTTGTAGAAGTTGACTTATTTATAATAACTACGATTAATATTATGCATATTATTAGATCGTACACTGAGATTTCAAAATCACAATAAAAAAAGTTATAAATTATATTTTTAAATTGCTGACCTGGGTATTATTTGTTTGAATCTTTCAATTGGCTCGATTCAATGTTAATTAGCGCTGATCCATATTGGTGCAATGAATATAATCAGATTAAATAATTTAAAAAACCAGAGTGGGACTTCAAATTATTTTAAATAATAATTAAATAGTTTTGTTATTGTTAAGGTACCTAAAACAAAATAAAGCATCAAGTGTGGCATATCATTGTACTCAGGAGATCGAGTTCTTTCAAAACTTCAAATAAAAAATGCAGGTGCGTATTTAAAAAAATTAAGTTGGCCTCTGTATCTCACAAATTATCAGATAATTTGAAAATCTAAAAATACTATCAGATAGCCCTAATAAAGTAGCCATGAGAATGTGCAAATAGATTTTTGGTTTTCTAAAAAGTAACGCCAGGAAAAAATAAAATTGATTTCCAAAAAAATTCGTTTTTGGTTTGGAATTCCGAAATACCAATGCTCGTACCTCGAATTTGTAGCAGTATAGGGTCCGGCAATAGTGCGTCGGGCATCTGTAGCTCCTAGAATAAAAAACTTGGGAATTTTGTTTAAGTGTAAATCTAAGGTATGTTCTAGGATGTATTTCAGGAAAATATTCTACAGGGTGGCTCAAAAACGTGTGAGTGGATTGGGATGATTTTTTTAAAATGGAACACCCTGTATATTATTGCATTTTTGACATTTTTTCAGATCACTTTACATAATCCTAAGATATGAGTAGATATATTTCGATAGTTTCAGAGATATTAATAAATAAATAAAAAATATATTTATTCAGCCTTTCTGAAAAAAAATATTAAAAATACAAGAAATGTCTTAAAATCAAAACGATGTTATGTATTTACTTTAGATCGACTGGACTTTGCTATAAATATGGTAATTGTAAATCATACAGGATGTTCAAAATTCTACGCCAAACTTTCTAAAATATAAAATAATTTATCTTCGTTATTTTTTAAATGGAACACCCTGTATATTATTTTTTCAATAGATGGAGAATTAAAAAATGAACATTTTTTGTATTTAGAGTATTTCAAAATTTTTTTTTTTTTTATCTTTATCTGCCAACCCCGAGCTCAGAACTAGTTAAGGGTTCAATACTGTACAATGCCAAAAAAATGTACAATCATCTGCCTTTGAATATCAAATCGCTTTCATTCTTTCCCGCATTTCGCAAGGCTCTAAAATCATACCTACTGGAGAGAGCCCTATACGCGGTAAACGACTTTTTTGTTGATGTTTGATTATGAACAATTTTGAATGGTCAAATGGACACTGGTCAAAGGTCAAGTATTTAATATTCTATAACTTTAAAATTATATCTATTTACTGCGTACTGTTCTAAAATTGTCCATGTATATTCTTTTTGTAATTTTAAAGACTTAAATTTTTTTGAATTGTATTATTTGTATTGTGTATTTTTTGTTGTTTGTATTTTTTTGTGATTTTGTTGTTTGTGAGTGCTTTGTCGATGAAGCTGTTTTGGCTTTTTGCACAATAAAGCGTTGTTTGTTTTGTTTGTTGTTTTTGTTGTTTTGAAGGGTTTCGCAGATATTCGCGGTTTTATATTTGATATGGCATTTTCCATAGTAAATTTTTATCAAAGCCACCCAATGATTTTTCTCTAGTATTTTACCGTGGAGAGAGCCATATGAAATAATACTGCGTCTATCTGCGAAACCTATATGTATTTTTTTGACAAACTGTATATACTAAAGAATTTAACTAATCAATCTGTATCGATCCATGCCCAAAAATCTTTCAAATCGGAATAAGTGAAAAAAGTTTTTTTTGACTTTTTGTAGGGTGTAGATACCCTTCAATTCTAAGAAACCATTTATGCAGCGTCGGATAGACGACTGATGGCACCCTCCCACGGGCTATTTTTCGTTTCTTAGATTTTTATAAGGACTCGTAGAAAACGATTTGAAGTTGAAATTTTGCTAAAATTGAAAAAGGCAAATATCTCCGAAACGGTAAGTAGCTAAACGACCAGTGAGACCTCTACGGATAGAGCTAGTGAATCCCTATAATCGCCTCATTTAAACTGTGTTTTGAGCCCAAAATTCCAACCCAAAATAGAGCTTCTTTCACTTATTTAAGAAAATAAATAAGTTTATAAGATCTAAGGTTTTAACTGACGGACAAAATATAAGGTAACATATTATGAGTAAGGGGGGTTTTACACCGAATTTTCAAAAAATAATAAGAACTCATAAAAAACTACATACTGTTGCGGACCCGTGTAGACTCGGCATAACCTAACTAACTAATATGTCGCGCCCCCATATGACCTTAATATCGCATTAAAGAATAGACACCGTAATGATTCATTCGAACGTTCGAGAACAATCGAGTTCCACTGGAATGGAGTAGTACATACGAGAACATTCTAAACCTTCTCTAGGCACCTAATGATCTAACATCTAACGGATTATTCGAGAACTGTTTGGCTGTAGGTATATAAGCCGACGCCTGGGGCCTGAGGAGGACAGAAACAAATAGACGAGTACAGTTGCCGCGCTAAATTCAAAATAAACTGTTTCTAATATAAATAGTTTGTAAATAGTTCTTTAAGTCTTTTATCGTTATTGTTTTGTTACTTAGTGTAAAATAAATTGTGTTTAAATAAATTAGACTTTCTATCCACACGGAACCGACGAAAAACGTAACAATATTATGTTTAAAAATGTAATATAAAAAACTTACCACTTCCTTAGACTGGTCACTGCAAATGACACATTTACATTCAAAATGATACAGGCTTCTGCAAGCTATTTGCCGCTGGTCTTTGTTCATTCCCCTGTAATCTATTCCGTAGCAGTTAAATATTTCCTCGTTCTCCTGTATGTCTTCCAGCGCTTTTACAACTATAGTATCACAGATGAAGCTGAAATATAACCCAAGATTCAGTAATCTTAAATGAAATTAAATCGGGCATTCTTACAAGTTTGTTACGTTGGGTCGACACGAATGATTCATTATACTGACCGACGGAAACATTCCACAAGCTATCGTAATCAATATATCTGGGAACAGGAGATCCGTAGAAGAGTAGGTCCAGTGCTCTATAATGCTCGAGTTGCACGATAATTGAGCAATGTGTTTTGTGATAAGGCCACCGATATATCTGATTAAATTATTGGAATCGTCCTTGGGACAGTTTTTTTGCTTGAGAAACCATGAGAAAAAGTCAGTGTACTTTTTGAGATATGTTACCACGATTGCAGCCATCTAATAATAAGAAGAAGAATATCAGTAATATTAAATGAATTCATTCTTCTCAAAGACACCTGGTTTATAAATTAAAAACAGAACAAAAAAGACTCAAAGTATCGGTCTCAACATTTAGATTAAACTAAACTGTGACTGTGTGTGTTTTGCTCATACAAGCATCATCAGACAAATGTACAGTGGCGTGCATTACATATAGACAAAAAAGCATTGCCTACCTTTCGATTTATTCAAGACAGACGCAAAATAAAAATATATTTATCTGATCAATTTTCATTATATATCTACCTACAAATCCTACAATGCGACCTACATTGTTTTATTTTTCTAAATAGTAAGTTAGTATTGTGTTTATTACGGTTGCAAAGCCGGAAACATCATACAAAACAAACGCCACCTGTTCAACGTCTTATTATTACCTAAAAAACGCATCCCATTATTCGAAATCGAACGCACGACCGCAACTTAACATTCCATGGATATGGACAAGCAAAAGCAGTGCGTTACCGCAGCACGGATGCACCCAATGTCTCGATCCCGCCGATGCGGTATTGCCAGTTCCGATGTTATTACAGAACTATGTAAGAAACAGTCCATGTTATTTTATATGATCAATTTTAAATAACTGTGTTTCAGAAAGATTTGTATTATGTAGCAAATTAGAAATTTGCTTGTCTGTCATCTGTATTTGTTTCCAAATGATTTCATTTATTATTTTATTTGACTGTAAAATCATTTTGGTACATAAAATCTATTAGGCAGTGGCAATTGGCAATCTGGCAATATTGTGTACGGTTATTATTTTAGCTAATTCGCCAGTCGTTGAGTCGCCTATCGGGAAGAAATAATGATTGAATAATAAACAGATTATTCGTTTTGCACCTACAAATAATTAAATTTATTTGCTGTTATTTGAATTTTCTTTTGTTTGAGTTTAAAGTTAAAATACGTTAGACAGTAAATTTTATATACGTACATTGTACATATATATTATGTAATACATACGTTTTTTTAGTTTTTTTTCATATTTTTGATTCTGTTGCCTACCCTACTGTAAATGATACTGCACGCCACTGCAAATGTACAATTAAAGTCACACCATACACGTTCACATTATTTTACATATTAAAAGAACACTAGTGTATGAGCGAAACGTGTCACAGTTTACTTTAATATAAATGTTGAGACCGAGAGTTTGAGTCTTTTTTCTTCTGTTTCTGGTTTTTTAATATTAAATAAGATAGTAGGGTGTTTTGCATTTTTAAGTAAAATTTAACAATGCCACAACTTAACCATACAGAAGCGACGATTAAATGTCTCAATTTTTTTTGATCTTGTGTCTTGTAATAATATTGTTATTATACCTAGTGCGTCTCAAAAGTAGCTCACCCCTATAACTTTTTTTCTTTTTCAGACAAAAAAACAAGATTTGGTATGTTAGTATATGACATAAATTAGGATTAATTGACGTATTCAATTGTTTTTGGACACTTCCTGTTTCACCGGTAATGACTACAACTTTTGATTTTTAAATGGCACCCTCGGTATATTTCTACTTTATTCGTGTTACATTTATATTATTTTACGCCTTTTACGGACGATACTATATTGTTTACTTTTATAAAATTGTGTGGCGAGTATAAATTCGCTGATGCAGGTGTTACGTCATGCAGGCAGCTGGCCGCTGCGCTGATGTGCTGACGAAGAGTATTTTTGTTAGGATTATTCTTAAGTTGAAAATTTGTAAGCAGTCTCTCGACTAACGTACAGAAATAAAGAGTTTGTTAAATAATTCTGATTTTATTTAAATATAATATACGATAGAAAATGACACTCTGAATAGAATGACATATCATTTGTCAACTTTTGACATTTTCGCATATGGTTTATTTGAAATTGTAACATGGGGTTCATAATCAAATCTAATTTTCCAAGGCTCCTTGATTAAAAATTAGTGTTTTTAACATAGCAATGGCACTCTAGATTGAAATTTAAAATACGATATTTTTTGTGCAAAAATGTTAAAACTTGACATATGATACGTCATTCTACTCAGGGTGTCATTTTCTATCGAATAAAGTAGAAATATACCGAAATTGCCATTTAAAAATCAAAAGTTTTAGTCATTACCGAAACAATTGAATACGCCAATCAATCCTAATTTATGTCATATACTAACATACCAAATCTCGTTTATTTATATGAAAAAATAAAAAAGTTATAGGGGGTGAGTCACTTTCGAGACGCACCCGGTATATTTTATTGTGACGTTGTAATTTAATACCAAATTTAGTAATTTAAATGAAAAAAATGCAATTGAAATAACATTATAAACGTGATTACAAGAAAAGAGGAAATTCTAAACTGGAATAGGCATAGTCGTCTATGCATTCTCAACGTTTTTATGCAAAAAAAAAATAAAAAACAGGAAGAAATGGTACTTCTCTTCCTTCACAGCCCACACTTTCAATTATTTCAAAATAAATTTTGATTTTAACGCTAAATAACAAATATATTATCAATAAAAAGTTACCAAACCAAATATTACAAAATAAATTAAATTTTTATGACAGTTATCAACAGTAAACAACGCTTTTAAGGAGCTTTACTAATCTGTATTTTTCGCTTTTCACAAATATTATTCACAGGTAAAAACTTGTCGTTTGTTACAATAATTTTTGCACACTTATCCTGAATATTCATTATCAAATAATCAAGATTTAACAAAGACGTCATTAAAAATATAGCTTAAAAAAACTACAAATAAACTCACTAAAAATTTGGTCTACTACAAAATCGTTTTGCTTCTGTATAGCTAAATATAAAGTTCCTACATAGGTTCTGTCGATGGCTATACTGGTTGACACTTCAAGGAACCAATGAGATTTGTTTAAATTTAAAATTCACAGCTAGTTTGTTTTCTACAAATCTCAATGGTTCTTTTGACGTGTCACTCGCGACAGTACAAAGTTCTGAGACCGGTGCTTAAGCCAATTGCTGTCCTCGATTCGCGAACTTCGAGTTCCGGGCTTTACGCCCTGGGGCTACTCGAGAACGGTCTTGAAAGGAGCTGTGCCCGATAGCCTAGTGCCTCCATATGGCGCGGAGCAGTTCTGGAACTTCATGACACAATTGAATGGAGTCAGAGTATCGCGTTCTTGAACAGTTCAGAGCTGCACAACTGCGTGAATGGAGGACAGTAAATGAGCTGTATCCAAAATTCAAATAGATGTCAATTTTAAATTTAATCAACTCTCATTGGCTCTTTGAAGTGTCAACCACTGTCGCCAGCAAAAAAAGCGTCGTTCTGAGAACGAGGCTTCAGACACCATGTAGCTGCCGTCCGCTCTCGGCTGTACCTGCCCCACCACCACGGCGTCAATACCCAGCGCCGTCCAGGCGGCCGGGGTGACTTCCGCCGGTGTGGCCGGCTGCTGCGGCAGGCGCGAGGTGTCTAGCGGGTTGAACTTACCGCTGTTACGCAGGTCGGCAGCGACAATCCCACCGATATTAATACAGTCTGATCAAAAAAAAGTACGACAGTGACATTTGTGCTCTGTCATTTTAATTCTCAGGTATGTTGTATTTTCTATCATTTTTTGGATGTTGTCTGTCGAAACCTTTCCTGATTAGTTGCACAGACTTTATAATCTACAGAATTTAGTCAAAAAATTCTGTGACAAATACAGAATACTTTTTTGACAAACCTTTGAAATTTAAGAGAAATTTTAAATAACATACAAGAAATTGAACACTAAAAATATATTATCTAATTAGTTAGAATCTCTACCAAAGTTACTAAAAGTTGTAACATTGGTTTAGTATATAAACTGTAATAGTTAATTAGTACAAAAATTATAATATTTCAATTATTAACAAATAATTAAAAATAGATTTAAGAGCAGAAACAACCCTAGTAACACACATTTTATGATATTCATCATCAAAAATAACATTTCTAATTATGATCATGGGTTCATGTCATAGGATATATTATGTACCTGTCTTTTAATTTTTTTAATTTAAAAAGCAAAACACCCTGTATATCATATTGACCTTACCACAATATATGGTGCAGCATTTTTACTCTTGTATATATTAGACACCAATCTGTTAAAGTACGGATAATTGTCCTCTTTCGATCCAAACCTTTTAATATCCTCTTCATATCCTCCTTTAACGTTTTTAAAACCCGATTTTACACCTTTTAGCACCGCTTTAAAAGCGGGAAATCCTATTCCAAGGTCGTACCATATATTAGCCTGCATTCCTTCGCATTCCCATTTGTGACATTCGTCCCACGAGGATATTCGGCATTGTTCATTACAATAAACACACAACGTGCACGACTGACAGCTAAAAATCTCACACTTGAACATAATGAAAAATTTGTATGCACAATTGCACACTTACGGTATACTACTAATTATATCTTTAAGACAGTTATAACATTTAAACGAATAGAATTCTTTATTCTCTTTAAATACGGGTGCAAAAATAAAAGCTTTTTCTATAAATAAAACATCTCCTTTCCTGATATTCGTTTTGGCTAATACATGTCTTCCTTTTGATTTGTCATAGCTAAAACAAGGGAAGTATTTTAGAGCAATCAAAATACGAAATGTTATGTATATTATTCTCACCTCATCTTAACTTTTGATGATGCATAAGCAAAACATTCATTTTCACCAGCATTGAATTCTGGAAACTCGTTTGAATTATCACGATTAAAATCTGAGTGCTTCATTTTTACTTTAGAAATTTTCATTTGTTCTAATTTTGAGATATGCTTATCTATAATTTAATTTACGTAAAAATAACAATTTAAGTTATACATTATACAACCTTTTTCACTTATATTTTGAGTTGATAGAAACTCTAGAGCTTCATTAATGCACTTATCCAAATCATCTTTTTGGCCAATTTCAAAATAACACTCTGCTTTCCTTAAATATATTTTGGGCTTCAAATCCCTAGGATAATTTGTTTTAAAACACAAGTCAATATCCCGTATACAATTCTAAAAATCATAACATGATAGTTCTGAATCCAGTAAAACAATTAATGAGATCCACCTCAAATTCTTTCATTTCAAAGGAAACTGCAGATCTGTTAGCTAAAGCAAGCCCATATTCTCGTCCATTAGGAGTAGCACAACACAAACTCTTCGTGTAAAATTCTAAACTTTTTAACAAATCTTTTCGAGCATAACATTTGTTACCTTCCTGTCTATAAAATGTCGACATAGAATTATCTTTCTTAACTTTGTTTTTGAATTGTGTTTCCAACCATGAATCAACTTGTGATCTAAAAATACATACAATCATTTAATAGGTGTTAAATGACTATTATAGTAATTAGCTTCTTACAAGTCGAGACTATAAAATTTGGTAAATACTTCGAAGATATTCCCGTCAATTTTTGTAAATTTTTCCGTATAATAGGAGAGAAGACAATCCATTTTGTTTTTTTTTATTGGCTTTCCTCGTTTATTTAAATTTGCTGTAGTTGATACACTATTTTGTTGAACAGATATCTAGTATCAATGACATAGATATATGTACTATATTTATTTAACAAGTATTTTGAAAACTGTAGCACGAAATAAATTAAATATCATTTAATACTTTTTTTAAGATGAAAACTTCCCAAAACGGCTTTTTTGCCAAAGTAGGTTAGAAGTCGATGTGACAGAGATAATGACAGAAGACATGCCATTGCATGCCATATGAAAAATACATTGATACATTTGAACTACCCAAGAACTACCATATGGTGCGTTTTCGTTTTCAGAATTGACCATGACTACCATAGAATAACTAACTGAACTGATGACTACCATGAGACATCTATTTGCCGCATTTACTCAACGATACCACACATGCGTATCTGCTGGATGTTGCCAGATTGTATGTGTTGCGCAGAGATATGGAAAGGATAGAGCCTGAGCGTCAAAATCAGTGATGGGATTATGGGATAACTCAAGCGAAAATTCGATTTAGATTTATGGATTGCTTAAAAACCTTTTAGCCTTTGTATTTAACTGAGATATTTAGATTAGTTTCAGGATTTCGCTAACATCCTGGCAACCTTGGAAACACTTTAGTACAAAATTTTCTCACATTTTCCACTATGGCGCTACGTGCATTCTTCTTCTTTTTCATATTTCTGGTCTTAAAAGAACCGTTACCACAGAGTTAAAGTAATGTTCTTCTTCTTTTCATATATTTAGAAACATGGACAACCACAGATTCGACATAGTAATTTATTTTTACGCCCTGAGCTGCCAGGACTATTCGGCAGATTGGACATAATTTTTTTCTTCTTTCCTAATGGCTTAAATTATAATCCATGGTTAATGATTAGACAAAGACAAAAAAGAAAAGGAGATTCTTCCTTGTCTTGTCAAAGTTTGTCAATTTGTCAAAACAATAAATAAAACGAAAAAGTAAAATTTAAATGGGACAGGATCGAATATCAAGTAAAAACAGTTTTGTTAAAGTTAAATATTATTAGAAATTATTGATAATACCTAAGTAATGAAGAATTCTGGCAAGACTACTTATACTTCTTGTATAAAAATTAACGGAAAACCAATTTTACCGCCAGTGGTAAGTATTTAATTGAAAGAATTGCTTTACCAATTATCATAAACAAATTATTTTAACAACAGATTACCCCTGAGTTGCGAAAAGAACTTCTAAGAGATAAACATCAAGCAATTAAACTAGAACAGCGTATAAACCGTTGTAGAGAACTTAAAAAGCATTTAAATGATCTTTTGTCTGCAAATGATAAATCACGACCTTGTTCACAACTTACTTTTGGTGATAACAGTCATATAGAGGCTTTGAATATTTCTGACAGGCCCAAGTATCAAAGGCAATTGAATCAAGTTAATTTAACATCCGATTTAATAGAAGTTTCCCAGTATGATAATAGTGGCATAAAGTCTGTGCAACAAAATACTGAAAAGACAAATGACGTATTTAATATTGGGTGCACAAGTACTGATGGTACTGTTTCTAGTGACAGTATTATTGAAGAGCACATAGAGAGTTGTACCAGTGGAAATCAGAATGAATTGCCTAAAGTTGAGAACACAGGGTCTGTAGAAAATGAAGAAAAGTCTAACAATTTAAGTCCACTAAAACCACGTTTAATTCGGAGTAATTCATATACACTGGAAAGTCCTAGTCCAGTACTTTTAGCTTATCTACAAAATGTAAATAATATCAGTAAACAAGAAAATAATTTACTTACTTCTAAAAACTGGGCCTCACTTGAAAATAATTATTCACCTTATGAGAGCAGTGATTTTGAGAGCCTCAATACTGTTTGTTATAATGTTAAAGAAAATGGAAATGACAATAAAAAGTCTGATGAAAATATAGATGAGACTAGCAAAAATATTAATGAAGTTAAGTCGCCTACTATTGAAGTTTACCAAACGGACATATCTGTCCAACAAATCACCTTAAATACTGTTAGTAATTCACAAGGGGATGGTACGAAAGAAGAAAAACGCGAGGTATTTTTTACTAGAGATCCTTTCGATAATTTTGAATCTGATAGTGAGTTAGTTCAAATTTTAAAGGACATACCAGAAGCGGCAGCTAATCAGATATTAGAGTTATTGAAAAAACAACATATTGAACAAAAAGAAAGGTTGGAAAGGTATGATACCTTGAACTTATCTCCACAAAAACAATCTTCAGTTGCAGAGGTTTTTGTAAGTCCACATAATTCTGCAAAAGAAAGGTAACAGCAGTAAGAGTTAATCAGTTTGATAGACAAATCTAATGCAATATTTTAGATGTGAAGTCAGTGATAAATTAAATTCTTCAAGATCACTAAAAAAACAGCATATTGAACAAAGGGAAAGGTATGATAACTTAAATTTGTCTCCAGAGAGAACTTCTTCAGCTGCAGAGGTTTTTCTAAGTCCTAATGATTCTACAAAAGAAAGGTATCAGTGGTAAGAGTTAATCGGTTTGTAAGAAATCTAATACAATATTTTAGATGTGATACCAATGACAACTTAAGTCCTTCAAAATCGTGTCTTTCCACATCAAATACATTAAAGCCAGAAACCGGTAGGTCAGTAAATGGCAAGTTGAGCAGAAGCAGTACTTTTTCAGTATCACCAAGTCAGTCATTATACTACAGTATTAACAGTGATTGCGGTACTTTAACAGCTCCTTCAACCCCTTCCATTAAATTAATAGATTTGGAAAATGATGTTTCTGAAAATATGAAAATTGGAGTTTTAACTGAAAAAAATGGGTATTGGGAAGGTGTAGTAGTTCATGAAGATGTTACAAAGAGCTGCAGTAAAGAGTTGTTTCCACAAATTGATCTTGCTAGAAGAAATAATTTGAAAAAGGTAAAATTATTTAGAAGACATTTTCTTTTTATTGTTTTATTGCTTATATTGCTATTATCTATTAGGAGTGGGCTGCTAGCGTAATAGGTGCTCATGTTCGAGGCTATTTAACCAGACGACTGTTAAGAACAGAAAAGGTGCAGAGCCTTATTGCCACAGTTAAAGATGTGCTACTGTGCGCTCTCGAGCTACATCAAGCTGAACACATTGATGAGAAGGATGTAGAATTACACAGAAGACTGATAAATCAGGTAATTCATATTATACACGGTACTACAAATTCGGGGTACGAGCATTAGTATCTTGGTAACCGTAATAGATACGTAATAGAACATGGTTAAATTGGGGCAAAGTTGCGCATTGGGATGTTCACCTAGATGCCATCAAAAAACTTTTAAAGCTTAAAATCCCGGTTTGGCAGGACCTGGCAGGATCGCCATGTAGCAAATAACACAACTTCTTACTTTTAATGTGTGTTTATTGAAGACTGACAATTGAATGTACAATAGCATTGTCACCAACCTAAACGGTATATTTTCTGGGTTACCAAAATACATACGTAAACGCTTACTAATATAAACAGTATTGGTATGCGATCATTGCAACAACGTATTAGCAAATTATACAATTGACAAATTACTAGGACTAATGAACTGTAATAAGGTCTAATAACTAAAATGCTCCTACACAATTCTGTTTTGTAAAGTCTGTCCAATGAGTCAGAAAAGATTTCGACAGACAACATCCAAAAAAATGAAAGAAAATACAATTTGCCTATGAATTAAAATGATAGACAGAACGATCACTGTCAGGAATCCTCTCGTTGGACAGACTATATTTCGTATGTAGCAGAGAGGTTACTTACTTGAATAATTTGCGATTGTGGTGTATTTGTTGTAGTAATCGGAGCTTGTATAATTACTGGCTGAGAAGTGTTTCCTTGGAGCTGCATTTTTATCATTTGAAGTTGTTGTGGGGTAAGTTGAATCTAAAATAATAATTTAGAGACTACAATAATTTATGTACTCAATACTAGTGACGAAAAAAACCGATGCATTACAATAATCGAGTACTCGAGTTTTGAGCGATTTCAATAATCGTGCGATCGCTCGAGTTAAATCGCGCTCGTATTTATAAAATTAAAAATACGAGTTTCTGCCGTCACTTGTAGTACTCGCAACTCACAAGACTTTAGACGCATATTTTTTCGACGATGAGTGGCAAGCGACGACCGACGAGTAATTCGCTCGATCAGAGACGGGATGGTTTATAAATTTAGTTTACTTTAAAGCACTGTTGATGTAGGTTCTGGAATTTTGTCGCTCAGATACGTAATGGATAACGTCATATAGTCTTAGCCCACGGCCACACAGAAAGCGATCTTTGCGCGAAGCGTCTTTTGCGACTAAAACAAAATAACAAGATTATATAGGAGTGGCAGCGGAATGTGCACCCCCCGGAAGATCACAATGCTATAAAGAGACTAATGAGATAACAGAGACATCTTAGACAACTCTTAAGAATAAAATGATTCCATCATGTCTCAAACGTATCGGTCCTTGAAAAAGCTAACTGCGAGAGTATTGAAGTCATGATTACAAAGTCCCGCTTAAGATGGGCTGGTCACGTATGCAGAATGCAGGAAAACCGCATACCAAAATCTCTGCTTTACGGTGAGCTTGTAGACAGTAAAAGGAGGCCGGGTGGACAACTCAAAAGGTACAAGAATGTTTTCCACGAAAACTTAAAGGGTATTAACAAGCAGAATGAGTGGGAAGAAGCAGCTCACGATAGAACGGAATGGAGAAAAATTGTAAAGTCAGTTAACAGCGACAACCAAAAAAATAAAGAGGCAACAAAGCAATGAGATTTTTGAATGTCTGGAGTGCGGTAGACAGATAACATCACGTATCGGGCTTTTCAGTCTTCTGATGCGTGTCAAATACTCGTCAGCGAGTAATGGCGGTATGTATGTATGTATGTGGAATTGTATTGTGAGGCGTAAATTTTACAATCATTTGAGATTTGGCTGTGAATGATGTATTATGTAAACATTTTATTAATTAGTATAGTTTAATGAAGTTCCTTTAGTTACAAATATTGCTTTTATTTGTTAAATTATTGTGGATGTAAATAATGTGGTATGAGTGGGACTTGGACACAGAAGCCTTGCGTCAAAATCTTCTGATGCGTATCAAATACTCGTCAGCGAGTAATGGCAGTATGTATATGTACCGTATGATCGAAAAAAATGACGTCCAGTTGGCTTGGAAATGACGATCGATGACATTTCCAATATAATTTTATATATAAAATGACAGCGATCTTCATTTCATAGCCATCGCTGACTCCGTTTTTATTCGATCATACGGTATAATGTCCTTTAAATGTATTTGACATAATTGTCAAATTGTCATGTAATTTTCAAGTCAATGTAATTTTGCACAATTTTGCAGTTACTAGTCAAAGAAACATTACATATAAAAGAAATATATGGTTCCAAATATTTGTGGATAGCAAAGTGGGCGGGCATCAGCTAGTTTTTATATGTTTTTGTTAACTATACTAATGTAAGTTTTATCAAAAATATTGTGATTTAATTACTAGCTTGTAGACAATTTTTTTTAATAAACTGTAAACTTAATCTATTTTTATGTTTTATGAAAGTTATTCTGATCTACTAATGTATCAGAGTAACTTTAAAAGTAAATCCTTTGAATTAAAATATAAATATAAAAAACATTTAGGGGAAGGCGCTGGGTTAAATGTAGTCTTGACTAAGGACACGGAGGGTCGCTTTGGCCCAAAATTTGACTATTAAGTTTCATATCTACCTTAATAGATGGTTATTTTCTTTATTATCTATGGTCAGAATCTTCACAAATTATAAAATCTTTCAAAATGTAAACCACCCACAATGAAAAAATACCGAAAAGTATTTAAAGCGTGCATTTTCAAAGTAATTATTGCTATCTTGTGAGTTTAATTTAAATTTTACTTACTCAAACCCGTGATAATTGTGAAAAAGTGGCATTAAAAACTAAAAAACTGTGATGTGAAATGCAAAAACCATCGTGAATTGTGGCATAACATGCATCGGTTTCCAATGTTTCGTAGGTATTTCACATGCATGTCCTTATATAAAATAAAGTTTCTTGTATGCACACTGTATTTTATTTATAAAATTAAAAGAAAATAATAATAAATTTGAATAAACAATATTTGGCGACATAATTCCGGAAAAAGCCGAACCGATCCGAAATTATCAAAAGCTTTGGGTCGCGACCGTTCGTTGCAAGAATAGCGCCAAATAGTGTTTACATTGTCCTTATGGGCGCTTTCCAATCTAAACTTGTTTCATTTATCTATGGTATACTGTTTGACCCGTGATAATAAAGAGTTGATTTGGATTTTCGACGATATTTTAGACTTGTGTTCTTCTTGAAAGTTTGTTTTTGTAGTGTGATAAAGTTAGTGATATAAATTAGTGGATAAACAGACATTTTGACTAATAAAAATGTTAGCTCATATGTGAAGCTGTCCGCAATAGGAAAAATATTATTGTTAGATGATAAGAATTTTTATAATTTATATCAAGATGTTAAAAATCACCGTTGTCATCGAAACATGTTTATTTAAAAAAAATAGTTTTTAGTTTTTGATTTGTCAAGATATTATTTTGATTTGTAAAAATAGTATAAATATAATATTCCATTAACAAACGGACTCAAATCAATTTGTATTATACAGTCCACTTAGATAGATTACACTTGGTCCTTCGAGCCGGATTAGATGTGATACCAGCCTTTTTTCTTGGAAGTTTTCATTGTCGAAGAAAAACGTTCTATTGTCGACCTGCCGTATTTAGAAGTTGTACATCCACGTATGTCGTGTCATCCTTTGATCCAGAATTAGTTGACTGTACTGTGTTGAACTCATGCTTCTCTGATCATGAAGGAGTATTAACAAAATTTTCCATAAAATCCGAGACTAGAAACACTTTTCGTAAATTAGGACGTATTTTTTATGAAAAAAACTTTATAAATTTTAAGCAACTTTGTCTAACAACAGATTGGCATGTCATCTCTGGTGATGTAGACACTGAATTTTCCAGATTTACACAAACATTATCTGGTCTGGCATCCAAAGCCTTTCCTCTCAGGCCTGTCAAAATTAAACATCATAAACCCTGGACTACTAAGGGCCTACGTACATTTGCAAAAAACATGCGCTCTTTATCTCACCTAAAAAAATTCTCGGATAGTGTCTTCTTTCACGAGTACGTGAAACTTTACAGGAAAATTTACCATAAGACTATAAAAGCCGCCAAGGACATCTATTACAATAGGAGGTTGACTGAGTCCGGTAATATTGCCAAAGAAACATGGTCGATTGTGAATGACTTGAGGAGTAAGGTTTCTTCGTCCAACATAACCTCAACTTCACCTGAGGACCTAAACAATTACTTTGTAAATGTGGCGAAGAATATAGTGAATACTATCTCACCCTCCCTGGATCCTCTATCATTTCTCTCTGACTATAATGTTAATTTGCACAGTTTCTTCCTTACGCCTGTGGGGTTGGCAGAGCTTCGCAATACATTAAATGATATTAAAAATAAATCTTCAGCAGGGACTGACGGACTTACTCTTAAAATGTTCTCTAGTATGCCGGAATGTACATTAAACCATCTTTCAGCCTTAATTAATATGTCATTTGAAGATGGTGCTTTTCCAAATTGCCTTAAGTCGGCGATAATTATTCCTTTGCATAAAGGAGGTGATAAAGAGCAAGCTTCCAACTATCGTCCAATTGCACTCCTTCCGTTATCGAAGATCATGGAGAGACTGGTTAAAAAGAGGCTTGTATCATTTCTTCTAAAATACAAAATACTCACCCCCTTTCAGTTTGGGTTCTTGAGTAACAAATGTACAAATGACGCTATGTTTTCGCTGTTTAATAATGTATACTCCAGTCTGAACAACCGTCTCGTTACAGCAACAATTTTCTGTGATTTCTCGAAAGCTTTCGATTGTGTTAATCATAACATCCTAACTAACAAATTGCAGTACTATGGTATCAGGGGAACGCCTCTTGAATGGTTTAAGTCCTACCTTAACAACAGAAACCAGCGTGTGAGGGTTGATAAGACTGTGTCTTCTTGCAAGCCAATAGAATGCGGAGTACCTCAGGGCTCAGTGCTAGGTCCTATTTTGTTTCTGTTGTTTATCAACGATATTGCTAGTCTGGACATCAGTGGTAAAATCTGTCTCTTCGCGGATGATACTTGTTTCACATGGAGCAGCCCGGACACCACGGCACTTCATAGAACCATTTCCAGTGACTTAATCAACATAAAAACATGGTGCGATTCTAATTATCTGTGTCTCAACGTCTCTAAAACTAAAGTCTTATCATATAAAAGTACGTTGCTACCTTTTCAACTTGATAATACCACCATTGACGTCGTTGATTCTGTGAAATTTTTAGGCCTTGTTGTGGACAACTATTTAAAATGGGATTTGCACATCGATGCTTTAGCTAAAAAATTAAGTTCTGCCTGTTTCGCACTTAGATCAGTTGCTAATGTGCTTAATTTGTCAACATCTAGGACAGTCTATTATGCCCTTTATGAGTCGCATCTCCGATACGCACTTCCATTCTGGGGTGCGTGTTGTGCGACTCAATTTGAGCGTATCTTCAAATTACAAAAGAGAGCTGTGCGATATTCACTGAGGCTAACCAGTTGTGCTCACTGCCGGGACTTGTTTAGAAGATATAAAATATTAACTCTTCCTTCCCTATTCATACTCGAATCCGTCTGCCTAGTTCGCAAGCACGTATCGAGTATTTCTCTAGAGCCAGTTCATGGCTATCCAATTAGGAACGCAGAGCATAACATGTATCTGCCAACCCCTCACTCTGAGTTAGTAAAGAGTTCCCAATTGTACAATGCAAAAAAAAATGCACTATCATCTGCCATCTGAAATTAATTCCATTTCATCCTTTCCTGCATTTCGCAGAGCCTTGAGATCATACTTACTGGAGAAAGCCTTTTACGCGGTTAACGATTTTTTTATTAATATCTAGGGTTCTAAATTTAACACACATTCACTAAATTTAGAAATGTTTTTGTTTTCTATCCATTTAAATTTAGTATTGACATTATATACAGTTGTTTATTTACATGTATGTTTATATTTTATTTATATTTAATTAAATAAATTTTTGACAATGTACAATTTCTGTTTTGATATTTATTTTTGTTTTTATTTTTTATGTTAAAGCTGTGTTTAGTATGAAGTAAAATCAAGAGCTCAAGCAAATATTTTTATTTCAACTTAATTATTGTTGCTTTGCATAATAGGAACAACATTAAAACAAAAATATATAAAAAATATACAGAAATTCTAAAAAAATAAACAGAACTTCTAAAAAATAAACAGAAATTCTAAAAGATAAACAGAAATTCTAAAAAATAAACGGAAATTCTAAAAAATAATCAGGAATTCTAAGAAATAAACGGAAATTCTAAAAAATAAACGGAAATTCAAAAAAAATAAACATATTCTAAAACTAACAACAAACAAATTTATATTTGATTTATTAATTTTATTAATGGTAATCATTGATATATATCATGCCAACTCTGTTCAAAACCTGAAATAAAAAATGCAGGTCCATATTTAAGAAAATAAGTTGGCCTCTGTTTCTCACAAATTATCAGCTAATTTGAAAATCTAAAAATACTATCAGATATCCCTAATAAAGTAGCTATGAGAATGTGCAATTTGTTTTTTTATTTTCGAAAAAGTAAAGAAAGGAAAAAATAAAATTGATTTTCAAAAAAATCCTTTTTTCCAAAAAACTGAGCAATCCTTGAAATTTATAAAAAAATTTTGTTGGCATCTTGACATCCCAAAGCGCAACTTTACCACAATTTAACCATGTTCGTATCTATTACATATGTTATCTGTGCTATTACGGTTACCGAGGTACCAATGCTCGTGCCTCGAATTTGTAGCACCCTGTATTTTAAGTATGTTCTAATTTTATTCATGTAATCATTTTAGCTCACTGCAGCACTTTATTCATTCCACGAGATATTTTTTGACCTAACCATCCCCGAACGAATGTTAATAATAGCTGCCGATCGGCAACATAAACTAGGAAAGCTTAAAAGATCGCTGTCAAGTAGTAAATCTTCGCGCTCTTTACATTCCAGTAGCTCTAGTAGGTCCTTAAATTTAAAACAAACCCCCTCAAGTTCACCAAGTCTTACCAAAGTTTAATTTTTAAGCATGCATTTTTTTGACGTCGACTATTTCTGAGAAAAAGTAGTGTAATTTTTATGTTTTTTTTTTGTATCAAACTTTAATATTTAAACTATTTAGTGTCTTAAGGATTGTGGCCTTTTTGATATACAAATATAAATTTTAATATAATAAAACTTGTTTTATTACATGTCACCCATTAAGAATGATATTAAATTAATATACATAAATTTATTTTAAATAAAGCCAAGGGTGTTCACGAATATTTTAACCAATAGAATTTAACACCTAAATGAATATTATTAATATAGAAATTGTTATCAAAAGGTCGTTTATGTCTAAATACAAACATAAAAGAAAATATGTTTAAAAACTACCTAAGAAAATAAAAACTATATTATTATTGAAATGAGAAAAAAATTGTTCAAGTGGAAAATCACAGAAGGCATAATTTTTTTATTACTGTTTTCAAATTAAACGTATCTACATAGGCACGAAAAATTGGTACCTTAAAAATTTGATGTATTTTAAAGTTTTATATACAGTATGTCCCCGGATTGTCTTTACAAGAGGAAAAACCTCTTTATTATTGACATTTTCAGAAAAATGCATTCTTCATTAAATTTTTTGCTTGTTCTAAAACGGTTAGTCTCGTTTATACAGGGTGGTTCGAACTGTATTCCGGAAACTTCGGCAGCATATTCTGCAGATTATAAGTAAATCATAAGTAAAAAAGTTCGTATAAATGTATGTCTTAAAATGCTTAGTTTCGGAGATACGGGGTGTAGAAGGTTCAATTTTATTTCAATTCTTTCCAAATAATTTATGAAGTAACGTCAATATATGGATGAAAATTGGTGTCTGGAAGTTTTTTGACATAAGAAATTTGGATTTTCATGTCAATATGACTCCTACTGGTAGAGGGCGCCACCTACATATGTTTTAACTGGTTTGAAGAGTAATAACTTTTCGTCCATACCTGTATAAAACTACTGATTAAAAAATATACATTTACGACTTTTTTCACATAAAAAAGGTATCTTGGTAAAAACCTCTACGAGTAATGGTTCTCGAGATATTTGGAATTGAAATTATTAATACCTGTCATGATTGACATAAATTAAACATGTTGACTAAATAGTTATTAGACTTAAATCATAAATTTGAAATCTTTTTGTGCCAAAAGTTCAACAGAAACTGTTTAATTATCATTTTTTCGCAGAAAAATTTATCATTAATTTGCCTGACATATATTGTATATATGTATGTCCGGTTGATGTGGTGTATACTGACTTCAGCAAAGCATTTGATCAAATCGATCATCAGATCTTGCTAGTGAAGTTAAGTAGGCAATTCAATTTTTCTGACAGACTGACAGCACTCATGTCCTCATATCTCACTGATCGTCTTCAGTTTGTCGAGGTCGAGGGTTGCAGCTCGGACACATTTACTCCAACTTCCGGAGTTCCCCAGGGGTCCAATCTTGGCCCACTAATATTCAATTTATTCATCAATGACCTCTTAACAAGCATTTCCAGCTTAAAACTGGCTTATGCCGATGATCTGAAGATCTACTTGCAGATTGACGGGCATGACAACTGTCTATTCTTGCAAAGCAATATTGATGGAATTAACCAGTGGTGTACTCAGAATCGATTGAACCTCAATGTCTCGAAATGCTGTGTCATGTCATATCATAGAACCTATCAGGTTCCCGTGCAGTTTGATTACCCAAGCAGCATTTGGACGTCGGGACAACGTTGTGTCACACGACCAAACGTCGGGGCGCAACGTCGGCACAACCTCGTGCCAACCCTAGTCTGCACTAGTTTGGAGAATAATTTTTGGGTCGAAACGACGTTGGTTACCTACGTTGGCTAGCAGCCTAATTTAGTACAAACTGCAACGTTGTATAAAATCCTAATTCACAGAAATACAAAACTATAATATGGCGTCTAAGTCGCGTTTTATCCTAAATTGGGATAATTATAGTAAAAATATTATTTTTATGATTTAGTTAGAGACATATGCCAGATGGCAGTAAAGGAAAACAAAACAAAAGTATTTAAGTGAGGAGGATGTTTGAAGATCATAATTATTGAAACACTTTAACCAACTCTAGAACTCGTTACCCAAGGCAAAAAATTTAAACGCAAACAACTTTATTGATAAATGTATTGTTTCTGCTTTGAAAAATACTAATGGGCCTTAAAATTAAAGAAGTTTTAAAAAATTTCTTGAATTTTTTTTTGTAAAATGAGAATAATTTATTCGCAGTCGAAAAAAAAATTGTTTCCGCGTGTTGTTTAGGGTCAAATATTTCAAGTTAATGTATTCAAAAAGCAGGAATTGCTATTTTAGGAACGAAACATTTTCTTATTCAACAACATGGCGGCTTTCACTTTGTTGTTTTGGAGATTAAGATGGAGTAGTTCGAGTAGTCCAGGAGTAGTCGCATACTGGATTAATAAAGTCGCAGTTCAGCCTTAACAGGTAGTATACTAGTCGCAAGATTGCCTAATTTAGTCATCCTAGAGTTTAGCTTGTGCCGCCCTCTATATTCTAAATAAACGAGGGAGTGGATAAAGTATCGGTAATATGTCGATGTATATTTAAATTTAGTTTTATATGTGCCTTTCTTACGTCCCATTTTAATTATGTTTTTTTTATAAAAACAAAAACAGCACCGAACTGTCTGACTAAACAGAACAATGAAGTGAAAATTTAAGATTTAAGGTTATGGTTCAATACAGTTGCAAAAAGGTAGTGGCTCGACGTCCTACCAACGTAAGAATAAGGAAATCTAAACATCGTTGGAATTAGTAAAACAGACGACGTTTGCGCAACGTTGGAATAGGTCCTGAAAGTGACGTCGGAAAACTCTTTATTTCCCAACTTTGTAACTACGTTGTCCGAATCACCTAAAAATCACTTAAGCAAAAAAGGTTACAAGACAACGTTTATTCGACGTCGCAGAAGCTTTTACTTTGTTATAGTACTAGTTCAACGTTACAACAACGTTTACATTTATTTTAATACCCAAGGTACGGAGCTAACTATTTTTTGTAACTAATCCAACGTTGTGTTTAGTAAACATGTGGTCGCAAGTCGTGAAAATGCTACTTGGGTACAGTATTGCCAACAATATACTGTCTAGAAAGACAACGTTTAGGGATCTGGGTGTCGTATTTGACGACCGACTAACCTTTATAACTCATATTGATCAAATGGTTGCGAGTTCATCAAGACTTCTTGGCTTTATTATTCGAAACTGTAAACTCTTTGTTGGTTCCGAACCTCTCAAGCTGCTCTATTTTTCGTTGGTTAGGTCAAGGCTGGAGTATGGATCGTTGGTATGGTACCCAGTCTATGATTGTCATGTTGCATCCCTTGAATCAGTACAGAGGCGTTTCTTAAAGCAACTGGTGTTACAGGGAGGAGGGGGTTTACCCTGTTAGAGGTGTGGATCACGTTGAGTCGTTGTCTCGGTGCGATGTGCAATCACTTTCCTTGAGAAGGATCATTCACTCAGTAACTTTCCTGTGGAAGCTGCTGTTTTGGAAACGATACCATTCCGGGTGCCACGACCTACCTCCAGAGCGAATACCACTTTTGCGCTTCTTTGAGCCAGAACTAACGTTAGGTTTCAGGATCCGATTTTCACTATGTGTAGCAACCTTAACTCTGTTTCCGTTGACTGTGATGTGTTTGACTGCTCTGAGGGTCGTTTGGTCTCACTGGTGGGTGGGGGGCATGAATAGTTAACGTTGGTTTATAACAATGGTTTATAATAATAATTTAATAATTTGTTATTATCATAATTAATTTATTTAGGTTTAGTTTTCTCTTTTTTTTTGTAATTTGTTTTTTTTTCTTGGTTTTGGTTTTTGTAAATTTGATATTTAATGTTTAGTAACAACCTATTTTTAAGATTGTATTATAAGATGAACTATACTCAACGTGTGCTTATTTTTTGGCAATAATTACATGTATTGACTATTTCCATTCTAAATATCTTCAGAACGGTTGCTCGTAGCGATTTTTACCAAAAGATATTTTTTACGTAAAAAGTCATGGAAATGTATATTTTTTAGTCAGTATTTTTATGACAGACGAACAGTTATTACTCTTCAAAATAGCCAAAAGGCATGTAGGTGGTGCCCCCTACAAATAAGAGTCATTTTGACATCAAAATCAAATTTCTCGTGTCACAAAACTCCCAGACACTAATTTTCATCCAAATATTGACGTTACTTTAGAAATTATTTAGAAAAAATCGAAATAAAAATTAAACTTCTACACCCTGTATCTCCGGAACTAAGTATTTTAAGACATACATTTATACGAACTTTTTTACATATTTTTATCTGCAAAATATGCTGCCGAAGTTTCCGGAATACGGTTCGGACCACCCTGTATACTATTCCAAATTTCCATACCGTCTTAAGGTGCGTTCACACCGGCTCGGCTGAGCCGCGCAAATCAGTTTTTATACTTTTAGGCGCGCTAAAAAAATACACTTAAAAAGTACACGCTAAAAAAATGTTTTGCGCGGCGCAGCCGGTGTGCAACGCACATTTAGAGAAAACATGAAAATTAGTCGATTTTTTCTAAGTCCTAAAAATCAAAAGCCGTTTCTATAGACGTAAAGACAATCCGGGGACATTCTGTATAATAAATATTTATATACATATTTATATAATAAATATGTTTTTAACGATTCTTCACACATCCCCTAAATACTGGACACCTCCATATACCGGACACTGTAGGATTCACCGCAGGTGTCCACTATTAAGAGGTTATACTGTAATAATATGTTTAATAGGTGTAATAAAAAGGCGTCAAAATGTTGGTAAGCATTTTATTACAGTTTTTAATATTAATAAAACAATTATATTTTAAGTCCGGACTCTAATACATCTCTATAATCAACAAAAAGATTTCAATAACACGTAATTAAAATTTTTTAGAATAAATAATGGCTACATCTAAGACTAAAAATGTACAGGCTCTTATTTGGACAAAAAAACATATTACTTCATATTTAACAATCTAAAAAGTTTAGATAGTTTTTAGATTGTTGAGTCTGATGTTTCTCATTTTTGTTACAGAGATATTGTAACCAATAGTTTTCTTTATATATGGT